TGCTGTCCGCTGAGAACCCATTCACCTACCACCAACTCGACCTGCGCTCGCGTTTGATTGCGCGTCGGGTTCTCTCGGCATACCCCCGTTCCCACTACCCAAGCCGAAGTGGAGTTCCTTAACTCTGAATTCCAAGAAGCCGTTTTTGATCGCATTTACACCCTCGGCCAACGTTATATCCGTGTCAATGACAACAAACCCGGGCAGATCTATGTGTTGGAGGTGGTGCTCGATGATGGCCGGCTTGCCTTTAAAGTTGGGTACTCGACCCGGTATAAAGAGCGGTTGGGGGAGTGGGAGCAGTGTCGTCCGCGCCGCTGGGGGCTGTGTGGGAGGTCCACCGCGCCGCCAACTCCCACTGCACCGAACAAGCAATCAACTACTGTTGCCTCTCGTTCTCGCCATCATGGTCATCGCCTGGCTCCAGGTGCACTCTCTCACTATATATGTGGTACCAGCATCTGACAAGTTGGCTTCCAGAAACTGTGCCAACTCACAGGTTGTTAACTACGACTCGGACTCCCTCACACGAACTTGAACTTTGGCGGCCGGCCTAGTTCAAGGCCTCCCCGCTCCAAGGTCGTCCTTATCGGCATCTGACGCGATGGCCGCTGGCTGCACGCGTTCTTGGCCGCCCAATGCGACAGCGACAGTTACAACTACCCGCTGTGCTTTAGCTGCACTCGCACCGGCTCAAGAGTGGGGACTCTGGCGACAACGTGAAGGACAGCCACATGCTGCTGCCGGCCTTCTATGCTCCTCGCTACGGTGGTCTACCCCCAGCAGGGGCAGACCACCCAGCTGCCGCCAGCGGAAGCACTGGCTGAACGGCCGCGCGCTGGTGCTACAGAATTAGAGTGCACATATTGAATTCTGGAGTTAGAAGTAAGTGTATGTAGCTAGGAAGCTCTTATTGGATTTCTACATATACAAGTAGCAATACACACAATTATTGAATATTGCTGCCTTCAAAACTGACTTCAATTGGTGAGGATTGAACTCCAATGGTGACAACTTTAAGTAAGTATATGTATATTAATCCTGACCTCTTCTTATACCATATCTACAGTACTACAGCGAGCCTCAGAATCTCCAGAAACCTGTGACACGCTGCTGGGTCATTGCGGGAATCGACGGAGATCATCACATCAGACACAGGTGCAGACGCATGTCCGGTTATAGACATATGTCTCCACTGACATGCGACATGAGCCTCATTCTCCGGGTCAAAAAACGCATCTAAATCTTAGATGTTTTTTTTTCCCATTAATCGGGTCAAAACGAGTCAAAACACTTGAGCTTTTTCGAGCAGAAAAACTTATTTGAATACTTCCCCTTTTAGAATACATTTTCCCTCGTTCTCAAAACTCGTAGAAAAGCCTCATGTTTTTAGATGACTTTGTAGCTAAAGAACATTTGTATGTAGGAATACTTGCCATTTGTAGCGCCAAAATACCTATTTGTAAATTTTACTTTGTCCAATAAATTCTTCTCCCCCGAAAACTTTGCCTTTTTGGTCCAGTTTGTATGATGAAAACGTGGGTTAAAAAACTTTGCCTCTTCCCACTCACAGCCGCGTTTCAAAAATGTTGAGGGCGGAAACGTTAGTGGGAAGAGGCAAAGTTTTTTAACCCATGTTTTCATCATACAAACTAGACCAAAAAGGCAAAGTTTCCAGGGGAGAAAAATTTATTGGACAAAGTAAAATTTACAAATAGGTATTTTGGTGCTACAAATGGTAAGTATTACTACAAATGTTCTTTAGCTACAAAGTCATCTAAAAACATGAGGCTTTTCTATGAGTTTTGAGACTGAGGGAAAATGCATTCTAAAAGGGGAAGTATTCAAATGAGTTTTTCTGCTTGAAAAAGCTTAAGTGTTTTGACTTAATTTTTGGCCTGATAAATGGAATAAAAAATATTTAGGAGTTGAATGTGTTTTTTGACCTAGAGAATGTTAAGTATTTGAATGAGTTTTCTGAACCAGAAAACTTTAGGTATTTCAATCCATTTTTTCAACTGGAGCTCAAGGACAATAAGTTTTTAGGTCAAGAGAAGGCAATGAATGTGTGTGAAGTAACGTGCCGGGAATCACATCTGAGTCCGGCCGTGGTCCCGGAGATCAATACCAGTGCCAGCGAAGCACACCCTTCTTCTCCTCACCAGCTTGCCGCCTCTCTCTCTCTTCTGCCACGTCCTGCTGCCTGTCTTGCCGCCAAACTTGTCCGACACCTTACCGCTGCTCAGTCTTATCTCCAAAAACACACAACGGCCCATCTGAGTAGTCAGTAGCCGTATTCGGAGCTGTCCTAGCTCATTGAACTTCTGACATTGTTCTGATTCAATGAGCACTCAGATCGGCCCCCGGACTCCGCACCATGCTGACCAAACTGGCACCCGCCACTCATGTTGAGGTAAGCTCGTCATGTGTCGCAAGACTGGCTACTCCCTGCTTATCTGCATCTGCTGACCAAACACACCAGTCTGACCAGAGCTCTGCAATTTACATCGGACCAGTCCCCTGACTAGTCAAACTTTCTCTTGGAATCAAAGGCAGCCAGTGCGAGATTTTTCAATCCTCTCACTGGCATATGGATCCAGCCCAGCCACATTATACTCTACGTCATCTCCATCCCCAACCAGAATGTGCGACCTCCCGCTTCACCCCCCCCCTCCCTCTTCTTTGACTGCACCACGGCCCTCCTCGCGTTCTGACTCCATGTCGTTCTCCTTCCGGTTCTGTGGCATGTGCTCGCGCACGCGCGTACGTTGCTCCGCACTCACTGACTCGACATCCATTCGAGTCAGCAGCTCGTCCTCCCTGGACCTCCCAGTCGTAGTCCTCACCCACCACCGTACCCTCACACACATGTCAATGTCCAATCGTGTCCCACTGGAAACGCATGAACATGTCACGATTGACAACGTCGTTCACATCAGTCATCGGCACAATAGTCTTTGTCGTTGTCCGAGTCGGGACAGATAATTGAGGGCGGAAGGCCTTCAGTGGTTGTTCCTGACGCGAAGACCGGGATTACATGGGCAGCGCGAACGACAGCAAATGGGTCGATTAAGCCAAACAAGTTCCGGACGGTAATCGCCGAACCCGGGCGAAATCGCCGGGTGATCCGGACGATAAATCGCCGGGTCAGGCGAAATCGCCGACCACCGGGTAATTTCTTGGATGGGGTCTTATTTGTCAATGCGAAAACAAGGGCGAAATCGCAGAGTAGTCTGGACGATAAATCGCCGGCTAGCCCGGTGGTCGGCGATTTCGCCTGACCCGGCGATTTATCGTCCGGATCACCCGGCGATTTCGCCCGGGTTCGGCGATTACCGTCCGGAGCTCGGCCGGTGTGTCGCATTCCCGCGCCAGGGCTATAGCGGTCTTCGTGAGCGAGCGTGCGGCAAGCCTTCATGGCCTGTCAACCAACCATCAGCATACTTGCAGCACTAGGAATACTGCTTCACCATCTGTCTACAATCACATCCGGGACGTCCCTCATCGAACGACTGAATCGCCGGGGTGGCTGGCGATTTCGCCCGGCCGGCGATTCATCGTCGGATCCGTTGGACGATAAATCGTCCAGTCGGGCGAAATCGCGCCGGCAAAAGAGCCGATTGAAGCGGATCGGCTGTTTCACCTATTCCGCCAATGGCAACAACTGAGGTGTTCGCGGCCCCTGGTGTCTGCACACGGTTCGCGGCGCCATCGGACCCAGCCAGGGCCGAAGCACGTGCATGCACGGGTCTCCCTTTTCTTGGTCACCTTACTTGCTCTGCGCACAGCCCCGCCCCCGGGGCCATGGCCAGCGTCGGAAGCGCCCTCTGCGCGGCCACGATTGGCTGCCGATTACAAGACGTCCAGATTGCGCCTACGAGGTGCGGGAGTGGGGTTTGACTTCACGGTTCCCGAAGCAGTCCCTCCCCGCGCATTGGCTGTTGGGGGTCTCAGAGGCACCGAAAGGCATGCCAAAGCAAGTTTGTAGTCCCAGTCTTACCCACGCTTGACCAGGGGATTTGGCATCATCACCTGACTGGACGATCAATCGGTGATTTTGCCCGACCACCCGACGATTTCGCCCTACCCGACGATTTATCGTCAGTCGCTCATGGTTGGTGATCATTTCCCCGCAGGCACAATGGGGAAATAACAAGCCCACTTCTCTCCCTGCAGCCGGCGCGTTACATGTGTCATCGCGCTGCCCGGGCCCATCCCATCCGGGTGCGGGCCGGACACTGGTCATTTGGGGCCGCCGGCTGACCCGGAATCCGGCTAGCATTTTATCACACATAGGCGGGCATCGGCGTTGACCAGGAGACTGAAGTTGGTTTTTTTTTTGTTAGCCAGTAGAGCAATGTATGTGTAAGTCAACGAAAAATTGCCTGATCCAGGCGAATTCGGGTGAAAAAATTCAGCAACAATTGAATTTATTTAATGTTTACCTATCTTTATAATCCAGGTCAAAAAATGTATTGGAATATTTGAGATTTTCCAGGTCAAAAAATTCATTAAATAGTCTAATATTTTCTGCATCAGAAAACTCATTCCACTATTCAAAGTGGTTTATTATATCCTTCAGGCCTAAAAAATAGTCAGTAAACTAAACCTTTTCCACTTGAAAAAACTTGTTCCAATAGTTTACATTTGACAATACATTTTCCCTTGGTCTCAAAACTTGTAGAAAAGCCCAATATTTTTAGATGACTTTGTAACTAAAGAACATTTGTAGTAATACTTGCCATTTTTAGCACTGGAATACCAATTTGCAAATTTTGGATTGTCCAATAAATTTTTCTCTCCTGAGAACTTGACCTTTTTGGTCCATGATGAAAACATTTGTTAAAAAACTTTGCCTCTTCCCACTAACGTTTCTACCCTCAACATTTTTGAAACGCGGCTGTGACTAACGTTTCCGCCCTCAACATTTTTGAGACGCGGCTGTGAAGATTTCTTCGACGTAATTGGCATTCGCGCATGTGTCACAACCCAGAATCTTCCTCTCGACCTCGATGTCTGCTCCTTCTGCTGCTCCTTCTGCTGCCCCTGCTGCTGCCCCCGCTGCAACGCCAGCCTCTGCGCCGACCACTTCTCAAGCTGGCCGACCAGTGAGCTTAACCACCCCCATCTCTTTCAAGACGCTGACATGTTTTTCAGGCTCATCGCACCCTCACTGTGCGCTACTACGCGGTCGATGGGAAAAGCGGATTGCAAAACTTCCCCATCGTCGAACGCAATGGAACAACGACGCTGGGCCAGTTTTTTGGGACCTTCAATGCTGTTTGGGAGTCGACTCCCCTGCAATGCGGTGATTGCCCCCACTGTTGGACAACTCTTTGCGCGAAAAAGCTCGATAAATGCTTCACGATCATCCATCGCTGCAAACACGACCGACCGGACGACAGACTGGAGGACGAGACAGCTAACGAGGCCATCGCAAAACTTTTCGACCTCCCCAAACCTTTCTATCCCGTCGAGGGCAATGTAATCGTGATCAAGCATCTCAACATCCCCATTGTGCCGTTCTCTGGACTCAAGCTGCCTCGCGACTTGCATGCGGCCCCAGCTCAAAATGTCGAGGAGGCGGATATTGCCCTCATCGACCTTTTTGTGCGCCAGTACGTATATCTTATCTCTACCATCGTCATATCTCATTCATCCTCAGGTGGGCCAATGGCGGCCCCTTCGGGATTCCAGTGCCGCCAGGAGCGTACGATATGTTGGGCCGGTGTTGTTTTGAGTAGCTGTCTGTGTAGTAGTGTAGTGGGACAATTTTTTTTGTTGCTTCTTCCTCTCGCTTCCCAGCACGAGGCTCAAATCAAAAGTCGTGACATATGTGACTTGCTACTCGCTTCACTCATCTCGCCGATGTAGCGCTTACATTACACTTACACATATTCCCTTACTCATTCCCTCCCTTATTTCCATTTACATTCCCTAACTGTTGCCATTGTGATCGACTAGATATACTGTTTGTTGTCCGTAGTTAGTGATTCCTTGGTCAATATTATCATCATCCTATTCATCCCCTGCGCGAGACCGACCATCTCGCCTCCCAACTCGTGTGTCGGAACCAGCACATCTGCTCTCCGCCACATCTTTTTGAATATCGACTTCTATTCGCCGCCCGCTGGTTACCCCTGGGTCTGATCAACCTCGACTACCGCCCGCAGCGAAATAACACCAACCCGACTTACTATGGACAACAACCCTGAAGGAAAGCAGCGTACTCGCGCGACAGTCCGTCGTGGCGAGCACGTTGCTATCCCCCCAATCCACAGTCCCCAGGCCCGCCAAGCCGTTGGTTACACCTTCGGCTTGGTGGACCCGGGCGATGCCGATACCCCTTCCATTCCCCTTGGGATGTACAAGCCTCTCGCTCCCGAGAGGCTTGCTACTCCCTTGGGCGCCAATGACACGCTGGTGTCGTTGGACCCCTCTCCGGAGGGCGCCCCAGCTTATGCTGGGGATATGTTGAGCTTGACCCCGCTTCCGAGCGCGTAGTGAGGATGAATATACCACTATTGAGCAATCCCACCTCGCGCCCGCTAACGAGTCGGATTCCGAGTCCACCATTTCCCGCGCCATTGAGTTGATGAGCCGAGAGGAGCTCACCGAAGTAGCCCGACGCCATGGCGTCTTCTCCGCCCAGCTGTGGGAAGCCGCGCGCCGCAAAGGTGCTAAGCCCTTCCTCGAAGATTTTGAGGAAGTGAAGGCTGAGGAGGATGAGAACTCTGAAGAATCAGAGTTGGAGCTCATTACCTTTGATGCAAGCCCGCCGCGTAAGAACCGCGAGCAGAAGACTGCTGGCCGGAAGAAACCAGCCAGCAAACCCGCAAGCCCAGTCAATACGGGTTTTGCAACAACGCGCAACGCCGAAAGGAAGGCGTTTGTCGAAGAAGTGGAAGATGAAGATGATCTCCACTTCCACCGCCCAGTCACCCCGCCCAAGCGGAAGGTCCAGGTGGTCAGCCCAGCTGTCCCATCTGGCGAAGGCACTTCCCGAGGAAAAGGGAAAGGGGTAGACCCGCGAAACAGGGGCTTCTTGGATAGCCTGGGCGACGCTGAGCTCCAAGGACACATTGAAAAACTATGAAGAGATCAATCGCGTTGTGAAAGGCGAGGGCGATAGCTCATTACCTGAGACGTCAACTCCTGCCCCATCGAAGGGCGAGAACCCCGCCATGCCCCAGGATCGCGGCGCTGAACGCGCTAGCGCCAAGCCCGTTGACACGGAAGCGCTGTTGAAACAAACGTTGAGCCGTCTTGAGGCATTGGAGAGAGAAAACTTGCGGTTGAAGAGACAGACGGACGATAAGTCGGAGACCGCGGGCAAGAGAGAGGCGAGTCTTGAGCAGTCGAAAAGCCTCTCTGAAAGCATCCGAATGCCTAAGACACCAGAGCGCAGCTCTGTAAAGCCATCAGCACTTAGTTATGACTTCATAACTAATGCCTTGCGCGGGGTCTCTACCTCACCGTCTCGCCTATCCAAGCTAGCGGCAGCAGAGCCTTCCGATGACCCATCGAGCTCGTCAAGTGACGACGAGTCTGGCTCGGATTCCGGGACTCCGCGTCGGTCGTCCAAGCGCCGTCGCGGTCAAGACTCAAGAGCGAAAGGAAAAGCGGATCAAAAAGAATCCGCGGATGTTGCTCAAGCTGATTCCGCCTAGCCGCTACAACGGCGGCCCGAATGCGAATGCAATTCACCACTATTTGCGAAGCCACCACATATGTGAAGATGGGGCGAGTACCGGAAGACGAGAAAGTTTTCTTTGTATCTTACTACCTGGATCGCAAAGCACTTGACTTCTACAACCAAGTAGTCGTTGTTGGAGGAACAAACCGCGACGCGTCAAGACGCGTCACATGAACGCGCCCGCGTTGGGATCTATCCCAACTAGGGCCTGACTTGGGTCATCCGTGGGTCATCCATCAGCCATTGATCGGAGCCATCAGTATCCAATCATCCGCTGGATGACAGCCCCTGGATAAATTCATAATTCAACTGTTGCATGCGGTAAATAGATGATATGTTGCATTGAAGTACAAAGAGGCAATAGGATTACAGCAATGTGTGGTATGTCAGTAGTGCTCTGTGCGTGCAAACGAATATAACAAGGGTTAACAACAAATGAATAACAGTCGTAGACAGTAGTGGAATGCAGTCCTATACCACAGGCCCACGAAGAGAGCGACTATACTCAGCAATGATCTGCTCGGCCACGTCAAGATTAAAGAAGGGAGCACGAACCCATGACCCGAGACTCATTTGCTCACGGAATGTCTGCGAAGACATGCTTTCTTGATTCCATGCACATTGGTTTCGGCCTTCGGAGAATGAACGCTCGCCTTCAACAGATGTGGCGGGCATTGAGCAATAGGTGAGCGCCATTTCCGAGAGATGAGGTTGGCGTTGGCGTTCAGCATTCCAGTATTGAAAAACAGTTTGTCCGTGGAGTTGAATTGGAGGAGAGTCAAGGTAGGAAGCGATGTTGTCGGGTATCGACGCAATTGTAGGTTGAGGAGTGAAGCTGGGCAGAGGACCAAAGCGTACAACCTTTGAGAGGTCAAGGTAGAGTCTCGACACGTCTCGAGCAACAGTTTGGGCGGAGGGAGGGACAATATCGGGTCGAAGTAGTCGTATTTCCATCTTGTACCAATCATCATCTTGTGAGGCATAAGGGCGCTTGCAAGCCGCAGCTCGAATAGCACAGATGGCACGATGACGAGCTTCGTTGTATGGACTGGCAAAAAGAGTCAGTGAATGAAGTCAAGATAAGCCACCGGACGCACACAAAGACCTGCGACTGGGGAGCTGGTCCATCCGTCATCCCACACTTCTTCACTGACTCTCCCAAGTTTGAGCTCCCCTGTCCCATCTTGCCTCGCTCGATGGAGTACTCCTTTGCATGCTTTGGGTTGCTGAAGCGGCAACGCAGCTTGTAGACAATTTTCCCATTCTCGATGGCAAGCTGTTTGGTGAAGTGTTTCCACGTTTCTGATGCGCGATGACCGAACTCCTTGTCTGTTGATGCAGCATGAGATGCAGCTCTACCATCAGCCAAGTCTACGCACCAAGAATGGCATCGTCTGCCCAACCCTCTACATCTCTTGCCCTATGCGCCAAGATGTCGGCGTCGGTCATATTGGCAAACTCAGACACCTTCCGCTTCTTCCGTGGGGGCTCAACAGTAGCTGAGCTCGGGCGCTGAAGCTCCACCGAAGAGACGGCTGCGAAAGAAGCATTGAAAGGAAGTGTCGGCAGAACGGGAGTTGCGGACGGTGTTGGTGGAGCCATAGCGGTAGAAAAGTTGTAAGGAGGTGGGTTGTACATGTTATGGATAGACATTATGGGCAGAATAGAGTCAACGACGCGTCCAACGTCGACGACGCGTCGTCGTCGTGGTGTGTGTCAAGAAGCGAGTTACGCGGCTGTCACATCCAGCGGATCACTACCCAATTCCAGCCAATCCGTGATTTATAATCATCCATCCATCATCCGTCCATGGATACATCACCCAAGACAAGCCCTAATCCCAACGCGTACTTCCCTTTCTTTCTCTGAACTCCTTGTGCTACTTATAAGCTTGCTTTTCATTGGACTGATTTAGTTACTGTTGTATTCAAGTGGTATATAAACTAGTTACATGTGCAATTTACAGTCAGTTCTTTCTACCTCAATTTGTCGCATTCAACAGGTTATGGGCCCCGCGTAAATCAATCTATAACCAGAAACTATCGACAAACACCTTGCTATTACCAACAGCATGTCCACCACCTCTGCCCCCAATGCCAAAGCCGCTGAGTTTTTCGTGCGGCTGCCCAAGTGCGAAGCTGACGGCTCAAATTGGGCCATCTACAAGAATCGATTCGCGTACGCCGCGGCTGCCGCTGGACTCGCGAACCACCTCCTCGCCACCCACACCGCTCCATCTCCTGTTGCTGCGACCACAGCGGCATCAAAACCCGACGAAGTCGCTGCTTATGAAGCCTATCTGCGCGCCGACGCAATGTTCACATCTGGTGAAGCTATCATCAAACAGGCTATCGCGGCAACAATTCCTGACTCACTGTTTTTGCGGGTAATGGGTGAAGCGAAGGCTTCAGGCTTGTGGGAGAAGGTAAAGACCGAGTTCGAGACAAAATCTCGAATGGTCACAGTGGATCTACGACGCAAACTTCAGGACATGCGGTGCGCAGAAAACGGAGACGTTAGAACTCACCTGGCATCAATGCAGACTTTGCGCGTTGATCTCGTCAACATGGGCGCAGACCCTGGCGACGACAACTTTACTGCCATCATTCTCGGCTCGCTCTCAGCCTCCTACGAGCCCTATCTCGCAGCGCTAACTGCCACATCCACCCTCATGAACACCACTCTTACCCCTGACACCCTCATCTCCGCTCTGTCCCAAGAGTACGATCGTCGGTCGCTCAAGTCGAAATCAAAGAAGAGCGACAACGACGTCGCGTTTGCCGCGGGCGAACGCCGAAATGGGAAGAAGAAGTCGAATGTGGAGTGTTACAACTGTCACAAGAAAGGCCACGTGAAAGCCGAATGCTGGGCGCCGGGTGGGGGAAAGGAAGGACAGGGTCCCAAAGGAAAGGGACGAGGGAAGGGCAAGGGCAAGGGAGGTGAGAGTGCTAACGCCGCAGATGATATCGGCGGTGTGTGGATGGCACAGGTTGATGATCGCGCATGGACTGCGCATGCCGAGCAAAATGTCTGGCTGTTCCGGGCGGACAGGACATCTTTGGAGATGTTGGCGGGAGTACAGACGTGGCGAGCGATAGTGTCGCCAGTCCGTGGCTTTCAGATTAGGCTCTTCGGAAAGAAATTGCGGCCATTGTCAATATGATAGACAGTGTCGACCACAAGAGGCGGGGAGATGAGGGAGCACATTGGTAGAGGGTGGACCAGATAGGGCGCGAGGAGCTTCAGTGCGGTGACAAGCTGGAGGAAGTGCGCAGAACGGAGTGGTTGACGGGAGTTGGCGTGTAGATACTGAAGTTGTAGTCAGAAAATCGGAAGTTGAAGCAGAGGTCGCGAGAACATATAGGAACATATTCTTTCACTCGTCGGCTAGAAAACGTGCTGGCTTGGGCGAAGCGGAGCAAAGGTACTGCAGGAATGCTAGCATGTGTGTCGTTTCGCGAAACGAAAGGAGGAGCAAGGCAGAATGTGACCATCCCTCTTCTCTTTTGCCACGCGGTCATGTCGTCAACACAGCCCACATATCCCACCACATTCTCCAGCCCAAAACCCGCGAAAATAGAGACGAAGGTAGCGCTGCCGCTGTGGGAGAGGATGGAGAGGGAGAGGGCAGTTATATGTGGGAAGGAGAATGGGTCCATGCATGGCGGGCATTAGTGCGTTGACCTGTTTTTTTCTTGCTTTTCGAATGGCTCAATTCAACTTCAGGACTCAATTACCGCCCTCTTTTTTTGCTGCGATGCAGATAATACCATGCAATGCCTAGAGCGCAACGTTGAAACAACTATCGGACAGCATCTGCTACACGCATTGCGTTTACCCGTCTCTGACGCTATATCCGCATCCCAATGGTTTCCAACGCCATTTTCAAGTGATTCGGAGCCAGAGAATGCCCTTTGTTCGCCCCCATCCTACTCAGCAGGCCCACTCTTCCCCATTTCTCCCCGGATACCGGGCTTCGAGCACCTCTTCCGGCACCCGTATCTCTCCTCTATCCCCGTTTCACGCCGACCTTGTCATGATTTCTCCCTCGGGGCCAATCATCTTCGCCATTGCCAGTTACGAATATGAAAACGACGGATAGCCTTGCGGTGGACTGCGTGGAAGCGGCCAGCGCCTGCCTTGGATTTGCCGCAGTATTCCCAAAGTGCATGATATGGTTATGGAGCACGCGTAGGAGAGACGACTCTGAGGAGAAATGTGGTATGGATTGGGTTACACGCTCTGAGAATCCGCAAGCTGACCACCCAAGGGCAGAACATCTTACGAACGCGTATCTACACTCTCGACATACCTGTCAATACATCCATCACCCCTTCACGACAGATAGCGCACCCCCGTCCCCCCCAGATTCAGCGGATTCTCCGTTCATCGACAACCAACGCAAAACCACACAACACAAATGATCCCTCGTCCCCATTACCTCTTCCGCCTCAAGGTCAGACATGCATATGTCTTTTTTGCCGCCTGTCTTGGTCTGGTCACACAAGTCGCAGCCCCGCAACAGACGACCCTGCAGCGTGGCGAAAACATTGTGTAAAGGTGCACAAACCGTGTCTCCTTTCGCAAAGCACCATACCCCTCACCTCCAGTTCTCTCCTCGGCGCATTTTGGCCTTGGTCGAGTTCGTTCTCCGTTTGCCGTTGGGCTGGACAATAGCTGTTCAAAGCTTCCTCTCTAGCTCCAAAACCGCCACGATCTTATACCCAGATGGGCTACTGCTTTATTGCCGCCTTTCTCCTCCGTCTATTCACCTCCCTCCCTTCTTCGTCGACCCCTGCAAGCCTTCATCGATCGCACGTCCCAAAATGGCAAGTCACGTGAACAGACGGCTCCTCGAAAGTGCTGGTGTATCTCTCCCGACACAGCGGCTGTAGCTCCCGCTGCCATACTTCCATGTCAACCACAGTCGATACTCGCTACCCAATTCTTTTGCCCGTACAATCCGAAGCGGAAGGCCTTCGTCGAGCGCGTTTTCTGGGCAGCCGCTGTAGACGACCATACATTGTGAATACATCCTGTGGAGCTTTAAAAACGGTGTCTCCTTCTGCAAAGCACTACAACCCTCGCGCCTAATTCCTTCTTTGGCATATTTTGGCCGATAAGCTCATCGTTGAGCCTGTTCTCCAACGTTCATGCCGTTTCGCCACATGCTTGGTCCTTGCCTTGCTGTCCGAACCTGAAAGGGTTACTGCTATTGCTTCATCATCTTTTCATCTTCAATATTCAACTCCCTACCTTACCCGTCGACGCCTGCGCCATCCGTACGACCCAATCGAAAGGGCGTCCCAAAATGGCAAGTCACGTGGACTGACAGCGCGTCGAATGAATTCGATGTATCTCTCCCGGCACAACAGCTGTGGCTCCCGCTGGCGTATCTCCATGTGCACCACACCTCTCCTTATCTCCCCAATTCTTTTGGCCGTCCTATCCGACGTGGAAGGACTTCATCGAGCGCGTTTTCTGGGCAGCGACAGTGGGCATGTGGAAAGCCTGAAGTAAGCAAAGGACATGCGCTGGGGTTTTGGATCATTTGGTGTAACGGAGGGACATTAAGCGATGCTATTTAGTCCTTACTGCATGAAGAAGCTATACAACCGCTCTCGCGGGAGTCCGCACATGGAGCAGTAGTCAGTGAATGCGAAAAGGCAAGACCCACGGTTGGTCAACCAATCCACCTCCTGCGCCAGCTCAACGAGATTTTCCATTTACTTCCACCCATCCTGAGCCCCGTTCGCTTCCCCAGCATGAATTTCCAAGGCAGTCCTGAGGAATGAGTCGCGCTTAAATGGGGGAAAGGGGTGGAAAAAGACACACCTGGCGCCATCCATACATTCCTCCCGGTAGCTTGAAGCCTCAGAAAGACGTGTTGAATACTGCCATTTCGATACCTGGGCGGTCGCGCGAGGGAGGAGTCATCGTACGGCTCGTGGTGGTGCAGCGGAAAAATCGGCGAGGTCACATGGCCGCCGGCCGATCACCGCTTCTACCCCACCACGACCACAACTATACCATTCTCCTCGCTGGCTGTGTTTTCTGGGCCCTGCTCATACCCCGAGGCAAGTAGAGATATGAACTTGCTGTCCCTGCTGTCCCTTTCGCTGACTGTCTCGCACAGCGACGACCGCAGCCTGCCACTCTTCAATGACGCGCTGTAGCTTTCGTAGATATAAGAGCCACCGAGAAAACTCACGTTCGAGGGCAATAGAATGGTTTGGTGGGAGCCGGTTCGTTATCGTCCGCCTCCACACTTTCCTTGTACTTATTTCAAGTTCCTAGATGCCATTCTCCGTCTGGCAGCGCCGCATGCAACCATTCTGAGAGCTTATGTAACTACGCCAAAGCCCGTGTAAAATCATCTCCGCGCGCTTCCTTTGAGTACAATCGCTTCGCAGAGGCTAAAGCAACAAAAATACGGGTCCATTCCGAGTCGTATTTCTAAGCTATCAACACCGCGACGGACAGCCTGAGGGCCAGTAGCGCAAACGAGACGTGCTCCGGGACGGCCGTTACAGGGGAGGCGCTATATACGGGCAAGTGGCCTGTATCAAGCAGAAGGGTAGGAAGACAGAGCCTGAAACGCTGGAGGGCCTACGGTGAATGTGTTCAAGCGAAACCTATCGACCGTTCCTGAATAACACTGGCCAGCCTCACATCAAGCAAAGTACTAGTATCCCGCGGTCGCGAGATAAAACAGGGTTTGCCGCACGCTCTGGCAGTAGAGGACTTTGGGAAGAAAGCCTGCTCGGACTGGTACCACACCTCCCGCATGAAAATCCACCTCGCCTAGCGAATCATTCAAGCCATGTCGCGCTTTCCTTCCCCTTAATCGACACAAGTTGCTGTCGCCTGCGCCAGCCATTGTCAGCCAACGCTGTTGTCCTCCTCTGCGAGCTCGAAATGGATAGTTCACCGCCTGAATAAGGCTGTTTATCGATCGTGTAAGGTTGTAGCACGGTCTGGGCTCATGCGCCGACCTCGGCGGACAGCTACGACCTTAACCCCCATGCTCGCCGCGACGTCAAAGAGATCCGGAACGGACAAAGGGATGAGGGACTACGGCTAGGAAGGGGGAAGGAAATAATGCACCAGTACCGATTGCGAAGGAACAGCAACAAGATGAAAAGATGCTGAAAGAGAGCAACATATATAGAAGGTCATGAAAATAGTAGATTATGACCAGTCGAACGGTCGCCATTGTCTGCAAAAGAAGAGGTGTCGCAACGAAGATACCAGTGGTGGTGGTGGAAAATATAGATGTGGACAAGAATGTAAGAGATCGAATATAAGCAAAGGACGCGGCTGTCGGGACGAGGGACACATGAAATGTGGCAGCTATCAGCGCACAAATCAGTTATGGAAGGAGAAAATGGAGTTTCGACACACCAAAGTCCCTCAAACGAGACATATAGCGAAAACGTCAAACATCTTCCTCTCCACCAATCTTTCGATCTCCACCAGCCACCTCTCTCGATTCCCCTCCCTCTTCCTTGCTAGATGCTGTATGTTGTTTGTAGGCTGCTCCATTACCGAGCCTCGTTCCTCGTTTCGCATACGAATTGCAGAGAGGCGGGGCACAACGCAAGTGATACGGGTTTGTGGAGCGGGAGTATGAAGCGTAGATACGACTCGAGTTAAGCGCATCTTGGTTGCTTGAAGTCCTAGCATTGCGGAGGTAAGCGTAGGCCTAAGGTAAAAACGCGCGGGAACACACACAATTCTTGAGCCCAGCATTCATCCGACGATTTCGAAATGGGCTTCTCACCCAGCCGCCGGCGGTGTTCTCCAACTTGCGTCCGTCAAGGGGAATGTGTCTGGGGTGAGAAACACAGTGTCCTGAAAGCTCGTCAAGCCGCCATTCAGAGAGAAGGCGAGAGCCATACGGTGCACAAGTATCACCCATTGGGTCCCAATATCGAGTATCTGGACGGACGGATAGACCTGCGAGTATACGCATAAAATTAGACCAGTTAGCAAGATGAATAAATGCAGACCAGACTCGGATTCACACACCGTCTTTCCACAAATGCGAAGTCTCATTCTTCATTCACCTTCGTGAACGTCACACACACGCGCACACACCCAGCCTTCCCAGCCTTCCGACAAAAGCCGAAGTCGTTCGTCGAAAAGCACGTTGGAGTCAAACGCTGGATGCGACGGTCAGCGAAAGCAGAGAAAGAACGTTCTCCAAACACACACCTACGGACCCAGGCTCGAGGCCAGCCTGCTGGATGAAGCATATCTTCAGCACCGCGGTAAGTTCCAGTGACGGCAGCTGAGCGACAGCGGGCGGGGCAGGCCGTGGTGGGCTTCGTCGTGGTGGAAAAGAGAGGAAGGAGATCGGCCCGGTGAACACGTGATAGCGCTGATCTTTGCTTAGCACCACGACGACGACCCACGCAAGCTCCCCTACGTTCCGCAAACGCTGCTCCACTGTCGGTATTGCGTCGTCGGAAAGAGCGCCCTCTCCGTCAAGCCAACGACCGCGGACTGCCAGGCCCCACGTAAGTCTATATCCTATATGTCCTTTCTAGTTTTTTGCGTGGCGGGTGCTCAAGCGCCATTGCTTTCGACAGGACTACATTTAAATATACGCTTCAGGTCAAGACGTGCGCTTATTTGGCTGGAAAAGAGTTGGAAAGAGGGACCCGCGGATATGGAGGACCAAAGGTAGAGTTGACGAGACGATAGCAGGGTTTTCCGCCTCCGCATTGGAATGTTCAATATCCTCCAGCGCAAGATACTATCCGTCTCGTTGGCAGTGGGCACGCAACCTCGCAAGAAGAAGCTTAAGCGCACTACGCGAAGCAAATAACGAGAGCCGGTTCAACGATGGCCTTCCCAGCGAAACATGTGGTGGAGGTCGTTCCACGGTTGGAAGCCAGAGACAGCCTAGTTGACGAAATAGCAGGTGCCCCTGCGCTGGCAAGACAGAACAGGCGTGATGAGGAACTCGGCGGAAGGAGAAGAGGCGGGAAGATACGAGATGGTCAGGGTATGGAGGCACTGCTATCCATTTAGAATATTCTTGCATCTGTGTGCCGGACAAGAAGCTGTGAAAACAAGCTCAGCGCCTTGCATTGCGTCTTTGGGCAAAAGTACATACTTTGCGAGGCAGTTGGTTTGAATGACTGTGCCGCAAAGAACAACTCAATGTCGGCTTCTCCGTCGTCCGTCCTCCTAATTCTAGCATAAGTTCGCGTAATGCGTAATCAGGCCAAAAAAACATAGCGTTAAAATTCGCCTAAAATTAAAAGAAAATTTTTCAGCCCTCTCGGGCATTAAAAAAATCAAAATTGATGAACTTATGGTCTAATTACTACAGTAAGATATGCATTGCGGCCGTCTTCGTCGTCGAAGTGATCCGGACATCTGAGATGATATCTCGTCGAAAGTGTATGAGGTTTAGATACTAAGATAGGTTGAGGCAGAGCGCTATCTTACTGGCTCGGATCTGCTGGTTCGTCTTGCGAGACAACAGTGTCGGACCAGTTTAATGTTCGCTGTCCCGCCAACGTGCTGTCAAGGCAATCCTGCCATTGGGGCTCGGCAATGCGCCACACTGGCAGTCAGGCTCGTCAAGCAGGAGACCGAGCTCGGGAACGGGAACGCAAAATAAGTCCACAGAACGCTTCGTCGTCCGAGCACCCCCTCGAGGTCAATGTCCATTCCGGGTTCCCTCCCTCCGTCAGTCCGTCAGTCTTGTCCATTGCCGACGCTGCCATAGCGCTATGATCGTCCGAAGTCGCTGGTGGGGGTTTAATGTTTGCACGCTACCGCCTGGCACAAATGGCAGGCGAGTTCATTGGGTCAGAGCTGGCGTCAGAGAGAAAGCCGTTTGGCCCAATCCGGCGCCGGCGGTCACATGACGCCGGCGGCATGGCCCGACCGACCGCAGAATTGGGGGGTTAAGGTCGTAGCTGTCCGCCGAGGTCGGCGCATGAGCCCAGACCGTGCTACAACCTTACACGATCGATAAACAGCCTTATTCAGGCGGTGAACTATCCATTTCGAGCTCGCAGAGGAGGACAACAGCGTTGGCTGACAATGGCTGGCGCAGGCGACAGCAACTTGTGTCGATTAAGGGGAAGGAAAGCGCGACATGGCTTGAATGATTCGCTAGGCGAGGTGGATTTTCATGCGGGAGGTGTGGTACCAGTCCGAGCAGGCTTTCTTCCCAAAGTCCTCTACTGCCAGAGCGTGCGGCAAACCCTGTTTTATCTCGCGACCGCGGGATACTAGTACTTTGCTTGATGTGAGGCTGGCCAGTGTTATTCAGGAACGGTCGATAGGTTTCGCTTGAACACATTCACCGTAGGCCCTCCAGCGTTTCAGGCTCTGTCTTCCTACCCTTCTGCTTGATACAGGCCACTTGCCCGTATATAGCGCCTCCCCTGTAACGGCCGTCCCGGAGCACGTCTCGTTTGCGCTACTGGCCCTCAGGCTGTCCGTCGCGGTGTTGATAGCTTAGAAATACGACTCGGAATGGACCCGTATTTTTGTTGCTTTAGCCTCTGCGAAGCGATTGTACTCCAAGGAAGCGCGCGGAGATGATTTTACACGGGCTTTGGCGTAGTTACATAAGCTCTCAGAATGGTTGCATGCGGCGCTGCCAGACGGAGAATGGCATCTAGGAACTTGAAATAAGTACAAGGAAAGTGTGGAGGCGGACGATAACGAACCGGCTCCCACCAAACCATTCTATTGCCCTCGAACGTGAGTTTTCTCGGTGGCTCTTATATCTACGAAAGCTACAGCGCGTCATTGAAGAGTGGCAGGCTGCGGTCGTCGCTGTGCGAGACAGTCAGCGAAAGGGACAGCAGGGACAGCAAGTTCATATCTCTACTTGCCTCGGGGTATGAGCAGGGCCCAGAAAACACAGCCAGCGAGGAGAATGGTATAGTTGTGGTCGTGGTGGGGTAGAAGCGGTGATCGGCCGGCGGCCATGTGACCTCGCCGATTTTTCCGCTGCACCACCACGAGCCGTACGATGACTCCTCCCTCGCGCGACCGCCCAGGTATCGAAATGGCAGTATTCAACACGTCTTTCTGAGGCTTCAAGCTACCGGGAGGAATGTATGGATGGCGCCAGGTGTGTCTTTTTCCACCCCTTTCCCCCATTTAAGCGCGACTCATTCCTCAGGACTGCCTTGGAAATTCATGCTGGGGAAGCGAACGGGGCTCAGGATGGGTGGAAGTAAATGGAAAATCTCGTTGAGCTGGCGCAGGAGGTGGATTGGTTGACCAACCGTGGGTCTTGCCTTTTCGCATTCACTGACTACTGCTCCATGTGCGGACTCCCGCGAGAGCGGTTGTATAGCTTCTTCATGCAGTAAGGACTAAATAGCATCGCTTAATGTCCCTCCGTTACACCAAATGATCCAAAACCCCAGCGCATGTCCTTTGCTTACTTCAGGCTTTCCACATGCCCACTGTCGCTGCCCAGAAAACGCGCTCGATGAAGTCCTTCCACGTCGGATAGGACGGCCAAAAGAATTGGGGAGATAAGGAGAGGTGTGGTGCACATGGAGATACGCCAGCGGGAGCCACAGCTGTTGTGCCGGGAGAGATACATCGAATTCATTCGACGCGCTGTCAGTCCACGTGACTTGCCATTTTGGGACGCCCTTTCGATTGGGTCGTACGGATGGCGCAGGCGTCGACGGGTAAGGTAGGGAGTTGAATATTGAAGATGAAAAGATGATGAAGCAATAGCAGTAACCCTTTCAGGTTCGGACAGCAAGGCAAGGACCAAGCATGTGGCGAAACGGCATGAACGTTGGAGAACAGGCTCAACGATGAGCTTATCGGCCAAAATATGCCAAAGAAGGAATTAGGCGCGAGGGTTGTAGTGCTTTGCAGAAGGAGACACCGTTTTTAAAGCTCCACAGGATGTATTCACAATGTATGGTCGTCTACAGCGGCTGCCCAGAAAACGCGCTCGACGAAGGCCTTCCGCTTCGGATTGTACGGGCAAAAGAATTGGGTAGCGAGTATCGACTGTGGTTGACATGGAAGTATGGCAGCGGGAGCTACAGCCGCTGTGTCGGGAGAGATACACCAGCACTTTCGAGGAGCCGTCTGTTCACGTGACTTGCCATTTTGGGACGTGCGATCGATGAAGGCTTGCAGGGGTCGACGAAGAAGGGAGGGAGGTGAATAGACGGAGGAGAAAGGCGGCAATAAAGCAGTAGCCCATCTGGGTATAAGATCGTGGCGGTTTTGGAGCTAGAGAGGAAGCTTTGAACAGCTATTGTCCAGCCCAACGGCAAACGGAGAACGAACTCGACCAAGGCCAAAATGCGCCGAGGAGAGAACTGGAGGTGAGGGGTATGGTGCTTTGCGAAAGGAGACACGGTTTGTGCACCTTTACACAATGTTTTCGCCACGCTGCAGGGTCGTCTGTTGCGGGGCTGCGACTTGTGTGACCAGACCAAGACAGGCGGCAAAAAAGACATATGCATGTCTGACCTTGAGGCGGAAGAGGTAATGGGGACGAGGGATCATTTGTGTTGTGTGGTTTTGCGTTGGTTGTCGATGAACGGAGAATCCGCTGAATCTGGGGGGGACGGGGGTGCGCTATCTGTCGTGAAGGGGTGATGGATGTATTGACAGGTATGTCGAGAGTGTAGATACGCGTTCGTAAGATGTTCTGCCCTTGGGTGGTCAGCTTGCGGATTCTCAGAGCGTGTAACCCAATCCATACCACATTTCTCCTCAGAGTCGTCTCTCCTACGCGTGCTCCATAACCATATCATGCACTTTGGGAATACTGCGGCAAATCCAAGGCAGGCGCTGGCCGCTTCCACGCAGTCCACCGCAAGGCTATCCGTCGTTTTCATATTCGTAACTGGCAATGGCGAAGATGATTGGCCCCGAGGGAGAAATCATGACAAGGTCGGCGTGAAACGGGGATAGAGGAGAGATACGGGTGCCGGAAGAGGTGCTCGAAGCCCGGTATCCGGGGAGAAATGGGGAAGAGTGGGCCTGCTGAGTAGGATGGGGGCGAACAAAGGGCATTCTCTGGCTCCGAATCACTTGAAAATGGCGTTGGAAACCATTGGGATGCGGATATAGCGTCAGAGACGGGTAAACGCAATGCGTGTAGCAGATGCTGTCCGATAGTTGTTTCAACGTTGCGCTCTAGGCATTGCATGGTATTATCTGCATCGCAGCAAAAAAAGAGGGCGGTAATTGAGTCCTGAAGTTGAATTGAGCCATTCGAAAAGCAAGAAAAAAACAGGTCAACGCACTAATGCCCGCCATGCATGGACCCATTCTCCTTCCCACATATAACTGCCCTCTCCCTCTCCATCCTCTCCCACAGCGGCAGCGCTACCTTCGTCTCTATTTTCGCGGGTTTTGGGCTGGAGAATGTGGTGGGATATGTGGGCTGTGTTGACGACATGACCGCGTGGCAAAAGAGAAGAGGGATGGTCACATTCTGCCTTGCTCCTCCTTTCGTTTCGCGAAACGACACACATGCTAGCATTCCTGCAGTACCTTTGCTCCGCTTCGCCCAAGCCAGCACGTTTTCTAGCCGACGAGTGAAAGAATATGTTCCTATATGTTCTCGCGACCTCTGCTTCAACTTCCGATTTTCTGACTACAACTTCAGTATCTACACGCCAACTCCCGTCAACCACTCCGTTCTGCGCACTTCCTCCAGCTTGTCACCGCACTGAAGCTCCTCGCGCCCTATCTGGTCCACCCTCTACCAATGTGCTCCCTCATCTCCCCGCCTCTTGTGGTCGACACTGTCTATCATATTGACAATGGCCGCAATTTCTTTCCGAAGAGCCTCAACACCCTCGACAAAGCATCAATTGTCTTTCTAGATTCATAGTGTTGCTTTTGCTATGTACCCTTTCTCATTTACAAGATGACGCGGCATCATACAATATCCATACATTCTCGAAGTGCATGATTGAATGAAGACGAAGACTTGTACTATATGTCGATGCTAATGTATCGATGAATTTGTGTTGCCAGGCAGAACTGCAGAGGGTTTGCCCTGATGTTCCGTGAAAATCGACAGTGTGCGTGCTTTCAATTCTTTTCTTGCCTCAAGTTCAGATCCCGCGGCGAGTCGCGCGACCGCTGCGGCTGAGTGCTCATCTCCGAAACGCTCACGTGTCTTCGTTATCGTTTCCTTCCTATCGGTACCTCTGCTGTCAAGACCGCCCTCCACACTGAATCGATTGCAACCTGAACCAAACTTGAAGCAAGTTACAAGTAAGATACTCTGTGGCCATACCACCGCGGCCGGCGCACCGCCAACCAAATCCATCTACCGGAGACTCACGAACACTCGCCCAGTTGAATCTGCAGTAAGGAATGTTAGTCACCGGCGCAAATTCATTCGCGCCACCACTCACCCTGCCGGCGCAGTCACACAGCCCGAGTTGTGAGTGCTGCTCGCCTGGGCGCCGTTGGTGCAGGCGTCGTGTTTGCCGCCGGACTCGAAGAACTCGATACCCTTGGCGCCGTTGAAGGAAATGCTGCGCGCGGTCCGGCCCTGGCCGAGGAGAATGCACTGGCCCGACTTGCCGTCGGAAACTGTCTCGATAACGCCGCCAGTGCAGCGGGCACCGACGTGCCATTTCAGGGTTGTTGCGCTCGCACTGCCGGCAGCGCATGCGATCAGGAGCGAAGCAAAGAGGTTGATGAGTTGCATTGATATATCTGGGTCCCGAAAACAAGGGTAAATTGGGAGTCGGTGTCGAGCTTTCGACACATGGCTTGCGCATGGACAGACTAGTACTCGCCCTCCACCGCCGCAAAATCTTTACGCGCAGTAGCCAACCTATACAGTCGTTGGTTGACCCGCACATGCGATGCCTTCCCGAATACATCCAGCCTCGACAACTCGCGCGCTCGGAGTCTTGGTAACTAGCGCTTCCGGACCACACAACGATAGAGGCGATGAGGGAGAGCAGCTCGACCAGAGATGATGTTTCTCCTTCATGTGTATCGCAAAGATCCAGCGAAAGCAAATGGCCATGTTGGGCGATCGCGAATGCAGATTATTTGGTGCGGGAGGTTCAGGCTCTGTACATCGCTTCGAATGGGAAGCTGTTAGAGGCACGAAACGAGACTCACAGGCTGTTTCGGTGGCAAGACAATACTTACTGATTTCTCGTCGCATGCGTGAGCAGTTCTCCTGCCCACATAAACTCTGCTCTTTCAGCCGCCCTTCGATCCGCGTGGTCGATTTGGGATGTGCTCTCAAAGGAACTCGAAGGTCGGCAAAAACAGGGCATGAAGCGTGTCAAACGGACTTGCGCCATCGGCATTATGGGCAGAAGTGAACATGGGGGGATAGTTATTGCGTGTTGTGAAAGCAGAATTCGACTATCGCCAGCAGTACCACCACGAGAGCTCCCACTTGCTCGCCCTTGACGACACTCTCGTTTCGGCCAAACCAAGGCGAATCAAGTTATCCTTCGGTCCCAGCCCTCGAAAGTGGAACCCACTGAGTCCATCATCTACCACCTATCTTGTCGGTTATTCATCTCCTAGGCGAGCGCCGCGTCTCCTCCCAACACGACCACATTCTAACTGGTAGATGGCGTTGACAAAAACACGTCCAACGAGGGCCTTCCGTCGCAGATTTTGCATCCAAAAGAATTAGGTAACAGGGGGTGTTGCGGCGCAGTAAGCTCTCGCCGTAGCGATACATAGCGCGGCTTCGAAGATATATCGAATGTGCTTGGCTTGGGCATGAAGATGCCGAGGACGACGGCAACGATCATGGTTAGACAGGCGGAAAGATCTAGGGAAATCGAAGAGGCGGGATAGCCCTTCACCACAAACACACCACCGATGACGCGTCCAGTTATGACCTCCCATCTCCTATGCTTCTATGTTATGCATGCCGACCCACCACCTAAAACAGCGCCACGAGCGCCACCTACAACAGGAGCGACATCCCCAAACATGAAACCCCATCGTGCACACTATCGCACAACCCTAAACGGTCCCCGCTCCCCCGAGCACCGCGTCTTAGTAGCACTAGCGTACTTGTCCGCGGTATAAAAATGTGATTCAAAAAAAAAAAAAATAAAAAAATAAAGCAACTGGCACGTGACCTTCTCCTTTGGGACAGAGGTCATATGGTCGATATGGTCGATACTGCGGGGACAGGAGGCGAACCAGAGGTGGATGGATGAGGAAGGAATATGGGTGAAGATGCAATGCGTGTTGAGTGGCATGTCTATTGGAACGTTGTTTGGTGGTTGGCAAAGCCGCGAAGGAGAGAGAGAGAATTTGAGTCATAATAAGACCGCTTGAGCAGCCGAAGTTTATGAATGAGTTTAACGATTTGTGCTGACGGTGGAGAGCATCTAAAAGATGACTTTCCGCGTATGGAGCTGGAGGCATCTTCAGTGATATGTCGACAAGCCTTCAGAGCAGACTGGTGAGTTCCTGTGTGTGGGCAATACGACCAGGCTCACCTCAAACGCGGAAGATTCAGCAGTAGATCTTGTCGCAGAAGGGATAGAATGGCTATCGCGTGAAGACTAGCTGGCGAGTGAAGTCAGAATGTGTGAACAAGCGGACGGGTGCGGCCACGCACCTGTATCGAGCCAATATTACTTCGTATTTGAAAGTGAGTGTGGCGGCGCCAGTTGCTTCAAACTCGACCTTTTGCGGCCCCAGATACCCCCCTCCCCGCCTTTTAGCTCTCATATCCTTTCCACGTCACTCATGCCGCAAGTTGTCGAGATACCAAACGCCGTTAAGAACCGTCATGCGAAATCAGCCATCTTGAGTGCAGCTATCCCAAGCCAAGGGATACATCTTCGCCGTTAGTGGCAGCAACGAGTCACCGACAGTATGTGTCGCGTGGTGGGGAGGAGTGGGATGAAGGAGCCCGTGTCGTCGTGGAGGAGAGGAAGGAAGATCGGGCCGAGCCATGTGATCTCGATCTTCTTTCCTCTCCCCACTAACGCTTCTCTTCTGCTCGAGCGCCTCGTCTTGGACATCTCTACGTCAGGCGGTAGCTCTCAGACCTCAATCTCCTGTGAATAGCTTACCGTCGGTGAGGATGTCCGCCCTTTACTGCAAGTTCAGTGTGTCCTGACCACGCTGTTATCATGATATCCCTAAGAAACGTCCCTGATTCTTGCAAATGCCGCGCAAAACTTCGGGTGAGAGGGCAGGAGAGTGGATGTGGATGCTCTCAGGCTGGCGCGGGATACGGAAGGACTGGCCGAAGGTGTGTGTTGCAATTGCTATCATTTGTGGTTTCTTGCTGACCGATTCTCTCAGCAATAACACCATGCACATGCTCACGCTCAAGTACCCACACACATCCAGGGTCCACCCCTCTTAGTCGCTGTGCTCCCTTGCCCCGGTAAAGACCTGATATTTCCTGAAGAATACATGTCGCGAAATACACGACTGCTGCTTCGTTCACTATCTTCTCTGCTATAGACCCTATCGCCGGGACGTGCTAAGGGTTAGGAGGGTGAGGTATGTTTCCTTGATTGCCGCCGGCCTCTCGCTCAATCGTTCACAAACTTTCAGGCATACTCTCATACTCAGATTCGTACCGAATACCGTACCAGTTAACTGTCGAAGCTAACAGAATTGCTATAACAGAATTGCTTCCTACTCTACTCGCTAGGCTCGTTGTGGACCAACAGGGGGTAAGTACTGCCTGTTACCCCAGTGTATAGTAGTGATGACACGCAATCAACTAGGAGCGGGCACGACCGAGCATGATATCCCATTTCATCCTCTACTCAATCTCGTTGTTGACGTCTATTGGTAGACCAGTAGGTGACTCAGCGTCCAGTTTGACTTCGACTGACGGCTTTCACCGCTATCTACTGACGAGAAATGCTTGTTATACGACATTCGACACGATTTTACACAGGTACTACTGGGAGTCCTGTATTTGGTACTAGAATTGGAACGCAGCTACTGGGAACTCAAATCTACGCAAAGAATGGTCAGCGACAACTATCTTCTCTCGAGGTACGACTCACGCCAACCAAACATCATACCGCTGCTCGTCGCCGACAAGCGGCGGGTCAATCGGAATCTCGCGGTCTCCGAAGCGGCTGCTGAGCCACCCATGGAACGGGTAGTCCACGCATCCATTCGGAAGGAGCTGCGGCCGGGCGCGGAATCCGCCGGGCTGCACCTTCCAGAGCGGGCCGTGCTCCTCCAGCTCCCGGCAGGCAAGGTGCTTCGAGTTGTTCTCCACGTATCCCTTCTGCACCTCCTGAGCGGCGTCGAAGGGGAAGTCGTCTGGGAACCAGCGCTGCGCGGGCGTAAGTAAGTACTATCATCGTCACAAGAGCAAAGCTAACCATTCCGCCGTAGCCGTCTGTTGTGGTACCCCCATTGGAGAGACAGCAATGGATCTCGCAGAACGGGACTGTGTCGTGAATGTCTAGACATTACTCAGCTCGCGGGTACCCAACACAAATGAGATCGACTCACGGAAGCGGGCCTACAACGCGACATATGAGCACGATGACTTTAGAACAAAAACAAGACTCACCGTCTCGCCAAGTCCGAGCGTCCAAGGTTGGACATGACAAATCTTCTCCATCGCGTCGTCGCCAAAGACCAGCTGAAAGCCGCTCATATTGTAGAACTCGAACTCGTCCAAATCTATGCTGCGATCAGTACCTTCCCCCCGAAAAGCTAATCAACACTCACTTCCGCTGCTCGCCCACGGAAGCTGGTCAACCCTAGTGAAGCCAAATTGCAGGGCCTTCACGTCTGCCGGCGCGTGGGCCGGGAACACGTTCCCGACTCTCTGCGCATCGAATGGAACGGGCCCTGCGCAATGTCCGGCATATGCTCCATCAACAGGAACACCGCACCGTCAGCACCAGCCCGAACAGTGCCGTCCGCTGAGAGGATTCTCGTGGTGGCCGCCTGGAACCGCTCTGGCGCGAGGGTGCGTTGGACAGCCTTGCCGTTGGCGCTCTTCATAACAATATCCCCTAGGCATGCTTTTCAGCGCTGACTTGAATCCACCACCAAGAGCAGAAACATACCATACAAGACCTTGATTGCATCCTTTGGACTACATCCAACCTCCACATCTGGTGGGACAGCGTAAACATGGAGGCGCTTGCCGGCCACGGTGATCAGCGGCATGGATACAACGCCCATGAGACCAAGCGTCTTTGGACGTGGGATGACCAGGAGGACCTCGTGCTGCAGTCGCGCGGCACGGATGTCCACTGCAGCATCCGGAGCGAAGAACACACTCGGGTTGATGCGGAGGCTCGGGGCTTCCGGGCCGGTGTGGTATCCGGGGACGTAATACGAGATCGAGGCGATGTCCGCAGGCTACTCATAAGTAAGGCGCTGCGAAAGCTTGAAACCTGAACGCACGCGGTCCTGGTTCGTGTAGTGCGCGACTGCGAGGCGGCCGGCCGAGCGGTTGGTTATCTGAGATTTCTTAAACGTTCCTGTCTTCATTGTCTTGATATCGATGGGCTTCATGTATAGGTAGACGCCAGAGTTCTTCGCTGCAAAGATTTCAGTGCGACCTTGAAACTAGTTGTTGTTGTTGAAGACGCACGTTCTTCAATGGCTGGAACGCGTGGTAAGTAACACAGTAGGCCACTCCAAAACTTGAAAACTTACGTGCTCCCATGCAAGCGATCGCAAATGAATCAATGGGCCCTGGCAATGTTCGTGAGCGGGCGCGGGATCCGCTTTCGTGAGCTGTCAACCCGCCATCATTGTGGCGCGGCTAGCGTTTGGATGCCAAGCTCCATGATTCGTGGATAGAGCTCAGCACACCCTCTGCCAACTTTGATCCCATCAGTTGAGTCTGAAAATTGATTTCAATTCACGGGGCAGTTGTTTCGATGCGGTGTCAAAATTTCAATTCATTACCCTTGTGCCCTTTAGGAAACGTGTTCGTTGTTCTGCTCCCCCACACGTCGTGTGGATCTGCCTGCAGGCTGGACAATTGACGCGTTCGTGATTGCACGCAACTACTGTTGGCCCTGTGAGTCGAACTGATCGGATTCCGCACGGTATAAATACTGAGGGGCATTTTCAGCCTTCTTCATCGTTCTTACCACTCACCAAACTCCAGCAAGATGTCAGCTACCGCCGAAAGTGTACCAGCAACTAGCAACCTGGAACCCAACGACACCCAGCTGAAGAAACACTGGTTTTCGCTCGAGCTGAAGACCGATTCGGAACGATATATATAACATCTTTTTTCATTGTTTAATAGTGTAATGAGGTTTTTTGCTCTTTATGAGCTTGTTGAGTGGTGTTTCTGACTGATCTTGAGGCAGTTGGGATGTGCTTTTGTCCAGAAGTGAAACATGTGTCCTGATAATTTGAAGGTTTGTGTTTTCAACTGTGAGCTTTGTTTTTCCTGGATTGAAGTTTGAGTGATGTGTCTTGAGATAAGCAGATGGTGGTTTGTGGTTTGAGGTTGGGGTTGTCTGACAGGGATTGTCATCAGATGACAATACATCATGATCAGACCATGATTGACAATGGTCTGTTCAATATCTCATTGCTGATATTTATGCAGGAAGCTCACCTATTTTGAATGAGTTTGGACCCAGACTGAAAAAGTAACTATAATTAAATTTAGTAATTAATGTACAGATTTGTTTGTTATAACTCACAATTACTATTGAAGGCAAAATACTGAAAAAGGGCATCCCTTTATTCATTTTGAAAAAAAAAAAGATTTAGAAAGACCTTATGGATGGGACAGCCTTGAAATTAGCCCAGTGATTCGACCCAGGGATCCAATAACATTTATTACTAATTCACTGAAGCTTTTTTATATTAGTTTGCAGTGAGGTTTCTGGGTGTGTGAGCTTCCATACCAGATAGAACTCTTTCTACTCATCACCTATTGTGAGAGCAACCCCGGAGGCTCTGACCTAAGTCTGGCAGGAGAGGATCCAAAGAGAAGAATCTATATAGTGCATGCCTAGATAGGGAATGGCACGGGTATACCCACGGGTATCCGAGGGCCTACCCGTACCCATACCCGCACAGCCACAGTACTCATACCCGCGGGTATGGGTATGGGTTTACCCACGGGTTGGTCCAGCCTAGAATGCAAGGAAGTCCATTGCTGGACACAGAAGGCCTATTGCAGGCCTTATCTCAAGAGGACTGTAGGGTAATAGTTGAGGCAGACTAGACAGGGCTGGGGCTATACCCCAGCTTTGAATGCTACTTGGATAAAGTGAATTTGTAGGTAGAAAAATATTGGAAAAATCCTACCAACTATACAATAGCACACAGGGGCCCAATGACCTTATTAAATATCTTAACTATGTTTTACATTGTACTTATAATTTGATACAATATTGAGAATAGTACTTAGAAGTTAGCACACACTTAGCCTGAGGTATTAGTATGGTAAATAACCCTAAGTATGATGTGTTCATATACTTGGTGCAATATATCAGACACAGCTTTGTATTTGAATTAGGATTGGTTATATTTTACAGCTTTTGTTACTAAGTCAGGGCTTTAACAGCACAGTGTGCCAGTGACCCTTGAAATAGCAGTGTGGAGTAAATGAAATACTAAGGCCAGTGCCAAACATGTGCATATATCCACACGACATCTGGTTAATATAAGAGTAATTAGCCAAGGATGGCTACTAATTATCTGTAGACCATAGTCTCGGAAACCCAGACGTTTATATGCAATTCGAGAGGGGGAAGCAAACGGATTTGTGTCCAAATATGTTAATGGATGACATTTCTGACATTTGATTGATGTTGCGTGGTGGTGGGAAAATTTTAGGGCGTATAAACGTCTGGGCCACTCGTCATAGTGACACCTACCGTCACTCCTCTGCCTCAAATTCCTGGACCAATCCTGGGTGCCCCTCTGCGTCTTTGCAAGCCAGGCTCTTCAAGGAAGGCCTGTGGGGGATGAGGGCCAGCACCCAGCGCTCCGACAGCGTAGTGCTGAGGTCCTTGAGGATGCCCGGTGTTATATCCGTGCCGACTCCGGCATCCGTCTCCGATATCCGTCTCCGGTATTTGGTTTTTACGCAATGAAGATTTACTGAGCGTTTCCAATTACTCCGACTTATGATCTATGCAATCATCTATGCCTTGTTCCTCGTATGCAACTCCTCTTCTACTTTACTTGACTTTGTTCTAATCTTGTTACTTACTTTGTTATACCTTATTCCGTTTCCGTTACTTCTCGTACTATAAATACTTTGATGTATTATCACGTACTTCAGTTTGTAAATTAACGTTGCTGGTCTCTATCTCCCAGCGTCGTCTCGACTCCGCTCTTCCTCTCTTGTCTTGTCTTGGTCAACTGGAAGCCCCGGTCACCCAAACATCCTTCTGTGGTGTTCCGCCCCAAGTGCTCTACGACTTCGATTCCGTTTCCGTCTCCGTCTCCGTCTCCGTCTCCGTCTCCGTCTCCGTCTCCGTCTCCGTCTCCGTCTCCGTCTCCGTCTCCGTCTCCGTCTCCGTCTCCGTCTCCGTCTCCGTCTCCGTCTCCGTCCCTCTGGTCGACACGGCACTTAACACCCGGCTATATAGCTATGGGCTGAAGCCGAGTGACGGTAGGTGTGACTATGATGACCGGCCCAGACGTTCGTATGTCCAAAAATTTTCCCACCTCTCTATCATCAATCAAATGTCAAACACGTCGTCAATTAACATATATGGACACAAATCCGGCTACTAGGATTCAGCGAACGCCTGGGTATCTGAGACTAGTAGACCATACCATATGCAGCTATGGCCGTAATATAGTACAATATTTGATAGTGCCATTATATTGTATGACAATGATAGGACAGTATCCTGGTCCCATTCCTATAATCCCAGCCAAATTTTGCCCTGGAGTGACCTGGGTCAGCCAGTGGTGCTGATCACCTGTGTAGAGAGGCTTGTCCAGCCCCAGAGGTTGTCCCAGAACTCCAATACAATATGGTTATGACACCATATTATGCCTGGCTATATGTGTATATTATGGTGATGGCCAACAGCCCTAATTGTTTCTCACACTTCCAAATCAGGAAATATTCATTAATTTTTCTCTTAATGACCTCTCCGTTACCTATAGTGTACTAAAAGCAAATCTGGCCTTAACTATATTGGAAGATCATATGTAAATGTTCAATCCTAAGAATCTTAAAGAGCTGAATGATCATGTCATTGTCAAATTAAAATTAAATCAGTGTTGGGAGGTCGGCGACCCTGGCTCGACCTTGAAAGTCGCCGTCCAGGGAAAGTCAAAGGCAAGTCGGAAAGTCGGACGGAAAGTCTGACAGCTCGGTGATCGGTAGTCATGTAATTGCCGGAATTTGACGTGCCCAAAATAATCTTTCCCACACGAGGCGCCTTGCTCTGAGCGGGATGCTGCGATATAGCAACAGTCTGAAGCTTTGCTGTTCCCCATCGATGGACCGCTCGATGCCGCAGCGGCTTGCAGCTGTAGGCACGCCTCGCTTTCGGCTACGAACGACTCTTAAATGCCGCTGAGAGAGCGCGCGTCTTATCCCGTCTTTCGCCCCATGTCAGCCACCACGACCGCGCAAGAAGCAGCCAACCGCCAATGGCAGCGTCAACACTTCCGCGACGACCCTGCTGTGGCCGCTAATCGTGCTGCTGGCATCCCAAACACGGGGAAGACCAAGGTCATTTGCCGCCAGCATCTCCAAGTGCGAATCCAAGAAGACCGGCTGGCGGATCTCGCGAACGGTCTCCCTCAACGCTCGGAGGACGATCTCCTTCCTATTTGTGCGTCGCTATATCCCCTACTCACCTGTTTTCACTGATTATCGCGTCCAGATTTCGCCACTGACGCCAAAGCTCAAGATCGGATGTGGATGCAAGAACGCCCCGACACACTTCTTAATCACCTCTCCAAGTGCGAACACGAGACGGAAGATGTTCGACAACGTGCCAAGGGACGATCTCGAGCAGCGCAAGGCCAAGCCGAAGGGCAAATCGACGGCCCCGACCAGCACGTCCGGCGCACACATCCTCATGCCATTTCCCTCGACTTCCTCCAACGATCCAGCCTACAACAGCCTTGCTCTTGCTGGCCAGACAGCGTTCCAATACGCTGGGATGGGCTTGGATAGCGGCACGGTCTCCTTCCCATCCAGTTTCGATGCGACAATCGGATCGAGTACAAGTTTCGCGTTCAACGGGATCCCATTCGAACATCGCCCTCGTCGCGCCTCCTCCCCGTCCCTCGTTCCTGGCGACTCGATCTCCGAGGCTGGCACTGTGCCGGGCCTGTCGCGTCAGCCGTCATTCCATGGCTCGGACACTTCCAACAAACGAGCACCGCGTCGACACGTTTGGTACCCAGGCCTATCCAACCTTCATGGCAGCAATGCAGCAGCAATTCGAGTATCGCATTGCGCGTCTTACGGCGTCTGGCGGCTTGCCGCTTTCGTGGATCGAGAACCCGGAAGCGCTCGCACTATTCGCGCTATTTGTTCCGGGGGCCGTTGTGCCATCGCGAGCCGTTCTGACGCGCCGTCTTATCCCGGCCGTCTTGAAGGAGCTCCAAGACGAGGTTAAGAAGCGTGTACGAGGGTCGATGGGCACTCTGCAAGCAGATGGATGGACGGGAATTGATTTCCACCATCTTATTGCGTTCATGCTGGCAGCGGCGGGTCATATCAACACCGTCGACGTTTACGACGTCTCTGACGAGCGGAAGACGGCAGTTAACTTCCTTCGACTCATGATGGAGGTTCTGGAGAAGGTGAAGAGGGAATGGGATGTTTTGCCGATCGCATTTACTTCGGACGCATCTGGGGAATCGCGCCAAAGCGCGTATCGAGCTCCGGAAGCTCTTTCCCGAGCTTGTTACGCCGGATTGTTATGCGCACCAGATCAATCTTATTGTTGGCGACTATTTCAAGGAATGAATTTCTTACTTTCGCCTAGGCTCCCTCACTTATAGTATCTCCAGGTGGATAAGGGCTTCCTGAAATGGAGCAAGGAAATCACCGACCTCATCGGATGGCTCCGGAGCAAGACATTCGTCTTGGCTCTTCTCCGCGAGCTACAGCGATCGTCCAATCTCCCCGTTCTCGCAATTATCCGCGCGGTTTTGACGCGATGGACCTCCCACTACCTCGCATACACTCGCCTAATTGCTGTAGGCCCGCCTCTCCGAGCACTGGTTGCCCGAGAAGACCTGCGCGGCACGGATAACCAGCTCATCACCGGCGACAGCAAAGCGAAGAAGAAGGCCCAGAAAATGGTCGCGTTGATCAAGAACCCACAGTTATGGGCTGCTCTCGAAAGGTGCATCGCAGAATACTCCATCATTTTGTGTTCTTACATAGTCTAGAATGCGAACCCACCTCTCTCCGCTCGCACTATGCGCCAACATGACCCAAACGGCGTTCTGCCGCCTCGACCAGGTCCTCTTCTCGTTTGGGTACATCTACTGGTACTTCTCATGACTCGAGGACCCCGAGGACCAATTCGTGCGAGCCGCCGTCCTCGCTAGTGTCGAGCGGCGGTGGGGAAAATGCGACCAAGACGTTTTCCTTGCGGCTGCAATCGCCAATCCATTCCTCGACCTCAACGACTTCATGCCTCTCCCCATCCTAACGCGCGGCGCAATCTTCACTCTCTGGTCCCGCCTCCATCTTCGATTCGAGAAGAAGGAAGCTGATCCCGCCACCCTTCTCGCCAACATCAATGACTTCTTCAACAAAACCGGCAGCTTTGACACCCTCCCGAAGCTCATTCCGGCCATGCGAGCAGCTGCTCTCCGAGAGAAATGCATCCCGGACCCGCTTGCGCTATTCGGAATGCTCTCCTTCCCCGGCCGCGATATTCCCGACTCGCCGTTTATGGCCGTCACGAAACGCGCCCTCAACATCACGGCCAACTCTGCTTCGTGCGAGCGCCTCTTCAGCGTTTTTGGTGCCATACTCACCAAGACCCGAAACCGACTCGGCAAGGAGACGTTGCGCAACCTCGCTGAACTAAAGATGCTCATCCGCGACGAGCATCTGCGGAACGGCGATGTCAAGCCGCGATTGAAACGCAAGTTTGAGCAAGCAACACCCGACGCTCAAGCTCCTTTGCCTTCCACCATCATCGCGAGCACCGACGCGAGCACCGAGCCGGATTCGGAGATGGAGCTCGATTCCTCTGCGGAAGACCCGGCAACAGCTTCATTGTCAACTTCGTCTTCTTCGGAGTTCCATTCGCTGGCCGAGCAGCTTACGCCGCATGGTCGCTGACGACGAAGATCTCGTCGATATTCCGCGGCCCGATCCCGCCAGCATATCGGTTACAATTGGCGACTTGTTTGACTTCACAAGCGCAAGTTGGGTCCATGGGTACGAGCTGGTGGGGAAAGAGGCACTCAACAATGAGTCGGAGGTCTACGAGCTCCTCGATCGCGGCGCGACGGACAGTAACGGTGCTTCCGTCGAAGTAGATGCTACAACAGCGGCTGTATTGGGTCTGTAGACTAAAATACTCGTACTTTCTACAACCAACACTTGAATGAGCAGCGTCGCCGGCCATTTACGCGCGCTGTGGGCCAGCCATCACATCGTCGTCAAGTCCAAAAGTCAGGTCGCCGACCTTGGTGATGGACATCGGCGACTTAGCGGGAAAGTCGGCGACTTGCCGTCGACCTGCACAAGAGCTGAATGATGCTCATTTGACCATACTAGTAGCAATCACAACTATCTAAGGTTGTAGCATTAAGCCTGAGAATATGAAGAGCTTCTTACTTCAATATACTTTTACCTAAACCTGACTAACTGGATCTATATAATTAAGCCTAGATATAATAGTAGGTTCTGTGAGGACTAATTTATAATGATAGTAAAAATAATCTCATACCCAACTAGTTATTTATATGAGATTTCATCTTAAATTCAAGTTTGGTATCTCACTGGCATTCATAAGATATTTCTGTACAATAATAACTTTTGCTGATATACTCAAGCCCAAGTATGAGTACCATACCTACCATGGCAATGACAATACTCTTGAATCTGACTAACTCCATTTATATCATTAAGCTTAGATGTGATAAGAGGGCTTTACTGTAATTCACCACTGATAAAGGCAACAACAATCTTGGTTTCATATATAATTGAGTCTTGATACAGTAATGGAGTATCCAACTCAATGCCAATGAGAGCAATAACAATACTCCAGTACCCAATTCATTAGCACTACTATCCTATTTCAATCAAGTGTCGGTCATTTTTTCCACAATTCAGAACCAGGAAAATTTTCTTTTGATTTATGGTGATTTTTCATGAGGACTTTTTTTGGTCAATGTAACATATAACTAGGAGACTTAATCAAAATAGGACAGTATTTAAGTGAGCCAGGAGTTATGACCCCTGATTATAGCTATAATCATTCTATATTCCACTAACCCAAATTTTTCAATGCAAGCTTAGTTATAATAAAACAGTTACAATGACCAGATGATTGCTATTTTCACAAATGATGGCATGTCCAAAAGAAAGAGAAAAAATTATGTGATGCTGGTACTTGTCCAGGAAGAGAATAGGTTGTGCTTTTGGCTGTTGTATCAACATGTCAACATCTCACTAAACAAGTATGCTTGGTCTCCCATATTTGATAGCTGGAATGTTGGCTTCATCACCATTGATGCGGTCTCGAGCAATGGCACAAGTGATAGTGTGTGTTGACATATTACTAAACTCAGTGATTTCATGGCAAGAGTGTTGGCCCTAGTTGACTAATTGGACAATAACACAATAGACACTATTGTTGATATGTCTAAACCCCATGGGTAGACAGGAAGAGGATAGGTGTGTATATTGCAGTGGTGGTCAGACACTACTTATGATTTATTCTCTGTTTATCAACTCCAGGCATGACATGATATATTTGAAATGCCATCATTTATGAAAATAACAATAAGTGACTAGATTATAATGATGACAAGAATGATTTTGAATCTAACTACCTGAACTTCTGTAATTGAATATTCATAGAAGTGATATTGAAAGTTATCTGTTTCTTATACAGGTTATTAATTGCTCTAGATTTGAAAAGTTTCAAGCAATTGGCTTTGACTTGGAACAGCCATAGTATCACATGAAAACTTATACAAGCAGACCATGGAGACCTTTGAGCTGTCATATACCCAGTTGGTATTTTACTTGTTGTGAATCTCATATGTCAAACTCAGCATCTTAGACAAAATTTCCCCCTCCCTATGTCACACTGGTTTTGCAAATTTGGCATCCCAAAATGGTAATTTTGTGATTTCTTTCAGTATCTCTGGTGCTAAGAATTTCCTGATAAGATTCTCTGAATTGAGTTTTTATCAATAGCATTTTGGCCATTTGAATTAAGTAAAATGTTGAAGTTTTGATGTGTTTGAATGTTCTGGCAGTTTTACTTATGCTGACTGATTCTCTACTGACTCACTTGGAATATGTTAGAACAATGTATAACTAGTAGATAAACCCAATAGATAGTCAGTATATGGCATTGTTTGCCTTAACGCACAGATCCCTTACAGGAGTGTAATTGCAATGCTCACTTTGATCCCATCACATCTTAGATCAACCGGAATTTCAACATAAAATAGTACTATATAGTGCTGGACCATGATCAGACTATAGTCAAATGGTGATCTGACTATGGTCAGAAATTGACACTTTGGGATAAATTTTTGAAGTCAGAATTTGATCATGAGGTAACATCACAGAGCAACCTCAGACCTCAGAGCTGACAGCTCAAACCTTAATCTTGCACTGCAACCTCAATGCGCAAAGCACACTCCTCAAATACAAGCATCACAAACCTCAGAATCTTATGAATATACCTCATTCCTTAGCTCAACAAGCACTGAATGCAAGCTCATATTTTCCAATGAAAAAAAAGGTCATAGATATATCGATCTTGTTGCCGAGGTGCGTGGTTTGTGCTGGAACATATGTGCGCCTGGCCGACTGACTGCCCTAGGTGTCCCGGATGCGTGTCAAAGCCAAAGACTTCCTTGAGGCCTACGATGATGTCCAGCAAGCTGATGCAGTCGATGCCTTGGGCGCCATGCATCTTACCCGGGCTCATATACTGACCCATTTCCTTCAATTAGGCCGGTCACGGTCACATCGGATTTTTTGGCCGAAATATTTCGGCCGGTCACGGGTCACAGCCGATTTTTTGGTCCCAAAGTGTCCCAATTTGGAAGAATTTCACAAATTTCGTGCCTTCGGCGTGCTGAATTTCCTATTTAGGTAAGAGGTCACACAAAATTCGGCCTCCGGCCGAATTGGACATTTCAGCCAAACGGTCACGGGTCACAGGCCCGCTGAATTGAAGGAAATGGGTCAGTATTTCGCCGCGCACCGCCGCGCCATCGCCGCGCACCTCTGTCACGCTGCCGCACCAGTCACACCAGTCGGTGAGCGGCGAAGTACTTGATCTTACATCATCATGTACTTCGCCGCTCACCCTTGTCGAAGTCGTTGCGGCCAAACATACTTACCGCGTCGGAGATGCCGCGACAAGCATGGAATTGCATGAGAGGGACCCCGACCAAGAGCTAAGTTTCTCCCGCAGTCTGTAGGATGCTCCAGCGCTGTCATCGCGCGTTCAGCGCCGCCGCCCAAGGGTGCGCGGCGATGTACTCAATTTTTATGATTTGAGATTTTAGTGGGGGATGATAGCCCTTGGTGTGCTGTATGCAGTACTGAAGGCCTCAGTGTGAAATTTGCAGTTGTTCTTTCTTGGTTGGCATTCTAAGTCATCATATGTTTTTGAGGGATTGTTCGATCTTGCTATATAACTCCAAATTTCATATGACCAGTGAGCCAGGAAACTAGGTGGGGTCCATGAGGCCACAGTGTGGTACCTGCACTTCAGCCATAGGGCAAATTGAAGCATCACAGTTGAATAAGGGTAATTTACCTCTGTCAACGTTCAACTCTGCCAGTGGGGCCCCCAAATTGCGCCGCAAACGCACACATATGGGCTACTAGTATCAGTAACAACTATCCTGCATTATGGTGGTATTTCTCCATGCTGTGGGCTTGCCGCATCGCCGATATCCAGAGCCGCGTAGCGGTGAGCGGCGAAGTCTTCGTTGGTCAGGATTCGGGATTTCCATGAATATTGTTAGCTACAAGCATGATACACATAACAGTAAAAACGGAAATGCAAAATATAGAGTTGTTGTGCCACAATTGCCATTCTAAGTCGCCTAGTGCTTTTAAGGGATTGAATATTTAACACAGAGTGTTATTGTTGGGTTGTTACTCAGTAGAATGTGTATATACTAGAATCATTCAAAGGCTTATACATGAGACTGGTAGTGCGAAGACTAACATGGTTCAATAGCACTTCAGCAGTATTTCCCCCTGTGCCCGCTGCTACCGGTCGCGCCAGCTGCCTGTGCTGTTGATGGTTAGACGCATTGAGGTGGGCGGCGCATAAACCTCAGTAGTGTAAAAGATTTCGCCGGTTTTAGGGTGGGCGGCTCGGAAGCGGCAGGTGGCGGCTCTACGAAAAATCAGTAGACACTATCTTTGTAAATACATCACCGAATAACGACTTCTTTCGGCCGTTCAATAATCCCCGACGAGCCCTTTCGAACGCGCCATTGCGCGGCTCGAATGGTGGCTTCGTTGTCGAGCATTGCTTTAGAGATGTTGTTGAGCGAGAAGACTCGAAGCCCAGCCCGGGCCACTTTGAATCTTCAAGCAAAGTAGACGGTGAAGTGAGTGCAGGTTGTTGTTTGCGAGTGCCGAAGCGTGTCGAGCGCGGTACGCGGCAGTGAGAAACGGGCCAGTGGTAAGTATGCAGGCTATGTCGCAGAATGGATAATGATAAGGCCGGCAGCTGTTGTAGCGGGGACACTTCCGCCTAGCCCGGAGCTCCCCGGCGTGGTTTATTCATCGTGTGGGGCGTCAGTGAAGAGATGAGGGTCGCTAGCAGTGGTGTGGAGCATACTGCGCGTCGAGAGACTTGTGATGCAGCGGAGTCTAGTATTTTGGAAGGGAAAGCTCTAGCACCTCATCGCATGGCATCATCGCGCCAAGTCCGCCGGGCAGAAGCCTCCCGGCGGAGTCACTCGAGACCTTGAATGCGTATGCACAAAAGTTGAACCGCGCGGAGAGTCGCCGGAGACAATGCCGCGTCAATAACGATGCGTGGTGCTAGGGCCCAGGGTTCCCAAGCTGGTTGTTGCCCGTGATGATCATGAGCGCCCGCACAGTTGTCGGTCGCACCTGACTCGCTGGCCAGCGTCAGGCCAAGATGTCGAACGGTGCCTTGCGGCGACCCGCGCCGTCGCGGGGTGAGGATGGGTGAAGAATCCAGACCCAGCACTGTGATAGTGTGTTGAAGGCCCGGTAAGAAGGGCGCTGACGGTTTTTTGTGCGCGTTGGTGAAAGCTGCGGACAATCGCAGCGGTGGTGGTGGAGCGGAAGAGAGAGAGAGGCATTGGGTAAGCATCACCTGTCATCTCATTGATGTGTCAGCGTGTCGTCGCCCGACGGCAACTGTTGACAACGACGACGACGATGGCCATGGACCAGCCGTATTTCCAACGATAAGAATGAGACATATGGGAGTATGACGACCAACAAGGGATGGCCCGGGAACTTGATGATGATGAGAGCCTGAGAGCCGCCCTAGCCGCATACTGTGGTGTACATCGCCGCGCTCCCGTTTTATATGGGAGCCGCGCCCTGTCACACGAGCGCCGCATAAGAGCCGCGCCGCGCCGCGCAAAAACTGCCACCCGCCGCGCACCACCAAAAGTACGCGGCGAAATACAGGTTGCGAGCCGCCCACTGCCGCGTCGAGCCGCGCACCCAAAAAAGTCGAAGGCCCGTGCTCAACAACGAGAGCACCGTTCGAGCCGCGCAGTAGCACGTTTGGAAGGACTCGACGGGGGCTACCGAGCGGCTCAAACATAATGGCATTAGCTTAAGTACATACAAAGATCTTGTCTATATAAAATTTCACAGAGCCGCGCACCTGCCGATTCCGAGCCGCGCACCCCGAAAGCGGCAAAATCTTTTTGCCCGGGAGACAATTGTCTGTTCACAAACCACCACCCACAGAATTTTATGTATGTAACTACCTTGTCTCATTATCGCTGCCTTGCATCCTCATCGCCTGCTCACAGTGCAAGCAGCAAGACTTGGTTCTCCCCTGCTGCTATCATTTTTGTGGCACAATGTTTCCTGAGCAAGTGTACAAATGGATTAAGTATCATCCTCCTGCATGCAGACCAACTCTTCAGTAGCACGGTAGCACTGGAAATGTCGCCGCCAACGGCAAAGCCGCTCTGCCAGCTGCACGTCTGTGATGTTAGAATGGCAAGATCTCTCTGTGAAATTTCCTCCATATCAAGTTTGAAGTTCTCTTCGGTCTACATGTCCGTGTCTTATCCAAGAATCTCGGTCAACGCCCAATTACTTCTACTTGAAGGAACGCGCGTTTCGGCCTGGGGTAGTACCTCAGCAGAGAGCGCTCAAACACCGTGACTCTCAGCTTTCTATTTCAGTTCAAGTTGGGCAAATTCAATAATAAGATCCCCCAGCTCTTTCGCCCTCTTTTGATTCTTCTATCAGGAGTCCGACATCCCCATAAACGATGCCTTCAGAATCTCAGCCACAATTTCTGTCATCCTGATAACCGCCTCTTCTTCCTGTACGCATCCGATTAACTGCAGTCCGACAGGACACCCCGGAAATTTGTCTGCCTCATCTTTCCAATCGGACACCAGATTAGCAAGGGTCAGCCGAGACCTTCAAAAGGGATAACGCACAGATACCATATATATGTTCATCTTCGTGATTGTAGAATTCATGTGGTGGGTGAATGTCATCCAGAGTGGGGTCCACGGAGTTTACCGGGAAGACAGAGCAGGTAAGATCAAGTGCGCTGCACAAAGTTGTGTAGAAAGAGTCTCTAGAATGATGGTATTACATAACGTCCGACAACTTGGTCCAAGTACATACGTGTTAGCGCCATGCGGAACCGCTGTTATATGCGACGGCAGGGCAAATAATTGCATTGACAGGTCGTCCAGTTGTTGTCCGCACAACGGTTGCTTCCCAGTGATCCAGATGGGAGAGGAATGGCACAAAGAGTAGGAGTAGGACTGGGGGAATCCTATGGAGTAGGACTCAGTCCCATTCTAGTAGGACTCAGTCCTGTCACTCCTGTGTGAAAGCTTGATGTGATGATAATGCCATCATAGTATGATGATAAATTGATTGCAACAATAAATATTTTGTTATAATTAGTATTACTGTGTGTTGGTTAGTATTGGTTAGGGTTGGTTAGTGTTTGGTTAGGGTTGGTTAGGGTTGGTTAGGGTTCAGTTAGTTAGGGTTCGGTTAGTTAGGGTTTGGGTAGGGGCAATGAACGTATATATATGCTGTTGGGGGAAGTGCTGAGTCAATGCTGTAACTTGTTAGGGTTTGGTTAGGGTTGGTTAGGGTTAGTTAGTGTTTGGATAAGGGGTAAGAATGGATAGAGAGTACTTAGATATCATCATTGATTGCTGTTGACAACATTTGTTGATTGATTTAATTATCAACATTTGACAGCGGAGTGTTGTAATCAATAGGACCGAGTCCTATTCCATAGGATTGAGTCCTATTCCATGGGACTGAGTCCTATTCCATGGGACTGAGTCCTATGCAGCCAGTCCTACTCCTACTCTTTTTGTATATACTCCAGATGGGATTTCCTAAGTTCGCGTTTTTCTTTGTGTAGTTGCCAAAGCTATGAGGTCTTTTAAGATATCATGTGGAATGTGAATGACTCTAGACTGGCCTCCCAAGCGCTGCGATGATAAGGCCTCCCAACCAGCTTTTTGACCAGAGGCTCCTCAAGTATGGGGATGCTAGATTTAGGCACCTCTAGATCGGTAACATGTTCCGAAAGCTGCATTGTTTGAATAAGTGGTTCAGCGCCTTCACATTCTGCTAGGTAGTCGTGTCCACCATTGGCCGCAAATATTGTTTCCTACCTCGAGTCAAGTTTATTTGATATTTAAAGATTTTTTTCACACTGCGTTTTTGTATATTTCAAGGTGACGGTGATTCTCCCAGTCAATGACTAATGAGTTGAGACATTTTTTACTTGCTCAGATGTGGCATACTGACCTTGATGCCCGGCTGCTTCGAGCGCACTTTTAACTGTTCGCATTGCTCGATGAAGCGGCGGATGAGGCTTGACTACACCTAATAGGACGTCAGGAGAGCATCTTTCCAGCCAAGAAAGAGACAATCACCATTGTCCCACATTATGGCAAAGCATAATCTCCCACCGCCTCCATGATATTCGAGTTGATACTCGCTCTCGCTCCAGGGCTTTCTCAGTACTAAAGGATCACGGCGCCATGGTTCTGTCCCCAAAATGGCTTTCGTGAAGATTTTGACACCAGACATCGAGTTTGCCATGGGCCCGAGAACAGAATTAATTGACTCTTGCCCTTCAAGTGCGTTCACAGCACCATAGTAGGGAAGTCGCACATACATCTCTTGCTGTCGATGGAAGGTGCTGTAAGACGGACGGAGGGTATAAAGACCGCAGAAAGCACTGGGTATTCGGAGGGAGCTGTACCTCCATTTCAGCTTGACGTAGTAATCAAGATGAAATCAGACCGACCCACTAATATTGGTGCCTACCCCGAGGGGGCTGCCTTTCATCGCTAATAGAGCGCCTTCTCCGCCGGAAGAGCCACCGGGAGTAAACGAAGTATTGTAGGGATTCAATGTACGACCGAAAATGTGATTGTGAGTTTCTCCTTCGAGAGTGTATCAGTATTATGGATTCGAGGAAGGAGGGCCAATACCATGCATCAAGGTCTGAGGAACATTGGTCCGCACAAAAGGAACTGTGCCGCATTCGTACAACAGTTGCACAAGCACACAGTCAGAGGTTGCAACTCGTCCAATCCATTTGGCGTAGCCTGTCGACAAAAAGTTGAAATGCATAACCGGATGGCAGCTGATAAACCTAGGACTCCATTCATTTTAGTTTGAAATCATTTGTAAACAATAATAAACGTTTAAATAATCATTTTGTTTGGCTGACTGGCAAATAATAGACAAATGAAAATAAATGGTTCAAACATTACTCCTGTGAGATACTCAATTTGAGTGTCTTTGCTGGGATTGGGGCTCTATAATGGGATAAAACCCTAAGACTCATAGTGACTCTAAGCAGTATCTTGCTCATTAGGCCCTGTACAATGCCTGTGTTCACTGAGAAGACTCTAGCAGGTGGAAATTAGCCATTAGTAAGGTAAACCCTGTTATGGATCAAAGTTGGTATGACCCCTGAACTTGATTTGTTGTTCCAACACCATTTATATTGCAGTTTTTATTTTTGGAATATTTTGAATTACTAGATAATACTATTATTGCCTAATCTTAGTGATATAGCTATCTTATAATATGATATCTTGGGAATTGATATTGTCTGGTAATATGATTTGGTCTTGCAGGAAGATTACTCAAGTTTTTTGTCCTTAATATCTGCTCAGAAAATTATCCATCCATGGAATCATTTGTAAATGATTTAAACCATTTTTAAACGTTTATTAATAGTTTTCATTTGATTTGGAATTGCCACAAACGAAAACTAAATGATTGGAGTCCTAGATAAACCACACCCATTATAGTTTCGAGTCCCTCCATACTGAATTGGTCTGCGTTACTGGTAGTGTGAGGGTGAGATAAAACGGATCTCACCAATGACGCACCCTTCAAAGATATAGGAAGCCCGTGTAAAGGCCCCAAAACTGTCCCCGTCCGTGAAAGATGGTCATCCACTTCTTTAGCCCGCACACAAGTGCTCGCTCCACGAATATTTCCGTGAGGCAGTTGGTTAATTGCTGTGCGATGACCGCTCGCTTATAGAATGCGGTTGTAACTTGAACAGAAGACCAAAGTCCCAGACAAAGGTTCTCCAGGAGTATAGCGATGTCGACTGTCTCCGTGATTTCAAGTTCTAGTTGGGACAACAAGCCGCATTGTCGAGGAATGGCCATAACATTCAGTTGTTCTTTAGGAAGGGGTTTCAAGATCCATTCAGATGGTATGGAGTCCAGTTGAGCCTGTTTGCGATGATTACATCATAATTTCTCTTGCCAGTTATGTGGAAGGAGCGATGTGGTAAGAAATGATGGTGGTGGAGGCATTGCTGACAACTATGAGGGTTCGTTTGTACAAAAAATAATTTGCGCGTGCACACATGATTTCCCCGCGCGCACAGAAATTTGGTTGAAATTTGGTACACGAGTATATAAAACAACTGTATAAAATAATACAATACAGTAAACACTACCGAGTCCACTGTTTTCGAACTGCTGTGAATGGCCTGATTGGTCTCAGGCAAGCCGCGTCCGCCGTAACGGCGCCGTTGAGTGTGATGTGGCCGGAGGAGAAGGGCCGACGTGACAAGTAAAAATGTCACACCCCCATTGATTGATAATTGAGACTACAGATGATTTAAGGTGGGCTGACAAGCGGCGTAGCACAAACTGACTGAAAACACTGTACTGTAACATCGGTTGAATATTGAGCGTTCAACTTGAATACATGGTGACCAGTGACTATTGAAGCTGAATCAGTAAGAGTGACTTGAAATGACACTAGTATTTCAAGTATAAGGACTTATACTTACACTGATTGTTGCAAATAAGTAGCAATTGGACCTGAATGTGCTCATTTTCAGATCTGAAACTAGTCTGAAATGGGGCTCATGGAGATCTTATTTCATTCAAGAGGAATATTATTTTATTCTAAAGCATGAAATCATGGAGTTTATCATTGATGAGATATCATCTCAGAGTAAATGTAACTACAGGTCTATTAGCAAATCTGCAGCAACAGTGAAGTGCGCTGGCTTTGCGCGCCCAGGTAAGGTGGTGGTGAAGAAGAAGGAGCGTCACGAGGAGCGCGGAACGGGGAACGAGCTCCGGGCAGCGGTGATCGGCGATCGGCGACCGGCCGGCCGGTCCGAATCGGGACGAACTTCCGTGCCCAAAGAATGCCCACTATCGGGCCTCAATATGGTGGATAAGAATGGAGAGGCCCATCGCCTAGGGCGCCCAGGACCATCGAGATAAGAGAGTGAAACGCCCCGATGGGCTGCTCGCGTTTTAGATCCAAATCTGAGATCCCAGATCTCAAAAAGATGAGATTTTGCGATGAATCGGGCAGTAGAAATTAGTATAAATTAGCAGCATGTATGTACAGTACAGGAGAATCGAGGTTGGCCCCAGCCGAGTGGGGTACTGTGTCTATTTGTTGAAATTCGCTGTTGTGAACGTCTGTCGCGCTCTTGTATCGAACCCATCACTGTCCCGCGTTCAACTCTACCAACGGGTAGAACGCTTCGCTGCTTACATAATCGTCGTGCTCGTCGTCGCCTACGTCCCCCCCACCCAATCTACACCCCAACCCCTGTGAATCCGCCCTCTGAATTGCCACAATCATATATTTTGATTGGAACCCCGAACCCGCGCGCATACGGAATCGACTACGACGGCTGAGCTACAAAGCACTCTTGGACCAACTGGTTAGAGCGTGTGCGTGTTTGGTTTAGTGTTTTTGTGTTAGTTTTTGTTTGGTTTTTGGCTTCATAGCTCTTTTTCCCCGTCCCCACCGAATTCGCGCGTTTCAACAGTACTATTATTATTGCTCAATTTATCCCCAGAAACAATATTTTTTGCAGGATTCAGACTTAAAATTTCAGAGCCTGGAGACACACCAGGGTTTCGGACAAAAAAGGTGGCCCGAAGGAGGACTTTTTTGTGGGAAAACCAGTGCCAAATGTGGTCAACTGATTGCATTCAAATCAAGGCTGCGGATTTTCCTGCACGTGACTCGGAAATTACCTTATCTGGTAATTTCCCAGTCACGTGCAAAGAAATCAGGGCCCATGATTTACGTAAAGATCGGTCCCACTGATTTAGGCCTGTATCTCCCACAAAAAAGTCCTGCTTCGGGTCACCTTTTTTGCCCGAAACCCCGGTGTGAGAGTCGGTCCGAATACACCCGTTGACATGGGAAAATGTGACACGGCATGCACTGATGCGGTGGTGGTGACAATCACCGCCATTCTCAGAGGTGTATACAAACTAAAGTCAGTTTGTGAATAAGGTCAGCACTGAGCAGAGAAATATAGACATACTCAGTTCTTTCGCCGCCTTTGGAAGCCTAAACCTAGTAAACCAGTACACTTTCTTCTCTGAAGGAGGTCCTTTTGCTGAGCGCACCGAAAAGTCGGATCAATTTGGCCTAGCCGATGACGTGTCCTGACGTCGGGACGGTCAAAGTCCGACATAGCCGATGGCCGGGCACCGTCCATTGAAAATTGGGGGCAAGCTTGGAAACGGCACTTGGACCGCCAAAGTAGAGCCCTTTCGACGAGTTAATGGCCAGTTTGGGCTGGTTTTGCACTTGAAGGGCAAAATGGGACAAAAGATGATGTGCGCGCGGGGAAATCATGTGCGCGCGCGCAAATTATTTTTTGTACAAACGAACCCTCATAACAGCATCACACTCTTTCGTCTTGACCATCTCCACCACCGACGATACCGGCTTGCTCATACGCCCTCCTCGCATAAATATGGCTCTAAGAGCCACAAGTTTCTCAAGGCTGTCTGCGGAGAAGGTGGACGGAGACGTGAGGCGGGTTGGCGCTTGGTCGGGCCGATTTTGCCTTTCCTCTTGTTAACCACGCCCATGCCGTCTACAACGTGGGCCCCGCCCGCCAATGCACGCCTGTCTTCCGCGAGCACCACTGGGAATCTCATGTGCAAAGGAAGATGGTACCCGTGCCGAGGCGCGTCCTTCAAGAACCTTCATTCTCTGCTGTCGCTGGCCATCCCGTCCAGCGTTGGGCTACTTTTCAATAACTCCTTGCGGCTCTGGTTGGAAGGACGGTGGATGGGCACTTGTGGACTGGCTCCAGGGTGGGCAATGAAGAACGGGGACTTTGGTGGTGGAAATCGTGCGTGATTCTGCTCCTTTTTCCACCCCATCCATGCTTACGCGTATGCTAGCCAGATGCGTCTACTCAATTGCTACACATTCACATATTCCGACGCCTGGACTTTTCCCTATCATCCGAGCCCTGTTCTTCTCGAGTAACAGCTTTCCCGACCAATTGTCCTATCCTTCTATCATGCCCCGCCATTCCAGAAACACCAAGCGGCCCCGTTATATCCTCTTCCTCGTCCTACATGCTATGTACAGCTTCCGCATCTCGTTCGCTGCTGCGGGACCGAATCACGAGTACGAACCGACTTATGGTCATCACAGGAGAACGGCACCCGGCTCGTTTACCACCGACACTGTCGCTTTCTGTCTGCCGACACGAATACCACCAACTCGACCTTTTTCCATCTCCAAGCTTCTTATGCATCTCCAAACGATTTCCCCGACATTCACATGGCGACTCCATTATGTGGTCGCGGCGCGATTATATGTAGTCATTACAGACCTCACTTATTCCTTCCTCCTCTCCGCGACCATATCTCCGCATCCAGCGTTCCTCCAGCTCTCACACTCCTCCTCCAGCACAATAGAGGTCGCAAATGCATCAATCGACAATAACGGGGCCCAAAGTCGGCATTCTTGCCTTATCTCAAGCGTCATATTGCAAAAACAGCATATATCGCTTTCCGCGGGTGTTCTCCTTATAGGTCACTCGCAACGACTGGCCCGTACACAATACCATGCTCCTGCATTGCCCGCCCGGGCTCACAGGCGAAATTGGTAGCTCGTTCGAAAGGCCGTTCATGTTTTCCCCCTCCCCTGATACGATTGCACGACCCATCTGCTCATACTTCCGAGAGCACCTCCCCTTCTTGTCGAAGGGTACCCACCGCCTTGGACACAAGCAGTTCTCGATTCATTTGGCGCGCTGGAACTGCAGAATAGACCCAGATACAGAAAGTGTCGAGCGGTTCCTCGAATACGTCCTTGTCGGCTGCGGGTGCTGGAGCTCGAGTTTGAGAACACACTACCGAAGCTGCGAAGGCAGAGGGGGTTCCTCGGTGCTGCGTTTTGCCTATGACGGTATTTATCGTTGTAAAGTGGTTCCATCACCAAACTTCTGGTTTCGTGTCACAACACTGGGTGGTTTTTGTGCTCAGTGATCATCAAATAGACATAAAATGATTATTGTGTAAGGTTTCAGTCCAAAAAGGGAGTATTGTAAGGCTCTACTGTATATATTATATTCCAGTTAAACTCAGAAAAGGCAGGTTTTTTTTTTAAAAAAAATCACATAGTTTGTCTGATCTGCGCTGTAGGCCGAGGGACGGCTGCCGGACCGTGCCAGCCTCCCTCTTAGTATAGTACGGTCCGGGAAGACGCTGGCCGTGCTGCGGCGATTACGGTCGGCGACACCAATTGGGGTCATGGACTCGGTGTTCACGGCCAGATACGATACGGCGCCAAGAGCCGCCGCCCGCGACAGATGGTTAGTGATGTGACGTCCCCGCCCCGTCCCATGCAGCAACATGCAACGCAACGAAGTGAAGACCGGGAACGCCAGGCGGTCGCTGCTACTCACGAGACTTCCGAGCAACTCACGCCTCACTCGGGGCACAAGCAACGCGGCCATCAAGTCGGTACGGCCATACCGGAGCCGTGGTGAGGGTAAGTACGGTGACGGTCAGCGCCGGAACGTGCCATCCGTAGCCGTATTTACGGCCAATATTTGATGTCACAAATGTCACTTCATGTGATAGCCTGTCACCCTCTAAGCGGGAAGTTCGAGGCCTGGAGAATCCCTGGGCTGGCATGAGCTGCATCCGGAATCTGTTGTCCATGAACTGGCTGAGCGCCAGCCTCATCTGTCTTCACAGTAGGGCGATAGCGAGCCCATGCCTCCAGAAACGCTGCACCGATAGCGCGCGGGAGCTGTTTCCCGCTATACGCATTGCGAAGGGGTCCGCAGGCCAGCCTAGGTTGTGGAGGTAGACGACTTCGCGTAGGGGCATTCGTTGCGTCGTGATCCACTCCAAGTCTAGAGTGAGGGTTATTGATGACCACGCGGGCTCTTCTACGCGGTCCGTGGGGCTTGCGGAGCGCAAGTCACTGCGCGGCACTATGGCCAGTAGATGGTCGGGGTCGAAGCTCATTAGCTCTCTGTGTGAAGTCAGATATATTGGAAGGGTGATGCTCGTAGGTTCGCACCGCATCTTGGGCCTTTGCTCGGAATCCAATGTTTCAGTGTAGAGGTTCAGCTCAGGAGCGTGAGAAGGGCCGTTAGCAGATGGGTTTTCTATTCGCCGCGTCACTTCCTGAGTGGTGGTGCGCAACCCGTGCACGTGGCTGCACGCCTGCGTCACGGCCCCGCTCGCCAAAAAGGAGCGCGGATTCATACCGGTGATCCTATATGATTTGTTCCAGAATTTCATTGCTGGGGGCAGGGAGGGAAGCCAGCGTACTGGGCATAGCCATAGAGCTCTCGCGAATTTTGGTCCAGGAATATCGCAAACACTTCTATCCCGACGTCAAGCGCCCATGCTAGCATGTTCCGCAGCCGGGCAGCGCGGAGAGCGTCTGCAGGTTGCAGCATTCCACCCGGGACGGCGGGCTCGGACCCGTCACCGTCCGGGAAGCGCCATTTACCGGTGAGACGGCTCGCGTGGAGGTGTTCCTACAGTCATGCACATCGTTATGTGTCAGTGCCGCTGATATTGGAAAACTTACTATAGTCCATGTCGTGAAAATGAAGTATCGTGCTGCTTTGCTGGAGGCGTTGATGGACTGTTCTTGGGTTGGAGTGCCATTTGTTCTTGCGACGCCAGGCTGGTCGGATGCAGGGGACGAGGAGGCGAGCTGCGCTCCATGAGGAGGGTTGCTGGCTCCGACAGACATGGTGGTGAGTCACAGTGGAGGGAGGAAGAGACAAGCTAGTCCCATGGCAACCACAGCGTCCCAGTTTAGCGCGCATCATGCTCGGGAAGGACACAGTGACATGGTCAAAAGATGTGCGGGTGAATTTCCCTTGCGCTCCCGTGGTGTGTAATGTGCGCGGGATAGTCGTAATCCGTGTCTTGACGCGTCCTTGACACAGTGGTTATGCGTTTTCAAGTTTGGCGGCAGGAAGAGACCAAAGACAACGGAGTCGAACGGACGTTATCGCCCCCCCAGTCTCCCAGAGAGTCTTGTCTCCTATCGTTACAAATGGATGAGCCTGACGGGGCGACAGTGTTCGCATTAGAGTGCGCCAGCAGCTGTGAAGACAAAGAGATCGTCAGTTACCTTGACAAACGGAGACCTGCAGTCAACGCACCCTGGGCCCTCTATATCCATATATCGTTCCCCAACTCTCTTCCAGCACTCTACGCGCTCGTCCCGCTCGCCATAACAAAACTCGAAGGCAACTCGAAGGCTGTCCGGGTGATAGAAATGGCGCTTGCAATGCCAAGCAGTGAGCACACGCCAAAAGCAGAGCGCTCAGACTTCGAGTGAATGGACTTACGCGGGGCAACTAGTACGCTTCTCTTCTCGAGGAGCGAAGTACCGCCCCGCACAGCGGGACAGGGCGTCTGCGCAGGGAGGGCTAGCCAGCGGTGGCCAGTCGTCGTCGTTGTGCGGAGCCAAGATCGGCGCTATCACGTGTGACGTGGCGTCGGGCCGATCTCGCCTTCTCTGTTTCCTACCACGACCATCGACAATGCCCGCCGCGCCCTTAACGTCCGCCCTGCCCGTAATCGCGCAACCGCCGTTGCTGACGAGCCCCGCGACGATGAAGCTATGCGGAAGGAAGCTGGTTGGCCCAGGCCCGGGTTGTGGGGTGCGTTTTTCGAGAAGCTTCCTTCTCTGCTGTTGCTCACCTTTTCGTCCAGGGTTTGACTGCCACTGTAGTGTGCTCTTCAACGACCGACAACGGCCCCGGTAGGAGGAGCGATGGCCGCGCGCACGCACATGGGAGGAAGGATGGGAAATGCAGAGCTGAGATCTTGATTCTTGAGGAAGGACGGTGCGCGATGCTGCTTTTTCTTCTGCTTCTACCGGGGCTTACGCGTATCTTAGGGCCAGTGCACTCGCTGAACCAGTCATACTTCAACTGCATCTCCTTGACAAGACTTCCCTTCAAGACCTCCACGCGCTGCCTCAAGCAATGATGCCCCTGCGCCGTTTCGCTGCCTGCATACCTCCCTTCTGCTCTTGGTCGAGCCCTCCTTATCGCCATCTATATCTTCAAGCTTCGAAGCTCGCTCTACACCGGGTTCACGGATTGCTCTTCAGCCTGAAAGACTGGGCACCGTTTTACCAAGCTGCAAGCACGTCCATCCAAGACGGCACCATATATTGTACCTTATCCCATTCCCAATCGAATGCCGTCTCAAGGCGTGCTTCTCCCAATCAACCACCTTCTTCAAAAATCACCACCATCCGCCCATGTCGGCAATCACCCATTTCAGCCCCGCTTCTTTACCCTGCCCAACGCTCAAAATCATGGACGAGACCTTCCTCATGCCCGCTCCGTCTCGTTTCTTTGCAGTAGGGTTCCGACAACTTTCGAAAGCAAGCGCGACATTGGAGGCCGTTCTAGCCATACTCGATCTGTCCTAGATAAGTACTAGGACAGATCGAGTTGCCGATGGCTTGGCCGCAGCAGCGACATTCGTGAATCGTCAGTCTTGCGGGTAGCGGTCCCAGCATGCGAGCGTGAGATTTTTGAGAGCAGAAGTGGCTCACGTCGTAGCGGGGGACGGCCGTGCCCTGTGGCGCGGGTTATGGGCGGGCAAGTGGGCGGCGCGAGCGGGAGATGAAGGAGGCGGAGGAGGTTGATAAGCAGCACGTGCTCCGGGCCACACGCCCGATCGCGCCGGCCGTTCTCTCACGCTGCTTTAGACTCGACCACCATGGCTATCGCGTCGTCCCTGCGCAGTTTTGCCCCAACGAGCCCGCCCCTGCGCGCTTAGCAAGCTTGTCGGGTGCGGTCTGCCTCTCTCATCGGGTTTGCCACGGGCTCCAGCCTCGTCGTGGCTCACGCGCGTCGTTGTTGTTGCTGGCTGGGATACTGCGAGCGCGCGAGCTCCTTCTGTCTCGGGCATATGCTAACTGGGCCATGGTGACGGTCAGCCGGATAGCTCTTGTATCGCTGCCCCACTAACCGTTCCTCAATAGGTTCTTGTCATTGCCATACCGTTCTATATTAAGTTGTCGCTATCGAGGGCACTTGGCACTGCGCAGGTGAGCCTGAGTGCTATACTGCTGCCTCGTCGTTTATACTTACTGACCTTTGCTTGCTAGCACTACATGCACTGTCGTCATCTCCCTCTGCGCAACTTTAGTCTTTGCAGTGCCCGGTCCGCGAGCGAAGGGAAAACGCGTGAAGCACGGTTGCCTACGAGGAGCAGAGCGCCGCGAGAACGTGGTTATCCTTGGCCAACAACGCTCGAGCTCTCCTGTGCGGACTCCCACATCGCGCGTAATCCTCTATCTCGACTGGGTTGGAGCAGACTGGGAGCGATACTAGTAAGACTTTGGTAAGACTGCTCACGGGAGGCAAGCGGGATTAACCAGCGGGCTAGGCAGAGATGGGGCCGCAGCTGTGTGGGCCATCACGAGGTCAGTCTGTTTACCAAGAAGTATGGCACTAACCTTCGTCCTCGATAGTACGGCTCGCGGCTGGCGATTTAGGGTCAGGCGGTGCGGATTCGGCGATCTGAGGCCGTGGGTGGCGGCGATGGTGTTGCTGGGAAGGAATTCACTGTTGTCGAGCAGGTGAGTGCGCTAGTCGTCGCGCTCGACGCGAACTGAGGTGGGCATTCTCAGGCTGAGAGTGCGAGCGGGTGATGAGCTGGAACTGAGGATGAGAGGTAGTTTGGGTTCGGAGGCCCTATTAATATTCCAGGTAAGCTCACAGAACAAAACTCGTTGGCCACAAACTCACCTGCTCCAAAGCTTCAATTGCATGAAGCCGATCGTAGCCTCCAAACACGGAGAAGCTGCTTGTCGACTCGGACGACTCTCCCCATCCTCACTAGAAGGAGGAAACACGCGCAACAAGCCCATCGACGACAAATCTTTTGTTTGGATGGATCACAGGCGGACGGGTGGCGAATCCGCGCAGAGACAGTCTGCAAACAGGTGAGCGATATCAACGAGTAAAGATATACGCAGCTCACCATTTCCAAGCATTCTTGTTGGTTCGACGTTGGTCTCCCCGCCAGTGTCTGGTCCTCTTCGAAAAGAGCGACGAAATGTGCATCAACCCGAGATGAATTCGACCTGCTCGTCTGACACGCGAACGAAAGGCGGGCGGCCAACTGCAAGGATTCGATAATCCAAGTTCAAGGTTGCAGCATATTAGTCGGAAGTACTTAGTATGTGCGTTGCAGATTGCGCTCGCATGCGGGTCATCGCTCAGAATTTCGGGCTACGTCATTTCAAGTCAGAGGTGTGGGTAAAGGGCCAGCATATTCATGCTTTTGGTGAGTCACGGTGTCGAGTCTTGTTTCCCCCTTTCAGCGTTGACGATAGATAGACAGAATCGTCGCTTTCACTGTATTTCCCCTTCCCATTCCAATCAACTCTACAACGCTCCGCGAGGTGTCATGCATGTTCCGGGTAAGTATTGTGTTTTGTGTCTCCCCTCCCCTCCGTACTTAGCGGTACATGTACAGGACCATCGCTTTCACTGTCTCCTCGAATCTCGTCGTCCTATCCCAATCAACTCGCGCGATCCCCGCAACGGACTGGTCGTGTCAAGAGAGAACGCTAATAGTACACGCGTTCTTGTTCCCGGAAGCCCGCGCCGCGAAAGGAAAGACAATTGAAGCTGTGCGTGCGTGTCGCGCATCGAGGCGCACGTCTTCTGCTGTTCCATTGCGTGAGTCTGACCATGGCGCAGAACATCCTCGTCGCAATCAAGGGAGACGACCACAGCTTGAAGCGTGGTGGGCGTTGGAGTTGGTAGGGATACAGTAAGTAGCGAAGACGCGTATTGTATACAGAACTAGAGCAAGTACTGGTAAGTCGTAGGACTAAGGAAATAAATGAGCCAGTGCTACTCGAGAGAGGTTACTCGTATCGTATACGGAACGCAAAAGGAAAAATGGAGTAAAGTAAGTCCCAGTAATACATATAAGTACTAGTAAATGCACTCCTACTCGAGCGAGCGAGATATACCTGTCGTCGAAGGCCACAAGGGGAAGGGAACTGGAAATAGCAAACGGGATCGCGATTCCAAGGAGAGTCTTCGTAAAGAACCTCTTGTCGCCGCACAATGACGACAAAGGCTCAGAGCCCTGGAGCCCATTTCTTAAGGCTACTCCGCCCCTCCAGTGCTTTAAATTACACCCGCGACACCACCACTCTCCTCCGTACCAAGCCAAACACCACCCGCCCACACCATCCCCACCTCCGCCCCAAATCCACCTCCGCGCCGCTCGACGAAAACCGCGCCAACGACCGCCTTCCGCGGCGCATAGCCGCGCCACAGTAGATATATTGGAGGAGGTCGATGGGGGGCAGCACGAATCACAGCCTATAGAGCCATACGGCGCGCGCTCGTCGAGGTACATCGAGGGCGTTTGCGGCGACGGGCGGCACGTGACCTTGCCGTTTTGGGAAGGGTGGCCCGGAGGGGTGGTGGATCGAGCGCGGGCGCGGGGCAGAGTTGGGGCCGATGGCGTGGATGGGAAAACGGGAGTCGGGAGATGAGTGAGGATGGGCCGCGAAAGCAGGTTTTCGAGGAAAGGGAATTGCCCGCGTTGAGTTAAGGCGGGGTTGTGGTGGACACAGGACTATTGGCGGCTTCACGACTGTCGGAATCGTTATCCTTGAAATATATGTCGAGCACGTTTGTTTTCTGGCCCCGCTCACGCGTTGCGTTGATCGTCCGCATTGGAAAACGAGGTTGGGCCCGTAAAGTGAAGAGGGCGGGCGCTTATATGGCGCCACATGCTGACGAAAACAGGAACGTTGGCGTGCATGGTGGTGGCGCGGCGAAGGGCACGCTCGCAGGCTGGCGGGTCGGCATCGGTGTCGCTCGTGGAAAAGGACAAGAGAGCGGGAGGAAGGGTGGGGAGTTTGGGTGCTAATGTCGTCCAAAGGATGCTTTTCGCCGACGACCGAGCTGGGGGAAGCGGCAGGGCAGGGGTGTGGGTAGTTGAGCGTGGAACAGAGAGTGGTGTTGGTGGGGTTTCTAGAGAGCGAAAGGCCCTGTCAGCCGCGGAGGACGAGAAGAGAAAAGACAGTTGTTTGGCGCACCATGTGTACTTCGACCAGAATGGGACCCTTTGGAACGAGGCGGTCCAGCGGAGCCTAGAGAATAAAGGGGGGCGTCAGATATGGTGAACGAGAAGGGATAGAGGCTTGACGTACCATTTGCCTGCGAGCGGCTCTGCCGTGCAGCTCTTCCTTCATGGTCCACCACCTTGCGGTTCCGCTCTTCCTAACCCGACGTTAGCTTTATGTTCCGGGGCATCTGTGCATGGAGCGGGTCTACGGAGGGCAATTGTGACGGTGGAGCAGATGGTCGTCGTGGTCAAGAAGAAGGAGGGCAGGGACGACTGTCACACATCTTCACCTATATAGCCCACCTACCCCCTCTAAATAGAGGTGGTAAATATATATTTTCCCCCCTCTAAGCACATCGGGGTTTCCGCCAAAAAATGGCCCCCGAAGCAGGATTTATTGCCGAACCGAAGTTTCGGCTCTATATGTGAAGATGAAAACCAGCCCCCCCAAATTGGGAGTGGCTGTGTTTTGATTACCCTTATTGGGACGGCATCACAAGGATCACATGATGCGTCCAGCAGAGTCACGGTTCGGCTCTCTGCCGCTTGCGGCCTTATCCCCTCTCATTTAGCATAAATAGTGGTACAAAAAAACCTTCACTTATCGTGAATTTGATTGATCATGAATAATTGCATCTAAAAGCGGACCCGATCTGTCAGAAATCGGGGAACGTTTCGGGTCCTCGGATCGGACACGTAACGAGGCTGACATCACCTCGTCGTTTTGGGACCATAATTTACAGGCAAACAATGGACCTGATTCGGCCCAATATTTGTGACAAATTATGGCCCGTGTTCATTGTCCCGATTTTCAGTCAATCAGGTACCACTTAGTGGCCTCATTTTTGACAAAAATGGGGGTTCCAATAATGGCCACCAAAATGTACCTGATTTACCATAAATAAGTGTCCATTATTTCGATCGGCCACTCATCGGCCATCCATCGGCCAGTCGTACTCGTCAGCAAAAAATTCGTTGTGTGATGTTAAATGTCCAAATACACAAAAAAAAAACTACAGCAGGCCTTGGAGATACTCGGTGGCCAGATGGTTCTGAGACTTGAAGATGCGCAAAGACTTCTGGTGGAACCGAGTTTTGTTCCTCCACTGCATCTGGCTACGCAGCTCTCCCCGTCCAGCTTCCATCTTTGTAAGGAGATCTTGGAACCACTCTTCACAGTCAGATGTCCACCATCCTACATGCAACCCAGATGTGTAAAACGAAGGCGGAGTAGGCCACCATGAGATGTGTTTCATCTGATGGCCTGTCGCCTTCGTGCGATCCAACTGATCTGAAAGAAATCAGCCCAAGGTCAACCACACAGAGCCCCACTTACCCAATTGTACGGGATAGACACCGCAAACAAGGCCTTCTTCCTCCGGTGTGAGGCGACTGTAATACAGCGCACCATTGGAGGTGGGATCCGGAATCTTTCCCTCAGCATGCTCAATCTCCACACGATCACACATCAAGGATAGAGTGGGTTTGTCGATGACATGGCGTGCGATTCGAGCAATTAATCCGCCTGCATAAAGGGCCAGGACACCCCGAGGCGAACGCAGGAAGTGGTCTCGATGGCTTACATAGGCCTGATAGTCCAACATCGTAGGGACATAACCTTCATCGCGAACACCTAGACCAACGTTGCTGGGGGGTGGAAGAACGTAGTTAAAGTCCAGGCCTTCGGCAACGAGATGATACTCTGAGCCACACTGGACAAGATGTGCTACGATGTCCTTCCAATCGCTGAGCTGCAGTCGAATGATATGGAGAACATTTGCGGCACTGAAGAGGAGCAGCTTCTTTCCATCCGTTGAACTGTTGCGAGGGGTCAGAATAAATGCTTTGGATTCGTGTTCGTCGGCATTTTGTTGCACGATGACCTTGATGTCAACGCCTCGATCTTCCCACAGCGTGGCTCTGGAATCGGCTCGGCAAATGTCGATAAGATGCTCAGGGATATCGTCCAGTTTTTTAGCATCAACCAGAGTCAAAAGCAATGCTTTGGCAGAAGCCGTAAGCGGCTTGGTGGATTTGCCGTTCCCCAGAGCCCTGCGACAGTCCCTTTCATCCAGCACTTTGTCAAAAGGCTCGTCAATCGATTGATGCCCAAAACGGAGTTCGAGGGTACTTTGAATCTCGTCGAGCTGGCTCACGCGCGATGGATCATCTTCGTCTGTGTTGCCGACTTGAATTTCTTGCTCGAAGAATGTCTGCACGTCCTCCTCAACTGCCACGCTATCTTGAAGAAGATTTTGAGTGGCTACTGTAAGACTGGTAGTCTCTTTCACTACCACGGCGCGTGTTTCTTCAACGAGATGGACAACGTCACTATATAGACCACTGTTTTTGTCATTGGCGTCGTCGTCGTCATCGTCGTCGTCAAAGTAATTGAAGGAGGATAAATCTCCAGCCGACTTGATTGCTCCGCAGAGATCCCACTCGTTTGAAAAGCCATCGTAGATGCGTTGCTCGGGGAAAATGTATTCCATATTTCGACAGCATAGCTGTAATTCCGAAGCTCGCGCACCCAAAACCCGCCCCCTTCATCACTCCAGACAAATACACGAGCACCTCTTTTGCCAATCCCTCCTCCCTTTGCAGCCAGATTTTCTCGTCGCAGTCGCGCTTCTCTTTGCGAATGGAGTTCTAACTCTTCCTTTAGCGCATTGTCTATCCGTCGTCTGGCAAAAAAAGCATCCCAGTTTTCCCCCCGGTTTTGGCCGCTGCCTCTCTCAACGGCGGGTGGTTTTGGAGCCGCAGGAAGATGATGAGACAGGTCGTCAACGACGCAATCGTGGTTGGGAAGGACACCCCATCGGCGAATATTGCTCCGCACGAGCAACCACTCGATATATGCGTCCCGACCCGAAAGCTCTTTCCTCAGCCGTTCAACGTCGGCATCCGACGGCTCGAAATGCACAATCTGCATCGAGGAAAGTGAGGCTAGCTTGGCGACACTTGTCGAACCCATCGAGAAATACAAGGGCACCCTGATGTTGTGGCGAATTAGGATGGAAAACAGCCAGTCAACCTGGGACACCTTGTTTATGGCAGCTGAATTCGAAAAGTCGATAATGCCACCGACTGGCGCGGATACGATTTGAGTCACAATGTTTTCCAATTCGTCCCAAATTTGTTGCTTAATTCCTGTTGCAGCGAACAAGTCATTTCGCCATGAGTTAGCTGCGGTGGAAGATTTGAGAGCCACGGCGTCGAGAGTGAGGATTCTCAGTGAGATGGTGGCCAGAAGCGGAAGAAACGCGTCGCGTGAATTAAGAACAGCAGCCACCAAGTTGTGCTCGGATTCGTAGCGATGGCTATATCCAAAAAACACTGGTGCACGGTGCCGCGAACCACGATAGTCAAGAGGACCAGCCTCGCGTACTCGACGTTCGAGCCAAAGAAGACATTTTTGTAGGAATGCCTCAATTCGCAGCCATCTTTTGAGAGGCTTAGCGGCCATGACCCAATGTCTCGTCGACACCATTGATTGCGAGGCAACCGAAAAGACATGAGTGGTGCGACGCTCGATTGGGACCGTCCGTGTGGTCATCTTCAAACTTTGCAGCAATGGTCCCGTGAACACGTTGGTGCGTGGAAGGAAGAGAAGATGAGGCATTTCGAGGTCGACCCAAGCTGTCTGGTGAAGTTCTCCGTCGAGCGTTTCGGGGGATGAAGGAGCTTTTAAGTCTCGAGGGATCCTAGTCATGAATTCTCGATTGCCATTGAGTACAGTATATACTGCGGGCAGGTTGCGGACAAGTCCATGATAGAACTTGGAGTGCTAATGTTCTAGTTAGTGATAATGCAGCGTATGAAGTATATTTTGACTGACCGGTGGTATTTCTTGGGGGCCCAATTGGCTTCGAGGGACAAGTCTCCAGGAGTGCGAAGGGAGTTCGGGATTCATAACTTCGCCGTACTCCTCCATTGTGAGAGGACGGGGCTGCCGTTTCGCATTTTGGCTGCGGCTAGTCGATGCGGCCGACGGTTGCGCGGCGCGTCGTGAACGCGAAGGACCGGCTTGAGGCTGTCGAGATCCCTCAACGTAAGACGTTTGGGGGCGAGAGGCAGATCCCTCAACGTAAGACGTTTGGGGGGTGCCTCTCGAAGAGCCATGGCGGTCGTGGGATGACTTGCGGTGGGAGCTCATGATGGTTTGAGCGATGAGGGGAAAAAACGCCGATCAGCGTCACGCCGGCCGATGGCCGATGGCCGATGGCCGCCGATAGATCACCTGCTGTGACATCGTCACACCACTTCGAGGTTGTTATCTTCCTCGAAGTCGCTGTTGTCAGTTGTCTCACAACGGCACAGCTCGCCCGCCTCAAATCCGGCGCTGATGTCGAAGCCCGCCGCTACTGCCAGTTGTCTTACAACGGCATAGCTCGGGCGAGATATCAACGGACATACGACAGATGCAAAACTTGGCCAAACTCGACGCGACTATTATTATTATTATTATTATTATTATTATTACTACTTTTTGGATTCAACACATCGGAAAAAGCAGGTAAACAATTGTTCATAGTCTTTCAAACTTATTGACAAATTAACTAGCTACTCCGATTACATACGACCAGTCGCTGGGACAAAAAGTGCGAACGCCTCAGCTGAAACTGCAAGCTCCTTCTGGAACACGATGGGCTTCGACGCGAGCCATGCGCTATTGTACAGCACCTTGGGGAGACCTTTAGGTGGGGCTCGAGTTCCCGGTTCTTGACCTCGCTTTCTCGTAGCAGGCTTGGGACCTCCGTGGATGTCCTGGATACGGGCGGTTTGTGCGTCGATCAAGCGCATATAATCTGCCACGGCGGGTTCTCGCCATACACAGATCAAAATCCTGTAAACGGTGGTCTTCTCCCCATTTTCCTTGATGTCATACGATTTAACCTCCTCCGACATGCCACCGGGACCTAGGAAGAGGAGCATTTCCAACAGTCTCTCCCAGGTTGGAACGTCCTCTGCACCATCAGCCTGTTTGAAGGCAATAGTAGCCTTAACGGTTTGAATACGAGTTCCATTCTTCTGTGAACGTGTTGGTTTAGAAGAGAATACGGCAAATAAACACGAACATAGTGCTGAACGTTAATCTGCCTCCTTGCTAGAGCTTGACACTCCAGCACAATCTTGGCGCGCGCAATTGCCTCGGCTTTAGTCTCCCACCGACCCATCGCCTGACTGTACTTGGGCTGAAACTTATTCCATTCACCTCGAATCCTCTCCAACAGTTTGTCCATCATCAACTCAAGATACTTGACGGTGATAATGCCATCCTTGATGTAATTTGAGCCGCTCTCGTCATTCGCGACAACAACTTCCATAATGCGCTCCTTTTGAATGACGTTCCAAGCCGATCTAAGATATCCTGGACTAAAATCCCACTGGATGAGATTGATGGGCACTTGGGCACCGCCATCAACTGCGTTGACCTCGCTCTGGGAAGCCGGAACGTGAAAGACGAAGTCCGTGGTTTGGTCGACGCAGAAACGACGATAGGTTGCTTTGCGCACCATTGCCGTCCTCTGCTAGTACTGCAGACGCCAGATGTTAAATCCTATCCAGACCCGAACTTCTGTCGCAAATGCGATATCTGTCCAACCTGCGGTACTCATCCGCGAGAGGCACCAGGCGCTTATCCGCCCGCTTCCCATCCTTCGGCTAGCTCTGCTGCTGATCAGAGTAAGTCTGTTGTTCAAGCCCTTGTTCCTATTTCTAACATCTTCCCAGTTGATCGTCTCCCCCGCCTGCCCCCCCATATCCTCCTCACACTCTTCTTGCTACAGTCACATCACATCGACTGGCGCCGCATCGTATGGGAATACATTTTCATTCTTTGCATCTATAGTCTCAAGTTGTAACTCTTATATCCATCCCAAATCGAGAACAAAGATGCCCTTGTCCTTTTAACCGAGCGAATTTAAAAGGGTCGAGCGAGTGTGCCAACTACAAGGTTCGCCCGCTCTTGCCAGACGTTTACGTCGACAAATGGCGCCGACCCATTATACATGCGAGCGATGTCCGTTGAATGGTGGACAAAATCATCGAGTACCCAAGCTTGATCGAGTGCTGCATCAAATAGATGTGAAAGCTCAGCAGGCAAGGGATGCGCAAGCTCAGCCAGAGCTCACGGTTGATCACCTTGCCAATCTCTTGACCACCGTCGTTACCTTGGACGATGGGATCGATCCGCGGAATCAACTTCACTCGAAACTATTCAGCTCGCGGGATGAGGTTCAAGCCACAGCCCCGGATATACCTCTCCAATACACTCCTGTCTCGGCAGCAGATGCGTTCGACAGTATCCAATCTTTACTCCCTCCGAAGCTGACTCTCCATACTATGGCACGGCAAACTCGACATGAGAATGAAGCTCTTCTCAAAGACACATTACAACGTATTCACGCCGCTCACCGGGATTTGGACATGCATCACGCTCTAAACGACGACATACGCGACTTGAGACGGTCTCTCGAAATGGCGACTTCGACTGTCTTACAGGCAGGAAGGCTATTGGCGAGCATCAAACCACCCAGCAAGGCAAAAACAGGCTTCTCTGTCCAAGAGAATGAAGCCTTCAAATCGTTATTACAAATGGTCAAAGACGAAGCCCGTCTATTGGACTCATTGATTGACGTAGTCGGTCGTTTGGTTCCTAAATCTGTCGTCAAGGACGAAGTCCAATACGATTCTGGTATGTTATCATATATCTTCTCGCGCTAATTATAACTCAATCCGCTTCAGATCACCACTTCCAAAACCCCATTGGAGACTACGATACGGTGGCGCAAGTTATGATTATCTTGGCTGTAATCTGCCATGTTATCATTGGAATTAGCACCAACCCCTGCGACCTTATCCTCAAATTCGTCTCCGCTATCATCCAACTCACGATGTCGATTGGGTCATCTGAAGATGAGCGTAGTCCACGGCAAGATGATGTTCTGAAGCAGTTGCCCACTAGCTTGGAAACCGCACTGAACAAATTCAAAATCGACTCCAAAACCATCATCTACGCCACATGTCCCTCCTGCCATTGTACTCATGCGCCAACTGAAGACCGACTTACTGGTGACCCAATATATCCAGAAAATTGTGTCAACTACGTTTATCCGCAGCGTGGTCCGGCTAGGGTGTGTGGCAAGCCAATCCTCGAAATGCGACAAGGGAAGCTTCGCCCCATCAAACCCTTCGTCTATGCACCCTTCTTGGATTATTTGGCAGCCACGCTCTCCGATCCCGAAGTCGAAACTATGTGTCAAAATGCCTGCGACAAAGCCTTTCAAGCTGTACAGAATATCGTGGCGGACGATCCCGATGCGCCCAGATCAGCGGAGTCGGTAACCAACGTCTTCGAAGCCGAATTTTTACGCACTTTCCAAGGACCTGTCCCCGATCAACTCTTCATCGAACAGGATGGCCGTCTGAGGCTCGCTTTCGAGGTGATGCTTGACTTCTTCAACCCCGATGGAACGAGAAAACGCGGTAATCATAACTCGATTGGTATTCTCGCTGTCGTTAATCTCAATCTTCCGGAAGACATTCGATATCGGCCTGAATTTATGTGGATCAGCATCATTTTAGGGCCCGATGAAGCGAATTTCGAGGAAATCAACCACTATGTTCGTCCTCTTGTTGACGATTTCGTCAAGGGATGGGAGCGAGGAATCTATCTGTCTCGAACCGCCCTGTACCCGGCGGGCCGACGGGTCGATATCATACTGGCCATCAGCATCAATGATCTGCCGGCGACTCGGAAGATTACCGGCATGGCGGCGGCATCTTCACATCATTTCTGCATGATTTGCGATTGCTATGGTGTCAACCAGATGCATCGTACAGACTTTGAGAACTGGAACCACAAGGACATCGACACTCTACGGTCTCAAGCTTACGCGTGGCGCGATGCACCTACGCAAGCGGCACGCGATAAGATCTTTGCTGAGCATGGGGTCCGCTGGTCCGAGTTCTGGCGACTACCTTATTGGGATCCCACTCGAATGACTGCTGTTGACTCAATGCATTGCATTCTCGAAGGATTGGTTCACTATCATTGCCGTAAGGTTCTTCGTATCGACGCCACTGCCGCTCAACGGAAGGAGCATCTCGGTGCTGCTTTTGAATACGATTGGGTTGACTATGACCCTGCTGCGTGCCATCCAGATTACCACCTCAAAAATCCAGCCAAGGAGGTCGACCAAGTTCATCGTATTCACAAAATCCTTGAACAACCGTTGTCAACGCCAAACGACGACGAGGGTGATACTGAGATGCTCGACATCCCTACGGTCAACGTCGACCAAATGCGTGTGAGCCTCATGAACACCAATCTCCCTGCCCTTCGCTTCGTCGTCAACTCCCTTGGACTTGATTTGACCCGAGTCAAAACAAAAAAGTTATGCTGCGATCAGCTTCTTGCCTGGGTAAGACGCTTGATCTTACTCCCAAGCTCGTTACTGACCATTCGTTAGCGCTTCACCAAGCCTCGATTCAACCCCGACTCCATTCGCAGATCCATCAATCTTCCCGATCTCAAATTCATTCAAACCGTCATCGTCAACACTCATACCCCTTCCTGGATTGGATCCGTCCCGCATAACTACGGGGAAAGCAATGCGGGGACCATCAAGGCGGCTGAGTGGCGAATTTTGGCCACAGTCTACTTACCGATTGCGCTGGTTCTCCTCTGGGGAGATCTCGTCCCAGAAAATGGTCGTTTACAGGCGCTGCTTGACCATACAATGGCACTGTTCGCTGCGGTTACCATCGTCTGTCGAAATACGATGAGTTTCACGCGGGCGACTCAATATCGTCAATCACTCAAGCAATGGGTCGACGGCCTTCCTGTACATCACCCTCACACCAAAACACAACCAATGCGGCCCAATATTCATGTTGCTTTCCATATCTACGACTTCCTCATCGCATTTGGCCCCGTTACTTCCTGGTGGTGCTTCCCCTTCGAGCGAGTCATTGGTTTATTGCAAAGAGTTAACACCAATCATCATGTTGGCGGACAGCTCGAAGCAACGCTCACGAAATCTTTCATGCGTGGTGCCTATCTGCGTCGCTGGCTTCGCCGGCCTGATTGCCCTCAGGTCATTCGAGAGCTCAAGCAGTTATTTGACCAAACCTTTCCCTCTTACAACCCTCCCTCCGACTCTCCTCCACGTGCAGCAGATGGACCGTGCGCGCATTATAAATACAACGGCGTGAATTTCTCTCGTGCGGATGTACACGTTGGTAACAGCCTCGTATTCTACTATCCGGCCAACTCCACCACGGCAATCCCTGGGAGTATCCAAGAGATCATGAGTGTGGGGAGGGGAGATAACATTAACCATTCGTCGGCAGACACCTTTGCCGGCTAACTTGCGGGATCCTTTTAAACGATACCGGGGTTATTTCCCGGCCCGCACATATTTGTCCACTCTGCAAGTCGGAGATCCTGACAAAGTGCCTATAACGGCTGTCCTATCTCACTACGCTCGATATGATTTCTCGGAGGGGAGATCTGTGGTGCTTGATCTCTCTCGAAGTTAATATACCATTCCACATTCCTTACAACGCGTGAAATCCCCGTTCTCCGCCATCCTAATCCTCCAAACTCGATTAATTGTCCTTGTTCATCTCCAGACCTTCACGTTCCCTCGATATTTTAGTTTTCTCGCGCTAGTTGCCTAAAAATCTCCCAATACCCCAAGCACACAACACTGACACGCTCTTCCATGGACTTGAAGCCCTCCACCACCAAAAATCACCTCTGATCATCGAAGGTGACGACTACTGTCGATGAGAGTCGTCACGGCTCCATCAGCAGGACCCACAGGACCCACATGGCCACAAATGGGGCTCCCGCTTGTCCACGCCGTCCCCGTTTCGCGAAAACGCTAGCACGCGTCCTCATTAGCCTTCAATTACTTGCTTGCCGTGCAGATAGGCGCCCACATACCTTGGATGGACCGGGGTGTATCTATCTTTCGGAAATCCCTGGCAGGCCGTTTCGTGCTGTTGTTGCCCATCCCACCATGTACAAAATCGGCCACTCGATCGATGGGCAACGCCGGTTGAAGCAACATCGCCGTCAATGTGCTGGCAACGGTTGCCGCCCGATATTGGCCTATTATGTCCCTGAGCGGATTCAATTCGGTTTGTTTTCCCAATACACATCGTCTAGACTTGCTAATAGCTACACAGAACGTGTTCTACACGATTATTACGATCATAATCGTCGTGCGTGGCCCGGCCGCGTCCACTGCTCGTATTGCCGAAAGAACCACCACGAATATTTCATCGGCGCTCGTTGCGGCACGATCGACGACGTGCGACACACGGTCGAGGGCATGATTGTGCGTTTGGGTTGGCCGATTATACCTTTGTACTTGGAGTAGCGGCCGATGGCTGGCCGATGGCTGGCCGATGGCTGGCCGATGGCTGGCCGATATCAATAATATGACATTATTTTTGACAAATCGGGGTCGATTCCGGGGCCTTTATTGTAACCACGATTTGGGTCAGATTATAGGCCTGTAAACTCGACTCGATTTGTTGTATATTGAGGACAAAAACTAGCAAAACAAATTGACTACTATCTCGGACCGAATCGGGTCCCCTGATTGCTCACAAATCGTGGCCCTAATAAGGTGAGCCTTGTTTTGTGTCCGATCCGAGGACCTGAAACATCCCCGTATTTCTTACATATCGGGTCCACTTTTAGATACCATTATTCTTTATCAATCAGATCCACGAGAAGCGAATTTCTTTTGTACCACTATTTACGCTAAATAAATCCTGCTTCGGGGTCCGTTTTTTTGGCGGAAACCCCGATGTGAAGTAGAGGGGGTAGAGGCAACTGCGGCTGAGCAGCTTATGTAATGTCAGCTAATTAGCAACGCTAATCAAGTAAATACGTGGAATTGCGCCGCAGAATTCGGTAGGTTAACGTCACGGCACCGGCGTAATCGATTTGTTTGCGCTTGCTTGCTGCGCCTAGCTTTGACTTGACCCTCGCTAGCGCTCTACACATGACCATTGAGGTTCCTCCAGAGCTGTACGAGTCCATCCTCAAGCATATTTCAAATGAGGACGTCGAGACCCTCTACGCCTGCTGTCTCGTTTCAGCCTCCTTCCTCCTCCCGGCGCAAAAGCGATTATACTCGTTCCTTTCGATTTCGACTGTGTGGAGACATGGCCGCTCATATGCCCAAGTCGCTGCGCTCTTCGAAGAGAAGCCATGGATGGCTGGCTACGTGTCAACTCTTCGCATAGCCCCTCCCAACGACGAGGAGGTATGGCGGCAGGAATGGCCCATTGCGGAGTCGGTTTTCCGGCAGCTTACCAACGTTCGCAAGGTCATTATCCGAAACCACCAGAGCTACGAGAGTTGCCCCAGCAAGTACCGCGATTTTCGCTCAACCGCAGTGGACTTGAAGGCGAGCGTCATCGACTCGCTGCTGAGCATTCTACAAGTGCGCGGACAGCTACAGGAGTTGATGCTCTGGAGTCTCAGCCTCACAGAAAACCTTCTCCACCGCGTGTTAACTGCTGCCCCTTCTCTTACGGTTTTTCACGTCACAATCAACGAATCTAACGCGATTGGCGCTGCTATTCCTTCTCCACCAAAACCCATTGCCGATTTAATCATCTCGCAAAGTCAGATATTCTACCGCCGGCTTCTGACAGATGCTCACTTCACGCCGTACATACAACACCTGCGTGGGCTGGCACGGTAATGGTGTTTGTGGTGACATTTGTCCCCATTTAGTATCTCCCAAAAGAGACATGCCTAATTAGGCATCTCCCAAAAGGGACAGGCCGCATTAGGCATCTCCTAAAAGGGACAGGCCCAATTTGGAAGTGACCCCGGAAGTCGGTCCCAATCAGGAATTGATGGGCCTACAAATCAAGTGATAGTTGTGTGATCCTTGTGATGTCAGTGTGATCTCTTGTGCAAATAGCTGATCTGACATGTTTTATGTATCATAGGTGTAAGTATACATACCTATGCCCTACAGAAAGCAGTTTCTCAGCTATATAAATGCAAATACCTGTGATGGCAGTGTGAGATATCATATGAATGTCTGATTAGAGTTATTTAAGTCTAATAACTGCAAAATACTACACTTTCTCATTATAACTCGAATTATATATCATGTAAAATTCACTTATTTGAACTGAACTAGTCTGTATTCCAATATAATAAGTAATGATCAAGCTGCAAGTGCTTGTGTTATTACATTGCCATCTGATGCCAACACTGATACCCAACTGTGATATCCCAGCTATGACAAGCCCCTCCAAACCTTGATGATGGAGTTCTGGAATGGGAAGTAGACGAAATCTTGCATGCTAGGGTGAGGTATAAGTGGCTGAATTACTTTGTCAGGTTGCAACACGTCGCACGACCAGTGGGTCTGCTTCAACCATGTCTATGCCCTGGAGAAAATTGTGGAGTTCTATTGTAAGTACCCTGGCAAACCATAACACATCGCCTCCATGTTGTTTGACACAATTAGTGTTCATATCACGGGCCACCCGCAGGTAAGTCCGGGGTGGCACATACCCGTCCCCGCTGATGGCCCGGGCCTGTGGACATGGGTACGGGTACCCACATTTTCGCTAGTGGGCGACAGGTAGCCCACTCATCCGAGGCCCGCAACATCTAACCAAGGGGGATGCACCGCCGAATATGCATCAATGTTGGGTTATTGCAGGACAACGGTGTCACGACACAGTCTGGGCTCCTCGGTCCTTGGCCAGATGCCCATTTGGTGCTGAAGATTGACGTGACAGCCCCTGGTCTTGACTGCTGACTTCTGGCAAACCAGTAGGCCAAACTGCAGGCCAGCGGGTTTGGGGTACCAGGCCTGCACCCATACCTGCACTGGCCATCCTCGCAGCCCGTCACGGGTCACACCACCCGTGACAATCAATACCTTTCCGGTCTATGCATCAGAACGCCACATTTAAAGGGGGGGAGGGTAATGTCAGAAAACCTCCCTTTTGGCCCTCTGGAGAGGATTCTAGTCTCCCCTGCTAGGACCTTGATCTCAGACCTCTGAGGTTGCCCTTATAGTAAATAGTAAATTAGCCTGACAACCTGACCTTGTAACCCTGTGTCAGATTTTTTAATTATATCATACTGTACTGTACTCGTCAATATGACTACAACCGTCATGTGCCATCATGCATCGGAACAATAACAATTGAGTGAGTGTGATGCATGACTAGCGATGGCGGCGTCCGGTTCGGCCTTCCGGTTCGAACCTGAACCGGACCGAACCGAACGCGTTCAGGTTCAAAGTTCAGCGCAAGGCTGAACCTGAACCTGAAGTTCAGTTCGGCGTTCGGCCGGTGTTGGCTTTACCTGAACCGGGTCGAACGTGTTCGAACGCCGAACGCCGGGGGCGCCGGACCGCCCGGCATAAGGTCCTCCGGAGGACGAAAATGCCGAATGGGGTTGCATGCCGGGAGCAATCAGTGTTCCTCCCGACAGCCGCTGATGGAAGGTGGGTGATCCTGTGGCTGTTATCCCCACAAAATTGATACACCGTAGCCCGAATGCATCTGACAGCAACTGGCAGCCAGCACACAAGGCCATCCGCGGCCTGCTAACTAAAGCGCGCCGCCGTCGCGGGCCCGGGGCATCGATGGGGATGAGTGTGGGCCACCCCGGATGGGCCCGCGGGTGCGCTGGGGTGGCCCATTATGAACACATAGGTTCAAAGTTCGAACCGGTTCTGAACCTGAACTGAACCGGATTGAACCTGAACACGAAGTTCGGTTCAGAGTTCAGGTAAAAGCCGAACCTGAACCGAAGTTCAGGTTCGGGGTTCGCCAAAAAGCGCCCTGAACCTGAACCGAACCGAACCTCGCCATCTCTATGCATGACGACAAAAAAAAAAATTACAACTGGGCCATGGTTTTACTTGATTTTTTGAGGGCATATTTCCTGGTGTCACGCCTTTGGACCTCAACAACCAGACCAGTGTGGTGCATGACGCCACGCTCAGATAACAACACAACGGGCTGACCGTGATGCGTGACGTTGTAGTCATACAGACGACTACAGTATGCTGTCACATGCCACAACCCCATAGCAATTAATACAGGAAGCCTGACAATTTACTAGGTTACTTAGACAAGGATAATTCCTCTGTTTCTTTGCTACATCAGATCTGTATCAGTACACATAAGCACAATAATGTAATCAGTATTTGCCTGGAATTTCAATGAGGACTGGTGTAATTCTATCGCTAGATAGATTATAAACTGGAAATTCCCCCTTTTTCTTTTCTCTCCTCTTTCCCTTTTTGGCCGATTTTCTGCACTGCTCCTTTGGGACCACAAACACCATTACCGTGCCCGTGGGCTGGAGCTTCACTGGATCGAGACCCAGGAGGATATCTCACCGTGTTTTCTTTCCGCCGCAACACTTGAGCGGATTGAGCTCAATATCGCCGCTTCCTGTGGGTTTCAGTTTTCAAAATCTCACAAGTTGACGTTATTCTACTTAGGCTTTGACCCACTCCTCGAAACAAATCTAAATTTCCCTTCCAGACTTCCTTGCCTGCATATCCTTATCATTACGATCAAATCATGTGATCCACTTCCGGGTATCATCCCGTTGCTCTCGGAAAACGGCGGCGCCGTCGCTAACCTACCTCGAATTCTCATTTGAACATCTTGCATCCGTCAAACAAAAACGCAAGGACTATTCCTTCACCCCCGACGTGCTCCGACTGCTGGATAGTGCTCTGAGCCGCCACCCTGCCATCCACGTAGTCAAGTGGAAAATTTTCTTGAGGTACTGTCATCCCAAGCAGGACCCAGGACAAGACACGCCGAAACATGTGGCCTTTCTGACGAAAATGCTGCGCAAACACCTCCCGAATGCATTTGCGAAGAGGCTGATAAGTGTGGCCGCGGACGACATTGTTATGTTCCCTCGCAGTTAAAAGCTAGAGGATCTTGCAATCGTGAAATTTTCCAACCCTCGGAAAGCGCTCCAGTCGGAAGGGAGAGAAAGATAGGGGGAGAGCGCATAGCGGCCGAAGTAAACGCCTCGTCAGTAAATGAACTAGAGCTTATTGGCAACTCTTGAAGAACTCTATGAAAGATAAGTACGCTCTGTTGGGTTGGTATAGTACATAAAGTGAATCTACACATTATCCTGAGCTCACAAGTGTTGTTTTTGTGGGCAGAAAGGGCTCGCAACGGGGGAAATCGCGTACAAAGTCACTCCTAATGTTTTCGAAGCACAAGAAGGGCCCGAAAGATGAAGAATATGCGCCACAGAGTCCTTATAAGAGGCAATTTCGTCAGTGATTAAAGCTTTCTGACACTCCGAGACTCCCAGGGCAGCAGCAGAACTCGGCCAAACGCTTATCTTCGTCGTCTGTCCTCCCCATGAATATAAGCTCTGGGAGCGGTCCGGCGGGCGTGTCCTCGTCAGGCGAGATCTCCTCGTCGCTCGGCGGTAGGGCATCGCCGGGCCGCAGCGCAGTTTCGATGTCTACAACTTGAAGTTTGTCGTCAAGCTCACCGCCCTCTTTGAGAGCTGAGAATAGTACTTAATCCGACTGCCGTTGGTAGCGATCATTGAGCGTAAAATATGCATCAGTTGTTTCCCGAGTCCTATATCTACGTACACCTCTACTACTTCTAGCCTACAAACTGGCGCAGCTCAAAGGATTTTTGCGACAGCTGGAGGTGTGCCTCGAACATGGGGTTGAATTTGCACTGTTCTGCCAACCACTCCTGGTTGAATAAACTCCGCGGAAGTTTTTTTTGGAGGGTTTCTGGTGGAATAATCTGACGCCGCCAAGCGAGTGTAGTATTTTCTCTGCGTCGCCGCCGGAAGTAGCCTTGGACTTTGCTTGTCAAGCCAATGGAGATGCTTCGCTATCTCGGGCATTTGAATCAGTTTGGACAGAAACCGGATACTTTCCTACTTACAATACCAATGTTCGTTGTACCGTGCGACCTCAACGTCAACACGAAGAACGTGAAGCTGAGGCTGGAAAGGTGTCGTGACCTTGCTACAACATAATCTGCTCAGGTGACAATTGACAATCAACAAGTGAAACGACCAAGTCCAAAAAGCCTTTATTTTTGAGTCACAAAATTTTACTGTAGGGTTAGGGTTAAGACTACAAATTTCATTACAAAAATAGAATTTCTCAAGGGTCAAGATCGAGGTCCTGAAAAGCGGACGACAGATATTGATAGACGATTACATAAGTACTCGTAATGTAATCTTATCATCCGACTCAGGCTCAGACGTGTTATTGAGTAGATTCAATGTGGATAGAAAATGAGAATACAGCTTTTGACTACACAGCGCACTAGATTGACTTCATTCACGAAATTTTACTCAGTCTCAGAGCATGGTACAGCGCGTCCTAAGCGCGTGGCTCTTATTGTTCCTTCTTCACAGACGGTTGTTGATCTTCTCAGATTTTTTCAATCTTGATGGGTCGGTCCTGAACACCCCGTCATCGTTAAATCAGGGTGAAAAGGTTTGGTTACCTGGGACATTCCCACTTCTTCGGTTTCCTGCTCCGCCTGGTTGACGCTGGACTGGTCCATGAGTTGATCCTCGGTGTCTGACAGCTGGTCAACGTTGGACTCGTCCCCGGATTCCGAGTCGGATTGTGATTTAGGGTAAAGCAGCTCAAGTTGTTGCTGCATGTGTTTCAACATGAGGTCGAAGAAAAAATGGGAGGTCCACACACCTCTATTTGTCGAAATTCCTGCCAATTATCACGTAGAACTTTCTCGTCGTCTTCCACTTTGTCAAGCAATGGTCCCTTCACCTTGGGGTTCAGGTCATTGCAATTTTTGTATGCTCGGAGAGCTGTGCTGGGATGACGAAGCATAACTGTCGCAAGTTCTTCGTCGGTGTATCGATCTCTGAGTTTGCGAAACACAGCACGTTCGAAATGGGTGACAGGCGGGGCCTTGGGGCTGAGGACGTGGTTACTACCTAGACGACGCCAAACCGAAGGCATACCGTCTGTCGGAGCTCACAACACCGCTTTTTTTGCTCGAAGAATTCGTTGGGGAGTCTCCAATAGCCTGCAAGAGGTGAGAGTGTGATAACTGAAGAGGATTTGGCCCTACCTTGGCCGAACTGCTTCTCGTGGCACGAGACATGCTTGCAGAGTCGATGGGGCTTGCAGTGAACAGTTAGGGTCGGAGGGAGTCTTTTTAAAGGAAGGCAAGCCGCAGCTGGTGGCTGTGATTTGAATAGGAAGTCTAAAAAGATACTTCGTCGCATGTTTGAACGAAAATTCCGAATAGAATTGTCGTCGGTCGCTCTTGTGTATAGGTTCGAGAGACGGAGTTGAAGATTGGATATGGATTGCTGAGAGTCCGAATTGCCGTAGTGGTCACGTAGTGGTCACGGTGAAAGACAAGGTGCGCTGATCTATCATTTTCTGATGGTTAGAAATTCAAAGATATTGAGACTACAAACGCTACTGGTTTGTTTGTTTGTTTATAGTACGGTACATAGTAGTAAGTCTAGCGTGATTATACAGTGGACTTATGAAGGGAGAGCCATCATGCTCGGGTCGGACGACGGGGGCATCATGAATTGGACCCCGTTGGGCATCATGGGGACCTGCATCGGCATTTGCATCTGCATGTCAATGGACATCTGCATTTGCGGCCAGCCTCCCATCGGCATTTGCATCCCCATCCCCATCGGCATCTGCATTTGCTGCATCATCGGGTTGGCGTTGCGGATCTGGTTAATCGGCAAATCGTCCTCCTCCTCGTCATCCGGCACGGGCCCGGGGCCATTTACGATATTCCCCGGCTTTGCAAAATCAGCCACACAGAAACTTGAAATGATTGATTTTACATAAGACACACCTCAATCGCGGCTTTGGCTCCGCCTCCTCTCCCGGCTCCGCTCCTCGCCATTCAGCACGATAACTTCGCTCTCGTCAAAGTCAAAGCTGATGCTCCTCCGCTGCTTCGCCTTCTGGACATGCGCCGGCAACAGCCCGCTCGCGCCCCCGCTCCAATCGTCCTTCACTTTCTCCTCCCTCTGATTCATTCTTGTCCCCCGGGCGGTATACGGCGCTCCCGCTCCCGCTGTTCCCACTACTCATCGCACTGCCAACCTCGCTCCTGTCTCTGGGTGTAAGCGGGCCAAGGGCATCGCTGCTTCGACTCGAGTTACCCGTGCCGTTTGTGCCTGTGGAGCTTGCGGGCGAGTTGCCGCGGATACCGCCGTTGCCCGCAAAAGGCCGTTGCGGGCCAAGCAGGGAAGGTGGTGAGGGTGAAGGAGTGGGTTGTGCGATTATAGGTGGTGATGATCGTGAAGAAGGGATTGGCTGGGAGGAGGTTTGGCGAGGGAAGGAAGTAGAAGTCGCAGGGGCGGAACGGGAATTTGAAGTCGTCGCGGGTGTGGTCATAAGGGTGCTGCTCCGCTGCCTCGCGTTCCCAGAAGGAGCAGGTGCAGACTTCTGTAACACGTTTGCTGAGCTGCTTGAAGTCGATGTATTTGTCGAGTTGGCGGTCGAAGAAACAGTCGCAGAAGTCGAAGTCGAGGGGATCAAAGTGCTGCTCCTTTGCCTTCCTCCCGTTGCAGACGCAGACCCCAAATCCACCGAGCGGTTTGCTGGCCTGCTCGTAACACTGAAGCTAGGTAAAGGCGACCTTTGCTTGATCACAATCGGCACAATGTCGCCTTGATACTCTTTGTCCTTCTCCACCGTATTCCTAATTGACTGCTTCGGTGGCTCGCCTCCTCGCCCAGCAAGAACGCCAGCCCACCACCACCAAGCATGTCAGCCAAGTCCCGCCCCAAAGCCCCACCATCGGGTTCTGCACTTTTACCGCCCGCATCGTCCAGCCAATTCGGGTAGCGACCCGAAGCAGACACGATATCGCTCGACGAGCGCCGATGGAAAGCCTTCCTCGCGGTCACACTCGAGAACGAACTCGGCGGCGAGCCCGCATTGGGCGGCGCAAGTGTCGGTCTTGTACTCGTGCTTGCCAACGACGACTGCGAGGTCGATCCTGAACCACTCGTGGCGGAAACAGCCTTCAGCCCCTCCCGTTTGTCCTGACCACCCAAGCTGACGCTCGCCACAGACCCGCCGGTCTCCTTCCTAATCGGGCTCCATCTCGGCGCGGCGGCGGCGTCTCCCGGTGGGCGAGGGAACTGCACAAATCCACCCCTTCCGCTGCTCGGTGGCGGCGGCGATCTGCTCGTCAACACCGGGCTCGGGAGTTGCGAGCTGGAACTGGCTTTCGAGCTCACAGCGAGCATGCCCGCGCCTGTAAACCCGTCATCGGTCTTCTTCTGGCCGGCGAGGACCGGCCGCGAGCCGGTGACCTCGTTTATGTCGATTAGAGGTTTTAGCTTCAGGTTGGGGTTGCTCCCGTTTGAGGCCATTGACAACGACGAGCCCGGGCGGCGCGGCGCAACAAGGGTCGCTAACGGCGCGTCGTCATCGGAAGACTCTTCACTTGTCGATTCGTCTGAGTCCGAATCGTGAGGATTTGTCGGCCGACGGGTGAGCGAAAGTCGCTTGGCTATTCGGCAGAATGCAAATGAAGGGAGAAGCATCGTGCCGGATGGCGATCGTAGGGTATCCGTTAATGGTGTTTGGGCAATATCGAAACGTAAGTCCCAAAGAGGTGTGATAAGGAAGGTGAACGGAGTACGAAAAGGAAGTCCAATGCAAAAGGGCGATGGAGGTAGGGTTGAGTAAAGCAGAGAGGTGGAGTCAAGAAACAGAGAAAAGAGACCGCAAGGAAAGAGAAGGGGATGGAAAGTCGAAAATCGAGTTAAAGGCGAAGGGGTAATAGAGTAGGTGGGGGAAAATGGGAGGAAATATCGAAACGCGGGTCGGATATGCGGAGGAGGTAATGTCGAAGTCAAAATGTGATATAGAGTAGGGGAGAGAAGGCAAAAAGATCGCGGAGTAAGTTGAATGTCGAGAGTAAAGTGTAATATGAAGTGGAAGAGGAGAAAAGACTCAAAGTCAGCAAAAGGCGAAAAGTACAAGGAGAGAGAGACCACGCACAAGTCATGATCACATTGCCACCACTCGCGCTAGCCACGAGGTTTCCGGTACTCCCACCCATCTTCTTTTCCGTGCTCCCACTCTGCCCATAAACACCCAACGAAGACTGCGATCTGGCTTGTCCAAGCCCGCGCTGTTGCTGCTGTTGCTGCCGCGAAGGCTGTGGTTTACCCGGGTCGTCGCTGGAGCCCCAGGAGATGATTCGTCCTCGTCTTCATCAGAATCCCACTGATTCACTTGCGCATTTGGCGCCCTTCGATGAACAGTCGTATACCGTATACGGCTTCGGCTTTGTCGTTGGGGAAGGGACCGGTGGAGAAGACGTCTTCTTTGGGGGGCTTCTGAACGGGAGTCGGCGTAGGTCGTTGTGATGATTGCGGTTGTCGACCGTATGGGCTCGGACTTGGCGCTCTCGCACTACTCTCGCCCATAACAGGACTCCCAGCAGCGCTTCTCCTCGCCTGAACTTCTCGGAAGGCCGCAACGCTAATGCGCGAGCTACTCGCACTAGCATCGCTGCCTCCCCGCGGTCGCAGTCGGGCAGGAGGCAGATGCTCGTGCTCATAGGCACTCCCCAGCCCGCTAGCCTGTCCTTCTCGCTCGATCTGCTGACTCAAGCTTGTCAGATTCGTCGCCGTAAGCTGGTTCTTCCCAGCAGGCTCCTCGCGGACATGTCGGAAGGCTCGAAGATTGAAGTCGGAGGGTTTGGCGGGTGAGGGTGGTAATGGCTCGACCTCCTTGTCCTTTCCCCTCGCCCAGAACGCAAACTTGCGCCCGCTTTTCGCGCCCGTACTCTTGCTCGTTTTGCTCGTCTTCCCTGACGCGGCTGTGAGACCAGAAGCAGTACTTCTTGTCGGGCTGATTTGGGGAGCAAGAGGTGATAAAGAATATTGGCGGTCTCTATCACGCGTTCGGGAGGGCGTTTGGTGAGCGTAAGGAGAGGCGCCAGCAGTGGTTACCGGAGGGGGAAGACTTCGGGTAGAAGATGTGTAGAGGTTCTGTGGTGGGCGGAGGGAGTTGGGGGAGGTTGATGCGGAAGCTGAGGAGGGCGGTATATCGGACGACGTGCTCAGTCGTCCGAGATAGGCGGGTCGCGGGGGGGGCTCAAAAGGCTCGCCAGTGTCGACAGCCAATAAAGGAGTCGCGCTTCGTTTACGCCCAAAAAAGCCCAGCCCGCGTTTGTCCTTCTGGGGCTCGCCCGCATATGCCAAGCTTCTGCCGTTTGGAGACGACGGGCCTGGAGCGAATGAAACGTATTCGCTTGTAGGAGATGGCTGGGAAGACGGGGGGGGGGGAGAGGTTGCTGCCGAGCTGGACACTACTGATGCTTGCCGAGTGGGAATGTGAGCTGCAGCAAAGCATTAGCATGGCAGGGAAGGGGGTGAGAGAAGGGAAAGAGGCACGCGGAGGGAGAGAGGTCGCTTGGGCTTTTGGATTTGCTGGTGGCGCCACTTCCATTAGAGTTTCGCGCGAAGAGACCACCTAGAAGCGGCATTTCTGACGCGCTAGCCTAGTCAGAGGTCGCTGTAGACAGGTTAGCCCGCCGGACAAGGAAGTGCCGATGGACGCACCTGGAGGTGAAGGGGGGGGAAACGGGTTCGGAAGGCCGGGGAGATGGCTTGGCGCTGGCAAAACGCTTTAAGGAAAGGAACTCGGAGGACGTTCTAGACAGCCTAAGAAGGACAAATGAGCGTGGGGGCAGAAGGGAAGGGACGATGGGTGGAATTTGACAACGCACCGAAAGGGTCAAGGCTCGTCGTCGTCGTTGTCCTCGCTAGCAACGACGGGTCGCAAAGCGGAAAAGCTGCCGGTAGTGAGTGTGAGGAAGAAGGCCAGCGGGAGCTTCGGATACGATTCGACTTGAGGTGGTTCTGAGACAAATGGCAAGTGATGTAGTCACACGAATTGATTGAAAGCCCCTTTCCAAGGGCTGTAAACGTAGTTTACTAAGTTGCATTGCATACGTCTCGAGTATTGTATAAATATGCTTACTACACGCTTCGAGCGATTCTGTAGTGTTATTTCAATCAATTCTTTCAACAATCCATCCTTGTAATCTAATCAGCATATGTATCGTGAAGCCCAGGTCTTCGAAACTCCCACAGCGTTGTGCGTCGAAAGACTCGACATGGAAGTGGCGACAATCAGCGCAGAAGACTTGGCCAAGCCACGCGTGGCAGACAAAGTCCAAGAAGTCATGTATGATACGTTCTAGTACTGTTTTAGCAAAGGGACAAGCCAGAATAGACGAAGCGGATTCGGAAGGGGACCCAGAACGCTAATTCAAGGTCAAAGATTTGACTCTTGCATTGCGAACGATGTTGTCGCAGACGGCGCGGGTGGTCTACCGATTGCCCGATTTTAATCGTTAAGTGGCCGGTGTCCATACTGATAGCTGCGAGGACGTAGACGGCACCAGGCCCGTCTTCGCTATGTGCCGCCCAAGTCACTCGGAGGGACGGGGAGTGTGGGTGCGTTTGCATATGGAGGGGCAGTGGGTGACTGGTGTAGCGGCGGCGGTGGTGACAACGATGGTGACGATGGGCACAACGTGACGAACGACTTTTCAACGGAGTGAAGGTAGACGCGGTTCTTCAATGGGTGGAAGCGTTGTCTCGGGAGGTGCTCATTTGGGAGCAACTCTGGGCGAAGTTTCTGTTCGATAGTGGCGCGCTAAACTCAGTCTCAGCCCCAGCAGACGTGGTTGCATCTGAGCATGTTCAATCTTCATATTTCTGAAATCGAACTCTGTCTTGGCGTTTTCAGCAACGACATTATCGCGTTCTTGTAGAAGCTCATTCTTCTCATCGACAAGTCGAGTGCTCTCCGCTTCAGCTTCACCGACTTGTGTTTCGAGCGCAGCAAGGAGCGAGGAAAGCTTGTTAGCTCTCCCTTGGGCATCTTCGAGTTGAGAAGTCAGTTGACCCCGCTTCATTTCAAGACCGCTATTACCCGCAGCGAGAGATGCACTGATGCGGTCTAAGTCGGAAATCCGCGTTGTCAATTGTTCCATCTCCTTCTGCAACAAACCTTTTGCTGCCGCCAACTCCTCTCCAGAAATTTTGGCGACTTCGAGCTGGTGAGAACGCTCAGCAAGTGTATCTCTCAAAGTTGCAAGTTCAGCCTCGCGATCTTGGAGGAGGTCGGCATGGTCTTGAGCTTCGCGAGGACGTGTGGACTCCAGAATACTTGGCTCGGAGGTCGTCAAATTCGAGCCCACCGACGCGAGAAGGATTGCGGTCCGTGACGGGAGTATTGTCGAACGCTATAGCTTGTTGCGCGATCTGTTCGTCAAGCCGCATATCCATCTGCTCGTTAAGATCGATCTCGGTCGGGGCTGGAGTAGGAAGTTTGCTAAGAAGGTTTCCGTCGAGGGCTCGTCGAGCAGCTTGGATGCTAAATCATCTCAGTTATGTCTGAATGACAAAACGATGATAGAATAACTCACGCTTTCTTGCCTTCTGGTGTCAATGCCACCGAACCTACTGGCTCGGAAGGTACGAAGAACCCTTCGTCTTGCTAGGCCGCGAGATCTCATCAATAACAGCATGCAGAAAGGAGCATATGGTGCACAAGTTTGTGGACGGCTGTCCCAACCCAGCTTTTCCAATGAGGCCCAAGTTTGTTCTTCTGCGCAGCGGCATTCTTTTGAACTGTTGATGTATGACGCCACTGTTAGCGCGAGCAACTCAAGTTGGGACAAACCCTGAGTGCCCGGGAGCGTAGCTGTGAATAGAATGTCATTTATGGTCGCGTTGTATCCTGAATGGAAGAGCCGAAAACCTCTGCAAATCACAGGTCAGCATAATCCCAAACTGCAGAGGACCGAGTGGCACGACGAAAACACGCGACTTACGTTCAGCATATGTTGCCTTGGGCGTTTTGAGGGAGCGGGAGCGTCCTCGGGCCATGGTATCGCAAGTGGGGTAAGTACAAACAATCTAGCGAGTCATTAGATGTGAATAATTATATGATTGAAACATACCAAATAGATGAACTTAACGGTCGCACACAATGCATCAAGAAATCCAAATGGATCTTCCTGTTGCTAAAAGGCAAGTGGTGTAATCATTTGGCCTTGAGCCCACAGCGATAACCCAAATTCCAGACATGTTGATTTCAGAATTCATCTCCTCTTTGCAATGCATCTCCTCCGAGGCAAATCGACTCGAAAATGAGGGAGGAGAACCGGAAAAACTGTTACGGGTGCCAATACACTACATATAACAACCTGGAACGTTACGCTAGCTTGCAAAGATCTAGAAGGAGTTAGGATCAAGAACTCTGAAAAAGGCTCCACTATCCTCAGCGAGTCTCTTCGCGACATTTGTAATGATTTCGGCCAACTCGTCGGTAAATCCGTCAGAGAGCGTCCTGTCGGCTTCTTCGAGGACGAGAACCTCCAGTGTAGTTAGAGCGAAAGAGGGAGAGTTGTGGATATGGTCAGTAAGTCGCCCATGAGTTCCAATCGCTACGTCTGGTCGATTCCGCAACGTAACTTCCTGAGACCTGGCCGATAGCCCACCTGGCGCTCTAGATCAGTAATTAGACGACAAGATTGCCTTCAAACCTACCGACAACGAGGCAGAATGGATGTCTGTATGGGTAGCTAGTTCTCTGCTGGCTTCGACTCACTGTTGGGCCAACTCTCGGGTTAGTACAAGAACGAGACCACGCGTAGCAAGAGCTCTTGCGCCTTTTTGACGATATAGAAGTCGTTCAATCATGGGAATAATGAAAGCCACAGTCTTGCCGGAGCCTGTAGCTGGCCACCTCCAACAATATATTTCCCTAATAGCACGACAGGAATGGTGGCAGCTTGAATCGGCATTGGTTTAGTGTTGGTCAGCGCTTTGGCCGCGAAAGGATCATGGAAAGAAATGACGAGGGTTCTTGCGTTGTCTTCCTCTCTTTTTTCGGCCTGAGTTTCTTCTTCTTCTGACTCGTCTTCATCATCCTCTCCTTGGTCACTTGGGCCATCCTCGTCTGAGGGTAATCAGGGTTACTCTCTTCATCAGAGGTTGCTAGTGGATCGCTCTCTTCCTCCTCATTTTCCTCTTGTAGTTCGCTGCCTTTCGAATCCGACTGCGACTCATCTTCATCCCTCTTCCTCTTTACACCCTGCTTTCGTCGAGCAATGATGTCCTCATCCGATATAGGCTCTGGTTTCCGTCCCTCCTTCACTAGGTCAACGAACCTAGCAGCATCTCCAATATCCACATAGGTGTCCCCCGAGAGATCCAACACGAAGTCAGGAGCAAGGTCGGCATCGTCTTTGCTTTTTGTGGTTGGTCCACCGTCTTTAACATAACATGCGAGTCGATGGTCAAAATGTAGTCGTCCATTCCTGGTCTGGCGATTTGGCTTTGATATGTTCCATGATTGGATCGCCAGGAAATGTTGAATGGTTGATCCCGGCGACAAACGCTCGCAGTGCAGCGTAGTAGTTAAGACCCCGCAACTTCTGGGCAATTTTGACCATCTTTTCGATCAGTTTGGCCCGCATCTTGTGCTTGTCGTGACATAGAATCATCGAAACCACCCTATAACCCGCATGAGGAACAAGGGTCAAAGGATAAGTTTAGACTGACCAGACAGCTAGATGGTTAGAGAAGTCGTTGAGCCGAGCGATTGAATTAGTTGCTGGATCCTTCTTGCCTGACACAAAAGGGTACCGCAACCAATGTCTGGGCTAATGGACACCGTCAAATGACTGACTGACGCTGCAACCGCAATAACCATACCTTGATATCCAAGAACAATTCCAGTCGCGTAATTTCTTGGGCAATATTCTCGGACTCGAGGCCTTATTAACATCTGATGCGAGTTTCAGGAGGTGCTTCAATGTCGACCGCCTCTGAGCTGTCCGATAGACCTGGTCCGTTGAGAGCAGGCGGCGCGCAGACGAGTTTGGCGGAAAACGGAATGCTTCCTTTGTGCTCTCTGGAGGTAGCGGGAGTCTTGACTTTACTAGAGGGAGAGCGAGCTGCGGCCGGGAGCTCTGGATCAGAGCTATGGGGGCTGCCGAGCGTGAGAACAGCGCTCTTCTCGTCGTCATCATAGTCGCTCTCGTCTTCGGGATAATCAGCGGCATCCTTGTCGACCAAGTTCGGAAGTAGCTCATGGAAAGGAAGAAAATCAGCGCCATAATGGAGAAGGTAGGTTTTGGAGGTCATGGATTTGAAAAGGGCAGACAGGGCGCTGGGTGTACCGCGGACCTTGAAGTCGTAAGGATAGTCTCTTATCCATTCTTCCAATAAATGGCATATTCTACAGAAATCAAGATTTGAATGGACAAAGAGAGACTGTATACCTCATCTGGGCAAAACAAGCGACATGGGGTCACCAGAAGGTTAGTCTAATTGTCGAAGCCGTAGTTGCATAGCTAACAGAACACTTCTTGGGCTCGCAAACCGCCGGTATGTGAGGAGAAAATGGGTTATGTAAGTTGGATCTATGAATCAAGTTAGTATGGAGAGAAAGAAATGACTACGGCTACTGCTCACCATCGCCGCTTACGGCCAAGAACAACAATTTGTCCAAAAGCTCGTCAAGAGCGGCCCACGGTCTACTACTCGCTTCCTTCTCCTTCGTCTCCTTAGGAATTGGCGGAGGGTCGAAGACGGGCTCGATAGCAGTTTGTGGCGGCTTTTGCAATGATGACACTGAATTAGAGCTAGTTCTTGTGATGGTGCCGGAGTCTTTGTCAAGTTGCCAGTCTCTTGTTCGGGACTTCTCATGCTCAGAGAGAAGGTCGCCCGTTGAGCGGGCTCGGGTGGGGGAGTTGGGAACAGTGGGAAAACGTGAAGCGGGTATTGTGGGCAAAGGAGGGTTTGACAGCCGAGATGAAGCGCCCTGATGGGAAAGTGTCTGTACTCATCGACGACGACGAGGCCGCCGGAGTAACTGTTAATTGATATTTCCCAGGGCAGCGGTGGGATCAATGAGGGATTGCGGCAGTTGAGGTCAGATTCACTGCGACTCGAGTCTATAAGCAGATGAAGACATGGAATGGATGCAGAAAAGGTCACCGACGTCGTCCTCGGAACACGGCTTTGATCAACCACTCGAAAGCCTGTCGCATCTGTTTCTTTCCTGATCCTTGGACGTTCGAGACTTCGACTAGGTCATCGTCATACAGTTGCAAGAAATCTGCTGCCGCTCCTTGTGGGTCCACCCGCCGGTCAAGTCCGACTTGCAGGCGAGCGCAAGTGTTGGTATCATCTTGGATCGGAAACGGCCTTGAAAAAATGAGCATGAAGCCACGAAAAACACAAGAGGACATACGAACAAAAATGAGTCGGCGTCCGAGGCATCATAGCACATTATAACACCGTCGATAGTGGGAGAGCCCTCTAGCCACACGGCGTCCTCCCACGCAACCCTTGAGACCTCTGCCTCAATAACATGCACAGGATACTCGTCAGCCCCATCTCGGATGCCACCGACACGAAGACTATCTATCTGTGGGGCCGTGTCAGAGTTGATGGGTAGTTCCGCGCCGGTAACTCACAGTTGGAAGCCTGAGAGAAGCAGTTGGAAAGAGTGGTTGATGGGCTCGGAAAGGCCATAGCCCTTGAGGCCCTTCTTCACGACAACGGATTTGCCGCACTTCGCTGTGCCAACAACGAGAAGAGTGAGTGTGTCGTGAGCTGCAGGCTGAAGCTTCAAAAGAGTGAGCATAACGTTGTTCGGTGAAAAAAGGAACACACCTCGGCCAACCTGATACGGCTATACTTGGCGGAAGAGTATATGCTGAGACTTCCACTACGGGCTCTGGATGTTACCGGTGGCCGTGGTACTTGTCGAATATCGATGCCATCTTCGGTGCTTGAAGTAGTGGAGACGCTGAGGATGATGGACAAGCCGGAAGTCGAACTGAGAGTGGTTGTTCCTGGTGGAAGTGGAAGGTCTCCGCCTCGAAGCTTGCTATTCTCCGTCGCAGTGTATCGCTTATGGAAAGCCTCATGTTCGACATCGTAATCTACCGAGGGGTGATATTGCGTAGAAGAGACGCTGGCTCCCCGAGTCGGTTCAAAAGCAGATGGCGGTGTAGGTGAAGCTCCCAGTAGGAACTGTCGTCGTTTCTTCGCAATGGTATTGTAATCATTCTGGCAGAGTCAATGGAGACCAAACACAAAGAATGAAGCGATGCTCACTTTTCACGAAATGTATCTCCCACAGGCTTTGAGAGTATCATGGAGCCAAGGTTGGTGGTGGCAAGCAACAAGTTGTCACGTCGTCAATCATCGTCAAATTTGAGTGACTGAAGCAGTTTGCAAGGCTTAGGCAGCTTGCCAGGCTCGAAACTTCAGCGTTTGAGAGAAAAAAGATTATTCGTAGCCCACTCTATTGGCAATTGAGTAGCCGATGGAATCTTCAGTAATCTCCTCCTCCTCACTAGAGTCACTACCAACTTCAGTCAGAACCAGCGACCAACCGAGTCCGGTTCCTCCTCTCGAGTCTTGAGTTTCGTCGTTGACCACATCGGTCTTCGAACTAAGGCTCCGAGTCTGAATGGCAATTTGATCTAAAAAACGAGCGTTTGGCCATCGTTCAAGTTTGTGATTCAGATTGTGTTCAAAGCCTATACAGTCATGGTATGTATTCTGAGGTAAAGCGACTGCAACTTGGGCTGTAACAGATAATCTAGGCTCACGAATTCATTGACATTTTTTTTTGACCGCTAGTCTTTTGTGCTCTTACTCGACTAGTTACTGCAGCAAGGAGCCGTCCAAGCCTTTGCGCAAGCTGCTACTCGGCGAGGCTGCGGTCGTTGGGTTCGGAGGAGCCGTATTGTGAGCGCTGGACAATGGAATGGAGCGTTATCAACAGAGCTCTAACGTGTAAATTATGGCAACAAACCTAGCGGCTGGGGTACCCTTTGAGCCACTTTGACTCCTCATGTTTGGCCCAGGACCCGCAAAGACGTTATGGATCACCAACAAGGGAACCCCCACTATGGTGTTGAATCGCGGGTTTGGGCTGATCATCACAAGCTTATCCACAATTTCCTTCTCGACGCGCCTTCGAGAACGACTGGCACAGATAGTCATTGCAGCCTATTATCTGGACTTAGCTGGAGACTGAGCTGCTGGAGGCCCAACATACAAAGAAAAGATCACACGTACGGCCACCAAAAAAAATCCGAAGAGTCTGAGGCAGTCGAATGAATGCGTTGATGTACACTTCACATCTTTTGAGCGATATGCTGAGCATTTACGGGAACGGGACTCACTGCTGATCTTAATCTCTGTAAGTTCGAGACCGCCGACATCGACAAAAGAGAAACCCTCATGGGAGATACTGAATCCCTGATAAGTGATATCAGTGTGCTATCTGACCTAAACGAAATAAACATACCGTCAAAAACTGGTCAAATTGCTGGATCGTGCAAATCGCTTTGACTCTCAACCGCTCTAGGAGCTGTCGACGGTTATAAAACACCGTCATGAAGTGGGAAGCTGAGCTATAAGCTTCAGGGTTATTATGCTCCGGGTAGGTGAGGATGCTTCGCGTCAACTTGAAAGAAGCGGCTGTGTTGACACCACCGTCAAAAGCACGGTTTAAATGACGGAATAACAGCATATCGCCGTTGATAACAGTGAAGATCAACGGCAGCTACAAAGGTCCATTAGCCAAGCTTGAAGCTTTTACATTCGACGCACCGAGATCTCATACAGGCCTGGATGTGCTGATAATTGCTGGTTGAGGAGGCAGAGATGCTGTACGAATATGGCTTCACGCTTCCTGGCGCTGGAATCCCAGGTCAGCCACGGATGATATGACTGAAATCACCAACCTCTCCCTTTCAACCATATTCCTTCTCTGAACCTCTCTCAGCTGCGCTGTCAGTAGAGCGACCCGTTCGCTCAAAGCACGATTACGATGCAGCTGCGGTTTGAGATTTTGTATCTCTAGACCGGCGCAGCTTATTAGGAGGGACAAGTGGGAATAGAGCAGATAATCGCACCATAGCCAAGTCCAAGTCCAGATAGCTCGAGAGCCACTGCATCTGATTCAGAATTATCTGAGTCCGAATTGTTGCTCATGAGAAGATTCAGATTCGGAGTGGTTTGCAAGTTGAGAAGAGGGAGAGCCTGTTGCAGCTGAGTAACGTCTTTTGCGAGCCTGCCTGGTGACCCAGAGGGATCGGTCATAAAAGACAAACGAAAGCCTTTCAATAAAGGATTGAAATCACGTGTTGCTTGATGTTGACTCGACAACCCTATGGCAACCACACCGGATTAGGTAAAATATATCTGGTGAAAGAAATTGTCGGGGGAAACCGGAAGCGACCCGATTGGAACGGCGCATTCGGCCCGCTCAGCCACTCCAATCGGGTTGCTTCCGGCTTTCCCCGACAGTTTCAGCGACCGTTTCATCAACAAGATATATTTTGCTAAATCCGGTGTGAACTGCAGGCAGCTGTGGATGTTGGATGTTGTTGACTTTACTCAACGCCCATGCTCTGTTTGTGGGAGGCACTTCCACATTAAGGGGTTCAATGCTTGTTGACGAAAAAAGCAGAAGACGCTCGAGCTCTAGGGCTCCAACTATTTTATTTCTGTTTGTGAAAATTTCAAATAAAATAGAAACACAAACACAAACAGTAATAAATGTTTGAAACTATTTATAAATGGTTCTGGTAATCAGACACAAATTAAGCACTTTGTTCTCAAGTTTTTGCACATACCATGTCTATCTTTATGATCTAGTGTATATTAACAAAGAGAAAACATAATCACTTAAGCTGTAATAGCCTTTTCAATCTAATTCAACCATCAAAGTGAAGTTCCTGTTGAGTATATTACCAAATCAGGAAGGATAAAATTTTGTTCAAATAGAATTTGAACTTGGGAGACATGAAATAGGATGTTCAAGACAGTGTCAAAGTGTTTTTAAAGCCCCGAAATACTTGAACTGCACTGTCAATATTGATTTCAGTCCACTATAAGTGGAAACCATTTGAACTATTTATTTATATTTAATTTCTGTTTGTCCACGCTCACAAATAAAATGGTCATTTAAATGTTTATTACCATTTGTAAATATTTACAAATGGAAAAGGTTGGAGCCCTATCGAGCTCTCGAGTGCTGCCTTTGCTGCCGCCGCTTTCCTTGCAGCTAGAATTGGATCCTGGGGCTGAAAATTGATGTCGAAATATGCCTGACTCTAGCAACGATGGGGGATCTCGTTTCACAGAGCTCAGGTTCCGAGTCACAGGTTATAGATGCCCAACGTTGGTTCCACTCTGTTTGTTCAACACGCACACCAATGTAGATTGCTAATGTCAAATCATAGCAATTCAACTGCCTGGGCCTAACTTTGTGGCCGACTGCCGGCCGTTTCAGCCCATTCGGAGGTTTACAAGACTGGGGGAAGATAACGGTTGGTTTTGCTTTGAATTTACTACTTACATCTATATCTAATAACATATGGTTTTAGAGGCAGCTGTCGATAACAGGCGCGAACCCCGGCCGGAAGCCGATGATGCTAATAACAATCTGGGTTCAGAATCAGAGGCGCCGCCTGGAAGAACATGTTCTGGCAGACACTCTCCATCGCAACTACACGCCATTGAGGAAGCAATTTGGTTGATGATCTTGTTTCTAATCGTACGGATCTATTCAGCGTCAGCGCTGAGTAGGGTGCTGTAAGTAATTCCCCAACCAATACTTACAGGTGTTTCTAACAGTTTTTAAAAACAGGGGTGTTTATAAACAGTTTTTGAAACAAGCAGGGATTACTTAATATACTTTAGTGTCAATAATAATTATTCAGTAGTACCACTTCTATGGCATGGTACCACCCTATCATTAGACTGCCCCTTCATAGCAACAGTATTTTTCATCTCAACAACTAGGTCTCTACTATCCAGAAGGAAATTACGATATTTAGTAGTGTGGATTGTGTGACTGATGTGATATAATGTCACACATGGCTGTTTACAAACAGCTCCCGCCTCCAGGAATTAAAAACTAACACTGTTTTTAAAAACATGTTTCTAACTGGTTTGTAAACCAGATCAACTTACAGCACCCTAGCGCTGAGACAAAATGTGCGTAGGAGAGGCTCCCTAATTCTCACTTAACATACCGAATTTTGCTCCGACTGAGAGGAACATGAGAGAAATTCTCGACATTTCCAGCCGGGGAGTGGCGCTTGAAGATATCCGTTGACCGCTGATTCTTCACACCTTTTCCGAGTCTTTCCGACACAAGTTTCTGAGCTTTCTCTTCTGACCCGACTTCCGCCGCAGCCTCAACGGTGTCTGTACCCAACACTTGTTTGCATGATTCGTGAAATTTGTCGTTGAGTTGTTGTCCTTGGTTGTTTGGTTCCAACTTCCGAGCCACGCGATGGCTGCAGCCCCGAGCGGCGCAGACAAAGACATGATGGAGCTAGCCTCCACGATACTCAATAAGGATGTCGCTATTGTGAAATGCATATATAGTGCTCATCCAACCGTGTTTGGCCTTGTCGAAGAGCAATCGATGAATGGTGTCGAGAGATTATTAGACATCAATAAGATGTTGATCAGACCTCTGTAGGCAAGCGACAAGGCTTTCATTAGGCATCAATAAGACCACGCTAAGCAACCTATAAGGCCTTCATAATCTCATTAGACCTCGATACTAGTAAGGGTCATAAGATCTTGGTAAGGCTTTAATTTGACTTCCTAATCTCATAGTCCATCCGCAAGACCCTATAAGACATCGATAAGACGGGTATAAGCAGGCTTATCATCAGCTATATAGCCTACAGGAACACAGGCCCAGAAGCAGAAGATTTGCTGTGGAGGTGCGTTCACAAATCTTGTTGCAAAACTGAGATAATCGACGGTCGCCTTCAAGTTTCCGTTACACCAAAAAGACCCCATTGTGCTTAAGCCTACTTCGACTGCGGCTGCGACTGCAACGAGGGGTAAGGCCAGAACTTGCTGGGAAGCCGCTTTAGGTCACTGGCGAATTTTCCAGAGTTGAGTTGCAATCTATGTCGCTGGAACCCGTTACAAGTTTCAGTGGTGGCTTTTGGGGTTTCTAGTTTCGGCTTCCACCGTGGGCATGGTCGCTCAACCGAGAAATAGGTCCACGTCAGAATGGATGTCCTAAAGATGGAGAACGAGTGAGGAAGATGCATAAAATGGAGACAAAGGACAAACCGTAGTGTCGTGCTTGTTTTCGATGATTTGATAGCGATTTCAGCGAGGAGTCGTCGTGCAAGTAGTGGGTTTTAGTTCGCCTTGTCTTATTTGCTGACACATGAGCACGCAGCGACTGCGTTCATGTCCGAGAGGCCAACGAGCAGCCTACACGCACGATTGGGTGGCGCAAGAAATAGTCTTGTGCCTGTACTTGCCAACGACTGCGAGGTCGAGCTGGAAGGATTGGTTGGAGTAACAGCCGGTCCATCCCCTACCGGTCTCTCGGCGCCGGCGACCCGAGTAAGCTGTAGGCAAGTTTGTCGTTGACCGGCTATTAGCCATGGAAGGCGGTAATTGCCCCCGAGGTGATCGTTGATCAGCTCTTGCGCTCGCGAAAGTGGTTTGGCTGTATGGCAGAATCTATCTAATATATGGACAACGTTGCCGAGTGGGTTTTGATTGATGGCACGTGATGTCATAAGCGTTCACGCTTGTCCAACAATGGAAGGGAGGACCATTGGGCCACTGGTGATCATATTCGTGTCCGTAAATGAGGTTAAGGGGATGTCGAGATGAATGACGGTTCGCCCAGGAAACGTAAAGGCGGATGGAATGTAGAAAGGAAAGTCCAAAGAAGTGTAATACGCAGTGTGGGGAACATGCATAGTACGAAAAACAAGCCAATGTCGAAGAGGTACTGAGGAGTAAACAGGAAAAGTGGAGGCGTTATATGGTGGAATAGAGCAAGGAAACAGGCAGGCAAAGACTCGGAAAAGGTGGGAGGTAATATCGAAAAGCAAGTCGAATGCAAAAGCGTGATTGGAGAGGGAAACCGTCGAGAGAAGGACACAAAATTAAGGGAAAGAGGAGTCAAGTCAGCAAAACGCGGAAAGCACAAGGACAGAAAGACCACGTACAAGTAACATTGCCACCATTCACGCTAGCCACCAAGTTTCCTGTGCTCCAGCTCATCTTCCTTTCCACACCCCCCATAGACGCCTCGCGAAGACTCTGATCTGGCTGTCCCAAACCTGCGCTGTTGCTGGTGCTGCTGCCGCGAAGGTTGCGGTACCGCGGTTTACGCGAGCCGTCGTTGGAAATGATTCGTCCTTGTCTTCGTCCAAGTCTGAATCCTACTGATTCGCTTGCGCATTCAGTGCCCGTTGATGAACAGCTTCGGTTTTGTCGTTCGAGAAAGGACCGCTGGAGCAGTCTTTGCGGGTTTTTTGGACCCGAGTCGGCGTAGGCTTTCCGGCAAAGATGCTCCCACCCCTTGACAAAATTGTCAACCAGAGGACGAACGTAGTGGTCGATTTCCTCGGAACTCGCTTCGTCCGGCCCCAGAATGATGCTAATCCACATGAATTCAGGCCGACATCGAATGTCCTCGGGAACATTGATTGACGACTGCGAGGTAGCCGCCCCTGGCCACAAAGAACGGCTCAGTTCGGCCCGAAAGGAGAAGACGCCCACCACGCAGCTCCCACTCGATCCGCTCCCATTCCAGACGTCACCAGGACAAAAGGTTGCCGCGGAAGATAAGACGATAACCATGGGGACCAATTGGAGACCATATTTAAGCAGATAGGATTGAAGATTGAGGGTGGTGGAAAGGTCACGGTTGAGATAGGACGGGCTAAACCCGTAGAGAGAGATATCGCTAACGAGGCGAGGGTGAGTTAAGTTCTATGTATTATGCAATGTTTCTGCGTCGACCAAACCACGGAGTTCGTCTTTCACGTTCCGGCTTTCCAGAGCGAGGTCAACGCAGTTGATGGTGGTGCCCAAGCCCATCAATCTTATCCAGTGGGATGTCAGATCTGCTTGGAACGCCATTGAAAAGGAGGGTATATTGTCGTCGCGGATGACAAGGAGGGCTCGAATTAGGCATTATCACCATGCGCTTGATCGACGCACAAACCGCCAGGCCATCCACGAAGATAACAGAGAAAGCGAGTCCAAGAACCGGGAACTCAAGCCCCGCCTGAAGATCTCCCCCAAAGTGCTGTACAATAGTGCATGGCTCGCGTCGAAGTCCATCGTGTTCCAGAAGGAGCTTGAAGTCTCAGCTGAGGCGTTCACGGCGACTGGTCGTATGTAATCTGAGTAGCTAGTTGATTTGTCAGTAATTTTGAAAGACTTTCAGAATCGTTTACTTGCAACTGAAAAGTTTGGCCAAGTTGAATCTTGCTGTCGAGCCTGTCGTATGTCCGATGTTGAGATCTCGCCTGAGCTGTGCCGTTGTGAGACAACTGGCAGTAGCGGCGGGCTTTGACATCAGCGCCGGGTTTGAGACTAGCGAGCTGTGTGCCGTTGTAAGACAACTGACAACAGCGACTTCGAAGAAACAACCTTGGAAGTGCTGTGACGATGGATGTCACGGCACGGATCCATCGGCCATCAGCCGGCGTGACGCTGATCGGCGTTTGTGCTCCAACCATCATGCGCAAATCATCTTACGACCGCCATGGCTCGGGAAGCACCCCCCAAACGTCTTACGTTGAGGGATCTCGAACCCCTCAAGCCGGTCCTTCGCGTTCACGGCGCGCCCCGCAACCCTCGAAACCCCAGCCCCGTCCTCTCACAATGGAGGAGTACGGCGAAGTTATGAATCCTGAACTCCCTTCGCACTCCTGGATTCTTGTCCCTCGAAGCCAATTGGGCCCCCAAGAAATACCACCGGTCAGTCAATATATACTTCATACGCTGCATTATTGCTAATCAGAATGTTAGCACTCCGAGTTCTATCATGGACTTGTCCGCAACCTGCCCGCAGTATATACTGTACTCAATGGCAATCGAGAATTCATGACAAAGATCCCTCGAGACTTAAAAGCTCCTTCATCCCCCGAAACGCTCGACGGAGAACTTCACCAGACAGCTTGGGTCGACCTCGAAATGCCTCATCTTCTCTTCCTTCCACGCACCAACGTGTTCACGGGACCATTGCTGCAAAGTTTGAAGATGACCACACGGACGGTCCCAATCGAGCGTCGTACCACTCATGTCTTTTCGGTTGCCTCGCAATCAATGGTGTCGACTAGACATTGGGTCATGGCCGCTAAGCCTCTTAAAAGATGGCTGCGAATTGAGGCATTCCTACAAAAATGTCTTTTTTGGCTCGAAAGTCGAGTACGCGCGGCTGCTCCTCATGACTATCGTGGAGCGCGGCACCGTGCACCAGTGTTTTTTGGATACAGTCATCGCTATGAATCCGAGCACAATTTGGTGACTGCTGTCCTTAATTCACGCGACGCGTTTTTTCCGCTTCTGGCCACCATCTCGCTGAGAATCCTCACTCTCGACGCCGTGGCTCTCAAATCCTCCAGCGCAGCTAATCCATGGCGAAATGACTTGTTCACTGCAACAGGAATTAAGCAACAAATTTGGGACGAATTGGAAAACATTGTGACTCAAATCGTATCCGCGCCAGTCGGTGGCATTATCGACTTTTCGAATTCAGCTGCCATAAACAAGGTGTCCCAGGTTGACTGGCTGTTTTCCATCCTAATTCGCCACAACATCAGGGTGCCCTTGTATTTCTCGATGGGTTCGACAAGTGTCGCTAAGCTAGCCTCACTTTCCTCGATGCAGATTGTGCATTTCGAGCCGTCGGATGCCGACGTTGAACGGCTGAGGAAAGAGCTTTCGGGTCGGGACGCATATATCGAGTGGTTGCTCGTGCGGAGCAATATTCGCCGATGGGGTGTCCTTCCCAACCACGATTGCGTCGTTGACGACCTGTCTCATCATCTTCCTGCGGCTCCAAAACCACCCGCCGTTGAGAGAGGCAGCGGCCAAAACCGGGGGGAAAACTGGGATGCTTTTTTTGCCAGACGACGGATAGACAATGCGCTAAAGGAAGAGTTAGAACTCCATTCGCAAAGAGAAGCGCGACTGCGACGAGAAAATCTGGCTGCAAAGGGAGGAGGGATTGGCAAAAGAGGTGCTCGTGTATTTGTCTGGAGTGATGAAGGGGGCGGGTTTTGGGTGCGCGAGCTTCGGAATTACAGCTATGCTGTCGAAATATGGAATACATTTTCCCCCGAGCAACGCATCTACGATGGCTTTTCAAACGAGTGGGATCTCTGCGGAGCAATCAAGTCGGCTGGAGATTTATCCTCCTTCAATTACTTTGACGACGACGATGACGACGACGACGCCAATGACAAAAACAGTGGTCTATATAGTGACGTTGTCCATCTCGTTGAAGAAACACGCGCCGTGGTAGTGAAAGAGACTACCAGTCTTACAGTAGCCACTCAAAATCTTCTTCAAGATAGCGTGGCAGTTGAGGAGGACGTGCAGACATTCTTCGAGCAAGAAATTCAAGTCGGCAACACAGACGAAGATGATCCATCGCGCGTGAGCCAGCTCGACGAGATTCAAAGTACCCTCGAACTCCGTTTTGGGCATCAATCGATTGACGAGCCTTTTGACAAAGTGCTGGATGAAAGGGACTGTCGCAGGGCTCTGGGGAACGGCAAATCCACCAAGCCGCTTACGGCTTCTGCAAAAGCATTGCTATTGACTCTGGTTGATGCTAAAAAACTGGACGATATCCCTGAGCATCTTATCGACATTTGCCGAGCCGATTCCAGAGCCACGCTGTGGGAAGATCGAGGCGTTGACATCAAGGTCATCGTGCAACAAAATGCCGACGAACACGAATCCAAAGCATTTATTCTGACCCCTCGCAATAATTCAACGGATGGAAAGAAGCTGCTCCTCTTCAGTGCCGCAAATGTTCTCCATATCATTCGACTGCAGCTCAGCGACTGGAAGGACATCGTAGCACATCTTGTCCAGTGTGGCTCAGAGTATCATCTTGTTGCCGAAGGCCTGGACTTCAACTATGTTCTTCCGCCCCCCAGCAACGTTGGTCTAGGTGTTCGCGATGAAGGTTATGTCCCTACGATGTTGGACTATCAGGCCTATGTAACCCATCGAGACCACTTCCTGCGTTCGCCTCGGGGTGTCCTGGCCCTTTATGCAGGCGGATTAATCGCTCGAATCGCACGCCATGTCATCGACAAACCCACTCTCTCCTTGATGTGTGATCGTGTGGAGATTGAGCATGCTGAGGGAAAGATTCCGGATCCCACCTCTAGTGGTGCGCTGTATTACAATCGCCTCACCCCGGAGGAAGAGGGCCTTATTTGCGGCGTCTATCCAGTACAATTGGGTAAGTGGGGCTCTGTGTGGTTGAACTTGGGCCGATTTCTTTCAGATCGGTTGGATCGCACGAAGCCGACATGAAACACATCTCATGGTGGCCTACTCCGCCTTCGTTTTACACATCTGGGTTACATGTAGGATGGTGGACATCTGACTGTGAAGAGTGGTTCCAAGATCTCCTTACAAAGATGGAAGCTGGACGGGGAGAGCTGCGTAGCCAGATGCAGTGGAAGAACAGAACTCGGTTCCACCAGAAGTCTTTGCGCATCTTCAAGTCTCAGAACCATCTCGCTACCGATTATCTCCAAGGCCTGCTGTAGTTTTTTTTTTGTGTATTTGGACATTTACCATCGCACAACGAATTTTTTGCTGACTAGTACAACTGACCGACAGGTGGCCGATGAGTGGCCGATCGAAATAATGGACACTTATTTATGGTAAATCAGGTACATCCTCGTTACTAAGTTAGACTCGTTACGTGTCCGATCCGAGGACCCGAAACGTCCCCCAATTTCTATACTTTTCTATATCGATCTTATCGTTACCCACCCTTGTCAGCCACCCTCCTTGTTAGCCTCCAACTTATCAGCTTAATCATCTTATCTTCAGCCAACCCCCAAGGCTAGCAGCCTATGGTCACCTACCGTCGTCACCCACCCTTCTCAGCCCTCACCACCCACCCCGGCCTCTGGTGGCTCACAGATGCCAAATAACTTTTCTGTCCCCCTCTCAACCCCCTCTTCTTCTTCTCCCCCTCCCGCTCGCCTCCACGCTCCACTTATCATGATCACTCTCACCTATTCTCAGACATCTCCGAATCTCTCATGTTTACTGATGTTTACTGATTGTTCGTATAGCAGTTGACGACTACTAACCCGTACATCTCTTGTAAAATCGTACTGATACTCCGCCGCGGCGCAGCTACGTAGGCCACTGAAACGATTTTCGTTCGGTGGTTGGTTAGGTAAGAGGGCGAGGCATAGCGTGTACTTGGAGCAGTGGCACTCCACGCTCGTTGTCAGGCGTCGAGGGATCGTACCATGGACAGAACTCCTTGAAAGGAAATTTCTTCCTGTTGTTGATGCGGACTTCCTCAACCCAATTCTCTACGACAGGCACACTTTCTTCGCAACAGAGTTCCAGTTCCCCAGAAGCGCCCTGTTTGTCGTAAGCTCTGAGAAGGGAAGCCAGATGGGCTGAGAGCCGTTTGACGGTGAACTCGGGGTACAAGTCGGACACGGAGCGATCTGGAGGATTTTGGCGATATCGGACACAGGCGCCCGCCATGGCGCATGCAATCACCTGGGGAAGAAAACGTCAGTAAATGCGCTCTCAATGCCTAATGCTCTCATACCATCACACAGCTGGCAAATGACGACGCACGCTTGGTATCGCATTCGATATTTTTTGGCTTTTCGGCCATGCGGTCCGAGAAGAGATGCATCTTTTTCCAGACATGTCGCAACTCTGTCCATCGCTCCACAGGTATGGGCAGTGCTCCTGGGTGCTGCGAGTGGTACGTAGAAATTGCGTACGCCTCCCGGTCCAACGCGGGCATGATTATGGCGTAGGCCATGAGAGACAGTAAAGACTGGACACCTGCAGACTTTGACAGGTTCAAGACGTCGGGACCTGTCCTGCCTGCAATCATCGCGTCCAGCTGCCAAATGTCAACAACGGTCTAGCTGCAGATCGCTCGACATTGGTGGCCAACCGACCTGCGAACACGAAATGCAATTCGGCACAAACCAGCCGATATAAACAGCCCACGGGGAAGTCATGACTGCCTATAATGACAGTGTCGCTCAAGCCCCACGACGTAATGAGGCAAACAAGGCCGCATAATTCTGGAATTCACAGTTAGTCCTATTTTTGCAACAACTACGCACAAACACGTACACGCGCATAGTAGGATCAATCGGGACGCATTCCATGACATATTGGTCTGCGTTCAGATCGTCACTCGCCCAACCATCGGCAAAGAAGTTACGGGACGAAAAACTGTGTTCATCCTTACTCTTCTCATCTTTTCCTCTCAGCTCCTTTGAGTCGTTTGCCACAGCCCACATCTTCTGCCCAACAACTGGCTGGATGCAGGTAACTCCCATGGCGTCCACATGTTGATCAGTCTTTACGCCCGGGTTCCCTGCAATCATCCATTGCAAATCTGCTCGCGGTGGGGAGAACTTGCCAATGTCCGGAATTGCATTAGTATGTAACAAAGCCGCGACTTGGGAGCTGATATGGGATTGCCCTGGCAAGGCGGGGAGAGAATGATCCGGCAGAGGATTGTGAAGGGCGTTGCCGGACGAGTTTCCTTGACGAAATGAAGCCCTGGAGATAAGTCTGCTGGGATACTCCCGAACCAGCCCAGATTCTCCATCTTGCGCCAGGGAGTTGTCGGCAATTTCGGCTTTCTGGTAGAGAGCACAATATTCTGGAAGCTCCAGATCGAACCTACCTGTCCGAGAGATAGGAGGGGCATCGAGAATGAGGATCGACCGCTTGGAGAAAGCCTTTGTTGCCCATTCTGGATGCTGTGCCAGGTCCTCATGGCTGACCACAAAGAATTCTGAGACGGTCGTATTTGGCGGAATCTCTAGTTTTGCGAGCAGAGGCTAGCAGATGAAGTGGCTTGCGAACTCCATCTGTGTCCACGCCATAAGGTGTCAAGCTCAGCATTTCGTCCAGCACCTCCCGCTCATCCTCGGTGTAAGGACGCCAATCAAAGCTAACCTCGTTATCGGGTCCGACGTGCGACCGCAAATTAGGCTTTTGCAGTCGAATTTTGACAGGTTCGTCCAATCGAGGACGGGGCATTCTGGCAAGCTGCTGCTCACGTCTCTGGGATGTGTCGATCTCTTTCTTGAGCTTCTGAATACTCTGCAGTGTCTTTGCATTCTGCTTCTTCAGGCGGGCTATCTTGTCTAAACGCCGCTGCCCATGGGACTTTGGTTCTCGCTGTGGTTTACTCTGCAACGCAGCCAATTGGGCTTCTGCTGCGGCCAGCTTCTCTCGCTCCTCCTGAATCTTCTCATATCTCCCGTGAATTTCACAGCGTTCTGTCTCCCAAGCGGCCAGTTGCGCCGGGGTATAGTTGAGCATACTACCCTTATCTGATCGTACTTGGGGTTCCTGCGTTTCCTTCGGCGTGTGCGAATATACGGCGAAGAGACTTTGAGCTTTGACTTTGGCTCTGATTTGATGAAATTTATAAGGAGGCTTGAGAAACGTCAGTCCTCCAAGTGTAATCGTTTGGATGGAGGGTTTGGGAGGCGGATTCTCTGCCACAGGTTCTTTATCCGACTGCTGTTCGCCGTCATCCTTGCCGTCTTCTGAATCCTCCTCCCCTTGTGAATCCTCGCCGTCTGGCTGGGTGTCATCCTCGCCGTCTTCAGAATCCTCCTCCTGTTGTGACTCCTCACCGTCTGGCTCACCGTCTGGCTGGGTGTCATCCTCGCCGTCTTCAGAATCCTCCTCCTGTTGTGACTCCTCGCCGTCTTGCTCCTGGACCCTGGTTGGGCGGGTCCTCCTGCTTCATTTCCTCATCCTTGTTAGGAGGAGGATCTTCCCTGATTCAGCGGTATGATATCTTGGTCGAGGGGAGGATCTTCATGGTCCTCATTTGGGACAGGCGATATTTCCTCGTCTGGGTTGACGGGAGGTTCGTCCTGGTCCTCATTTGGAACAGGTGACATTTCCTCGTCTGGGTTGACGGGAGGTTTGTCCTGGTCCTGGTTCGGGAGAGATGACATTTCCTTGTCTGGGTTGACGGGAGGTTCGTCCTGGTTCGGTGGAATGGGGCCCAGTTCGTTGCTGTTCGGTAGATGCCCCGAATTATCTCCGTCTGGTGGCGAAACTATCTCTTCTTCTTCTCCTGTCCTCTGACGTTTGCGCCCGTGCTCGTCCTCCTCCAAGTCGTCCCAGGGCCTGGCTTTTCGCACCGTCCCGTGTTCTACAACTGTTCAGTGGTACATCCTACTGGCGTGTGATTACACCAACCGTCAATTGTTGTCTCCTCCTCCTCCTCCTCCTCGGAATCGCTCAACTCCGTATCTTCTTCGGGTGGTAAGCCATACCAGCCATTCAGATCCTTCTTGGACACCGCTTTGATAAGCTCATGATATCTAATCGCCAGCGTTGTGAACTCTGCATGTTGACGCAGCTTTGAAACAAAAAACGACGGGTAAAATTCAAACTTGAGCGCCCTTTCTATCAATTCCCAGACAATTTGCTCCATCCTCCATACAAGTGTGTTAGGACAACTCCTAAATTGGGGCGACTGAATAAGCTGAAACCAGTTTAACGCCGCTGCATATAACTGAGCAAAGCCCCCAAAATAAAAAAACTGATGTCTACGATGGTAACATTGTTGGGTAAGCTGCTCTTCTCGCTTTGCTGATGTCGTCTATCGTCCAGTAGCGCCAAAGGAGTAGAGCCGAGAGCGAGCACGGTAGAAGCCACCCCGCTTTTGTTGGCGACTCGAGCAGGATGCCATTTCGAAACATCTAGTGAAAAGTGTCAATGGAACACTCTCAGAGCTTCAGCGCATTGCTTAGGATCGTTAAGGTCAATGTCCTACAAGAGATGTGATCTCTAGACAATTGAAAGTAGATGAGCAGACTAACCTGACGCAGCAAATATTGCGTGAAGATTAGCGAAACAAAGTTAAGGCGAGCTTGATTTCCCTTTGCAGCATGGGGATTTTGATAGGCTTCTAACCAGGCTACGGCATCTTCGTCCTTGTGCCATGTATTGTTGGGATTCACAAGGCTGTCTGTCGTAGTTTTCACAATACCAAGCCACGATCTGGTCGTGCGGCTGACGAGCTGTTGAAGGGTTTTGCTGGGAAAGATCTGCCTGGTGTTAGAAATGACGACCCAGCCCAAAACCTTTATTAACCTTAGACAGTCTGGCGGCCTTAACCTGGTCATTTGGGATAGCCTCTGCCATACCGAGGATTGCCTGTAAATCCGGCGTACCATCCTCGCGCAGGTAGGATGGGTTCTCCAGGCAGTGCAATGAATAAGCGAAATGGATGTCTAGAAAGAGAGCGCTGATCAACATAGTTCGCAATGCAT